TTCCTAAAAATAAAGCCTTTAACATAAGTAAAGAGCAAAAACCTACTGATGAATAGAAATATTTGAATTGGCCTTCAACTGAGACAGTTTAAAGACCCCTCAGTAAAACAATCTTCCTTGCTTGTGCTCTACCAAGAAGACTTTTTACATATGTTTTCAGACTTGGATTGATCTTTATCATTTTCTCCAATTATTTCAAGATATCAAATGACAATACAAACTTATGGTGGACAGTAGAAACAAAAAAAATCATATTTGAAACAGCACCAGACATGCATTCAAACTGTTTTGAAACTTTTGCAATGGAAGGAAGATTAACCTATAGTTTATCATATTAGATTATATGTAGATTATATATAATCTAATAAATAGATTAAAGTTAGGTTTGCATATAATCAAGGAATTCTAAGTTAGAATATAAGCAATTACTTCATTCCTGTTTTTCTGCGTCTCCTTTGGAGTCTTGCATCTCTCACTTTTGTATTATTTCTCAACCTGCCTCTATTGTTTTATAACATTTTTATATACTTTGAACTTCAAAGAATCATAAATTAGCAAAGTTAAGGCAAATACCTTGTGGAACAATAAATACACCATACTTCCCAGCATAGCTTCGCAGCATCTCTTTTGCAGAGTCAACTATTACCACAGTGTACCGAGGTGACTGAGAATTCGTTTTTGGACACCAAAAGTTGATTGTATAGCTGTTGTTGAAGTCAAACTCACTTCCTACAAGAGATATTATCCCTTTCATATGAAATATGTACTCCAGGGGGGTTAAATAAATTCAAGAATATAGAGAATACCAAAAAATATTCCAACCCAAATTTTATGAGATCATAATCATCATTTCACATGCTCTTTTTCTTGTTTGAAGAAACATATTTTGAAATTTTTTATTCTAGCTACTGGTATGTTTCTTGGTAATATGGGGGGAGCTTATTTATTTGTTTAAAACCTAGAGGAGGCTTTAAAAGGAGGGGGCTTATTAGATAGGGGGAGCTTATTAATAATACAATGTAATAATGTTATAAAAATGCCCTTATGCATTTTTTGTTATGAAAATGTCATACAAATGTTCTAAAACACTTTATTAGCAGCTTCAAAAGTTTCTAAAAATTAATCAGTTATAATGTGACGTCTTCTTCAGAGTTACCAGGATCAACTGATATTCCCTGGGACATCTTTTAAACAATTTTCTTCTAAGGCGCACAAGTAATTATTCACATAAGGCCATATCTAATACACACAATCTTATTGTCATCACATCCATCAAGAGACCAACTCAATGCACATGTTATCTTTGTTTGACATTGGGGGCTTAACAGGGGCCCTGATAGAGAGGGGGCTTATTTCAATTTTTGCTTGATAAAAGGGGCTTGATGTAGAGGGGGGCTTTATAGACCTTTTATGGTATTTCAAGTGTAGTTGAATCAAAACTGAACTGAATATATAATCTACGTCACCAAGATAAATTGTTTCTTTATTAGAAGATATAACAATTTGTTTTTTTAGACACAACTTCAAGTTTAATTTGCGTGTCTAATTAGTTGTTTCTATTATCTAGATTTGATTTATGAAGCAATTAAAGTCACTTGGGCCTTGCAGGACCCCAATTCCATGCATGACCAGTGATTAAGATTCTTTGAGATTATTCTTAATTCTACATCAAAATACTGAAAGCATTTTCTTTATCAAAACAAATGGTCTTCATACAGGGTAAATGCTCATAACCTCAACAGCTTAGTTGTTGTAAGTTGGAGCATAAAAAGTATGATATAAATCTTTTAGATTCCCCACTTATGAATAGATGACTTCACTAAAATTGAATGCAAGGGTTGGAGCACTTGGCTGCAGTACCAAAGGTTGTATGTTTTATTCCAGGTTCAACTAATGATTTAAGCAACCAATCTCTTTCCATAAACTGGTAAATGAATCTGCAAAGGCTAAATGCAGTGACTAAACAAACTGGCCACCCAACCTAACAATGTGGTTGAAAAAGTGCCTTCTCTATCAGGCTTCCCTGTTTACAGATCATATATCAGACTCACAGTAACCATTTAATGAGTTTGCTAGATACTGATTAAACAATAACAAGATAAGCCTGGTGAAATAAATTAAAAGCAGCATTCACAAGAAATACTACTCACTTAGCTTGTACTGCAGAAATGTGAAATCCCAAAGTTGGGAAACTGCTTTTCTTATGTCTTCCTCACTGTCAACTTTTATTGCCTTTTCTGTTTTCATACAAACTTCCATAACTGCTTTGGGTACTAAAACAATTCAAAACTATAAAAATTCACTGGAATAACAACAAATAGCAACAAAAACAAATGCACAAACATTGTTTTGAAGTTCATGTACTCTCTGGCGCTTAATACAAGGAGGGGGGGGGGCGCTTATTAATTTTCAAAAATATTTCCAACCCCACTGCAGGCTCTGGATGAATGACTCTTAGTGAAGAGACTTAGTGACTAAAAAATAAGCTTTTTGGACATGTTATAGGAAGTTAGAACTTAAAAGAAATTTGATGAATATCCAGCAGGGGGAGGGGGGGGGTAAGGCAGAGAGGCAGACAATCAATACCTTAACATCTTTGGCATTGGATAGAAGCAGGTGTCAGGGTCTTGTGGCAACCACAGTAGTACAAATGGCAAGTCTAAAGGAAGCACATATTGCAAATATACTTGCAGTGATGAAAAGGGTTAACATTGATGTACAGCAAATAAGATGTTTATACTCACATTTCAACTTCAATTTGGTTAATATGAATAAAGTCAGTGGTGCACTGTTTTTGTTTCCAGAACAAGCAGTTAACTGAACACTCTGCAGCCTAATAAACCAATTATCTTTGAAGTAGCCTAAGATACATTCTACCACTTCCTTGCAAGAATTTGTTAAACATAGGTATCTCCCGCCATTTTTTAGTGTCTTTGATATGCTTTCAAAGATTCTACAGCATATGACATTGAACATGGAACCAGCACATTTTTCTACAAGGTTGCTTGTTGAGCAAAGATCAAGAACCACATTGAGTGAATCAGGATTCAAAGACATCTGGAATGAAAATCATACCCTGTAGAATATTTTGAATGAATCAATTAAACTTTAAAAATTATTATTTTTGATTTTGTAGATCTTTTTCTAATATACTTAAACCTAACAGGGAAACCCAATAACCCCCTAATTATAAATTTTGAAAAAAGGATGATCAAACAATGGATTTCTTACTTTTTTAAAGGTGATCTCATTGAATCTCTACAGTACAGCAGTAGCCTATCAAATGACACTCAAGTCAAAATTCTAGCCATTAAGCATTCAAATCCAAAGTGTTTAAGGTGTTTTCAAATTTCAACTCTATTTCTAAGACAACATTACAACTTTAGAAACAGTTATCAATATAGAATGGTATCAAATGCTCACTTCACAAGTTCAAATTATTTGAAAATACAGAGGAAATTTATGCAATGGACTTAACAGCAAATTCTACAGAATTATGGAAGCCACCACTGTTGAATATTATAACAGTGTAAGAACTCTATTCATCAAGTTCTTATTGACTAAGACAGCTCTTGAAGAACTTCAGCCTATACTTGAGAAAACAATTGGTGCTTATGCCTAATTAGAAAATTTGAGTAACTTTTCCACTGTGAGGTTAATGTGTATTTTGGAAAATACAAAATTTTTCAAGCAACATTTGGAGAGACTATAACAGGTGATTTCTGTATCAAAGTTTGCAATCTAGATATAAGAAATATAGATATAAGAAGTCACAGAAAAATATGGAAGACACTTATCATTTTAGCACTCCTTTTAGGTAGATTTCCACTTCATGAAATGGACAGAAAACGGAAAATAGTAAGCCAAAAACGGTACAGAATATTTCCGCCTATCAATTTGCACTTCCTTTGGTGCCTCTCTTTCAAAGAAAGATGGCTCTAGGGAAGGAGAGAGAAGGCACTGCATGCTGTGACCTGGTAACGGGTGTGCCATTTTGAGACTTGGGCATGACAAAGTGGTGTCCTATTGCTTAGCACAAATGAAGATTCATGTTTCCTAAAGATCAATATAACCTTTCATTGGTTTGATAGATGCAAAATAACTATCAATTATGTCCACTTTCTTACTTTCTCTGACATCCTTGAGCTCTAGCATAATTGTGGAAACACTATACATAATTAATGTGCACATTTACCAGACTCTAAAGTTTTAGCAAGGAATGTGTTCCCCGCACAATAGTTTTGTCCTCAAATCCCCTTTGTGCATTTTTGCAAAATTAGATTTTAAAATCCACACAGTTGAAACACAGAATTTTGTGTGAATCCCACACATAGCCTCACCACAAGGCTTAAAAATGCTATTTAAAATGAAATCCCGTAGCCTTTAACCTGCTACTTTGCAATAGGATATTTTTTTGTGCAAGCAGAAGAAATAATTCCCAGTGCACAAAAATACTCTGCACACTTATACCAAAGTGCACACTTGAAAATCTTTTCTTGCACACCTGTGATCTCCTCTGAAACTTGCCATACCCTGCAGTTCTGGGCCCCAGCTACCCACCCTTGCTCGTTGCTTATGCTAGGCACACACAAGAGATTTTAGCTGAGCTAAACGGCACGCATGTGCGGCAGATTTTTGTGTGAAATTTGCCTCATGAGCTGCCAGGTTGGAAAACATTAATGATTTTGCAGACATGTCATTGCGACAAATGGCACATTATCAGCTGCGACCTGCGAGCGAAAGCATTTGAGCTGCAAGCAACGATGCCCATATATACATTACTATAGTATGATATATGAATTCTTTGATATTTTGGGTCACTGGAGGTGCGAGGTGCGAGCACAAGAAGTCTAGCGTTGCTGCAAGCATATGTAAGTTTTCCAGCCTGGATGAGCCGCATTTTTTGTCACCGTGGAAGTTTGTTCGCCGTGTGTGGTGGTCTGAGCAATCTACTCATGCTGCTCTCAGCAATTCCCTTGTGTGCGCTTAGCATTAATTAATTCATATTTAACATCTATATATCATAGATCTATTACCTCCGACAATGTTCCTTTTTCTAAGTTTATTGCTCTTCCTTTTTTGGCAAATCTTTTTTTTATATTTTTCAACACCTTTTCATTTTCAAATAGATATTTCACATCCTTGTATCCGGCATTTTTAAAGAAATCAAAGATCACATTAAAATCTGGTCCTCTTTCTCCAGTCGACGACGAAACAAGGATAGTGTCTTCTTTCTTCAGGTATCGAGCAACATACGCCGGCAATAAGTCCGTATCTGTAATTTCATATTGATTTTTAAATAAATCTTTATCCCCAGATGACTCTGAAACATTTAAATCATCTTTTGGAAGAGCAAGAAGCATTGTCCCTTCAAATTTTGGAAACCACCATATTGTAACAGCAACTGCAACAGAGCCTCGCTTTAGATTTGAATACATGGAACATGAAGTAGCCCTATTCAGCATGGCCAAAAGTTGTCGCAGGTTTAAAGATTTGATAGAGATGTAATGTAAAGTAAAGTTTTAATTGAAGTGTGCTTTGGAGCAATAGTAAAATGGTAAGTTACAAATCGGTATCCATTTGATTATATGATTTTAATTTAAATCAGATTTTTAATTCCTCTTTGGTCGAAAACAAAGTTCTTATTGATTAGATTGTCCACCATACATTTATATTTACATATTTAGATATTTATTGAGACAGATAGTGTTGACAGCAGTCTGTTTTATTCCAATTTTTGCTACATCAGGCAATAGATTCCGCAACTTACCTATGCATGGTCCACATGCATGCCAAACTTAACACTGTTGTAAACAGGATTTTCAAATGTAGCATCCTTTATCGTCGTTTTTATAAGCAGTTATTGTCATATTACCCCAAACCCTAACCCTTACCAAGATAACTCACTCAATTTATTTTGCCTTCTGCTACATCATCTGTCAATGAGCCTCTATTTCAATAATTGAAGCAATATAAATGTCACGTTTCCAGGTACATAATCTTTTAAATCAGGGCGACGTGACCCTGTTCATTTATTGGTACCTTCTCTCCTTCCTGGAGGTTGGAGATCATGGATCGTTGGCGGTCTTGAGCCATCGCCTTTAGGTCTATCTATATATATCTTGGTTTGGTACTCCATTCTTTGATGTTGTATAGCCATGTCAATCTTAGTCTTCCTCTTCCATATTTACCATCAAATTTGCCTTCAATAAGATCTAGTTGCAGTTAGGAGTGTCTCCTTACTGAGTATTTCAGTACTGAATATTTTGAAAAGGCCTGTCTCTGAGATATTTTGAACAAAAATAATGAAAATATTTTCATTTCAAAATGCTAGAAAAAAGCATAAAGAGTCATTCCATATCAAATCATCAGATTTTTCTAACTTTTGTAACCCACTATCTCAGGTTTTGCTGATTTTTGGCACAAATGGAGATATGAGTATGATATAAAGCAATTCCAAATTTCATCTTAAAATGACAAAACGTTTAGGAAATATGGGTATTTGAAGTTGAATAGGTTTCAGTGTAAATAGTGAACCGTTACAGCTTAAAATCTTTGTGCAGTGAAAGTTTAAATGGTAACTGTGTTATAAATTTCTGTCATAATCTGCTGAAATTTGGTGACTAGAAGTTATTAAAGCTGTAGAATTCAAATATGTGGTCAGAATCACTCTGCTTTGTGTGGAAATACATTTATTCTATGCTAAAAACCGTTTTTATATGCTGCGAAAACACCAAAAACCACTACATGCAAAGTGCTAAAAATTTTGATGTCTATGACCTCTTTTTGGATTAACTTGTACATATTTTGAATCTATACGAGTTGGGGAATCTAAAAATTGGTGATCTATCGATTGCCTTTGCACATTTTTTAAAATATTCAAATATGGAAAACATGTAATTTTTAGCGAATTGTCATTTTCATTGTTTGCATATGATTAATCAATGCACATCACATGACAATATTCACAGAACTTGTTAACTGGGTCAAAGTTATTATGCTTTAAAAAGTTATTGAATACACAGATATTTGGTTTGATTTTTAACTACATAGTCTTTAATCAAAACCTTATTAAAGCTGACAGACTTAACAGCATACTTCCCCCATTTTTTTTCAATCTGCATCATTCTTGAGCTCTTTATTATTTGCCTTCAAATTCAGTAATTTCCTTGTGTTCACACCCCCTCTTTGTTGAAAGATATTCGAATAGCCCTTGATGACACCATAATTGGTTATTCAGGAAGCTGATAATCATTTGTTTCCTTGACACTATTGCTAAAGCACTGCTGCAGGAAGTTCTTAATGGGTTGGTTTTCCTAGTATGTCTTCACTGCTTGATGGAATTACTGAGACTCTGAATTGTCAACTTTAGTTTTCTGTGTCGTTTAAGAAGTTCAGACTGTTTTTTATCTGAGTTGACAATGGAGAAATGCGATTTTGGTATTCACTTGAAAGAAGAATGTCATAAAACACATTTTGTTCGGAAGAATGGAATGAAAATTAGGTCTGAGTTAGATCCTGAGGTGTGTAGTGTTTTATTATATCGAGCTGGATTAAGGGGCACAGATGAGATGAAACATATTTGCTTTCATCATGAAGCTAAGTACGGTTCTGCATTTGAAAGCCGACATACAAAGTGCTGCAACATATTCAATGTTCATACCAAGTTGGTGAAAGGTGGCCATAAAATATCACTATTGCTAGCAAGGCAACTTGCTGAGCATAATATTGAGTCAGTGCCTTGTTGGAAGTTGTGTAGAAAGTGTTTTGACAGAGCCACAGCACCACTGAAAGAAACTGGCCCTACGATGGAAGTTGATTTAGAGTCATTCGAGGATAAGGACATTGGTGAACTGGATAGCTCCTTTACTCAAGAACAGCATAGGGACACTCTCAATGATAGTCTTATGGCTATAGGTGCATCCCCAGTAAAAACCCATGGCATGCCAAAACATAGACGCATATCATATGCAAACAAGAAGATAGAAAAAACTCTAGGAACTATCAAGCAAAGTTTCGCATGTGCAATTGGTGTTGGGGTGGAAAATCTATCTTCTGGAGGAGCATCAGCTGATGTTAATAAAGATGTCGAGAAGAAGGCAGCTGATCTTGATATCCTAATGAGCAAAATAAAGGATAAATCACCCCATTCTGAATACAGTCTGAAAATTCAGATGCTCACACTAACACCTGAATCATGGAGCATCAAATATGCCTCAGACTATTTTGGAGTTTCTGAATACTCAGTAAGAAAGGCTCTGGAATTGAAAGGCCAGAAAGGTATCCTTGCTTTGCCAGAACGCAGAATAGGAAAAATACTGTCAGATGATATACACCAAAAGGTTAGGTCATTTTATGAGGACGACGAATATTCTCGATTGTTACCTGGGAAAAAAGACTTCGTCAGCATTGGAAGGAATGTTCATGCACAGAAACGTTTATTGTTATGTAATTTAAAGGAACTATATGCAAGTTTCAAAGAAAAGAATCCAACAGTCAAGTTGGGATTTTCGAAGTTTTGCTCTTTGCGACCAAAATGGTGTATCACTGTTGGCTCTAGTGGGGCTCATTCTGTCTGCGTATGCTCCATTCATCAAAATGCAATTCTTCTGGTGGATGCAGCAAACACTGGAAAAACATACAAGGAAATGATGGATATGGTTGTTTGTAGTCTTAACTGTAAGGAATGTATGGTGCATCGATGCAAAGATTGCCCAGGAACAACTGCTCTCAGAGCTTTTCTTGATGGGGCCTTCAGCGAGACTCAAAATGATATCTCTTTCAAGCAGTGGCAAAGCACTGATCGTACTGAATTGGTAACTCAAACTCTCTCTGTTGATGAGTTTATAGATCTTCTTGTGAAAAATATTGACAACCTCACTGCACATTCCTACATCGCAAAATGCCAGGCAAGATACTTGAAGAGTAGGAAAGAGAATCTGCCAGATTATTCTATGCTTGTGCTAGGAGATTTTGCTGAAAACTATACGTTTGTGGTTCAGGACGAAATCCAGTCGTATCATTGGAGTAAAAATTATTGCACTCTTCACCCAGTCGTGGTTTACTTTAAGCAAGGTGAAAGACTTGAACACAAATCATATTGCCTTATATCTGATGACCTAGAACATGATACTAACTTTGTTTACGAACTTCAGAGAGAGCTCATTGATTTAATAAAGTTTAAATATCCCCATATAGAGAAAATTGAGTATTTTTCGGATGGCTGCGCTGGCCAATATAAAAACTTTAAAAACATGTTGAACCTGTGTCTTCACAAGACAGATTTTGGCTTAGAAGCAAATTGGACATTTTTTGCTACTAGTCATGGGAAATCTCCCTGTGATGGCATTGGAGGGACTGTTAAACGTTTGACTGCCCGTGCCAGCTTGCAACGCCAACATTCCTTGCAGATATTGACAGTAGCATCAATGTTAGAATTCTGCCAAGAAAACATTAAAGATATACAGTTTTGTTTTCTTTCTAAAAATAAATTACAGGCAGTTAGAGAGGAACTGAAAAATAGATTCTCTAAAGGGCAAACCATTCCAGGAACAAGGTCCTACCATTTTTTCACACCATATAGTGACCATGAAATTTGCTTCAAGCGAACTTCAGAGGATGCAGAATTTTCTGGCAAATTTTCGATAACTGGTAAAACAATGTCTCAGGAGAAGATTAGGTATAATGCCAAAGTGCATGATTATGTAGCTTGCCTCTATGATGAAAAATGGTGGATTGGTTTGGTGCTGCAGGTTAGCTTTGAAGAGCAAGATTGCCGGGTGAGCTTCATGCATCCTGCAAGCCCAACCAACAATATTTGGTGGCCAGTCCGAGCTGATTTATGTTGGGTCTCTTTTGAAAATATTATTTGTAAAGTATCAACACCAGTTACAGCAACTGGCAGGACATACCACAAAAATGAAGAGGATATTCAACATATCACCGGCACACTTAAATGATTTGTCCTGAAATTTGGTAATTATTTATGTCCTATTATGTTGAATGTAGAATCACAGGGTTTGAATGCAATGAATGAATGCTATTATGTCGAATGTAGAATCACAGGGTTTGAATGCAAAGGTGCCATTTGATTATCATAGTTATTCAGCAAAAACTACTGGAATTCATACAAAGCTATTAAAAGGAAATACATGGAAGGGAGATTACTACTCTGAGACAATATCAGCCGAAAAGGTTGTCTCTTCTCAAACTAAATTAATTTCTGAGTGGTCATATCATACAAAATTTGAATTTTAAGCTTCTTTAGCAGCTTACCATGTTTTATGAACCTACATGAGTAGTTTAACACCTAATCATTTTTTCCAGCTTAAAGAAAGTATTATTACAGATTGTTTGATCATATCCGAAAAATGCAAAATTTGAAGGCAAATTATCAAATTTTAGAAGCAAAATAATTTCTGAACACTTGAAAGGCAATTGATTAACCATACATTTTAAGGTTTCTCAAAATGTACAGTTTCAGAAAACACCAAACATTGTCCCATGGCAGGTCATAGACATTTTGATTTTTCAATGTTAATGTTTAGTATTTTTTGCATTTTAAATTTTTTCAAAAATATTTTTATGATGATTAACATACACAAGCATATTCAATACTGTCTTTCTGATAGCTTTTTTGAATTCCTCAGCCACTAAAATATAAGTACACCAACTTTCACGTATATTTAAGTAGCAAGAGGAATGTTATGTCAATTTGAATGTTGATTCATGGCAAAAAATTAGTCTGTCATGGTTCACTGGTTTTGCGACATATAGCAGTTTTCAAAAACCCATATCTTAAAAACGGCTTATCATAATAAGCTGAAACTTGGAATTTTTTCATTTTTTATTAGTACCTAAAAGTGGTCCAAAAATCAGTCAAATCTGAGATAGTGGGTTACATGGCCATGATGAATTGACATGGAATGACTCTAAAGAGAGATGATGTAGTAATAAACAATTTGGAAACACAATATCCTTTAAAATCTTTATTGTCTGCAAATTTGAATTTTATTGTCCTGGCTACAGAAAAAAATACAAAAGTTTCCAAGAAAGTTTTGGAATTGGAAAAATATACATATGCATAATCTGAAATTGAGCTCAAGCTATAGAAGGTAGTATGATCATTTCTTGGGAATTTGTTTAGTTTTGTTCAGTTAAATTCAGTTCATTTCTCTTTAAAATTCCACTGCATACAAATGCCACTATAATAATTACACAGTGCATCAAAGTTGCAAGTTATGATATAGAAAAAACAAACTGACAAGTTTAGAAGTGGGTTTGTGTGCAGGGAATTTTTTGAAAGGACATAAAAAAGCTTCTTACTTTCTTTCAAAGAATCTGATAAACTGGTAAATCTTTTGATTTTGATACTAAGCTCTTCAAGATTGAAAATGGACAAATTTCTGTTCTCAACTTTGTCCTTCAAATTAGAAAATTAGAATGTCTACCAGATCTACTGTTCTTTGCGTAATTTACCGGTCTTTGCGTACTTAAACTTTTCTGTCTCTTATTTTAAACAATTTTATATTCTACGCAATGCCTATAAAAATAATCTTGCCGGCAACTTTTGCAAAACAGTTTGTGCTCGCAGACACACAATTTTTTAGGGAGGTCTGGAAGTCCATCAGGTTACATAGCAAACTATGCCCTATTAGAATTTACATTGCATACTATGCCCTTACAAAGCATTCTATTAGAATAAAGGCCTTGCTCTGAGCTGTTTGTTGCTATTAGAGCCCTTTTTTCAATATCAAAATCATGTCAATAAGGAAACAACATTGAAATCTTCCTTTTCAAGGACATAAATTTCTGATAAACATTCATTGTGAATGTACAAAACCAAAGCATCACATTTTTCATTTTAGCTTTTATTTTTGCAAATTTATTCGTAGAGACTACATTTAAACAAGCCCTGTTTGGTGTGTATATGTCATTGTAAACTACAAACTAATCATGCTAATACTGCTCCCAGCTGCTGCTAGATTATTGCTTTCAATGCTGCAAATTGTAGTTTGACCCTGACCATTTGCAGTATTTACATAGGCAGGACTCACACGGATATAATTTTCCCTGTCAGCTTTTGACTACCTGAATTAATATGCATATGTAAATATATAATGGTTTTTTATATAATTAATTGGAAATAAAGATAGTCCAGAAAAGTGAGCAACACATTTTGAAGTTACCTGAAGGGCAGAATATTTTAATGTGACAACTTCCATGCCTTGTATTGTTTAGATTTATGATGACATGCTATAAGCAAGGATTGGATATCGCTTTTTTAGGCATTGAATGATTCATATTGAGGTAAAGCGCTAGGTTACTCTCTAAATTTGTCTGTCATTGGCTACATTCTGCCAGTTCTTATTTTGTGAAGTCAGTTAATGTGCAAAGCCATTTGTTAATAAACAGACCTTGCGAAGAGAGGCACTCGAGCTCTAATTAATTATGTCTTATCATGTTTGTATTTCTATTACTTTCCATCACTCTATAAACTGTGTTGCAGATGTTAATGTTTTTATATTTCATATTGGATCGTGTTTTCCAATCTGACATTAAATTTTTGCCTGTTTGCATGTTATCATTTTCATTTTATCTTGGATTTGGTGCTCTGTTTACACTAGAATGCTATAGCGCACCAGCACGCCATACTTTGGGGAGTTTTCCCTTGTTTTATCGTCTCTGCACAGCTGCATTCTCATTTGATATTGGATCAAACCGTTTATATGCACAAAGAAATGTATCACATGGTTTCATGCCATGCTTAGAGCATTTTCATTTGAAAATGAAAAAAACAAGATTTATGTGAAAAGAAGATCAATCCAGGATGAAGCCAATTAATGTGAAACAATAACAGTATCGTGAACTTCAGTGCCTTAGCACATTCACATTGCTTCATTTTCACTTTTATCTGTCTGCAGAGAGAAACATGCCCTTTTTGTCTGTTCACACTGCTTACAGAAGATATTTTTTTGGTTTGGATCGTTCACATTGCTTCCACTTTTGTAAATCTCATTTGGAATGTTTTCAAAAGGCCTTGTTTTGTGCTTTCACATTGCTCACAAAAATGGCTGTTTTTGTGGTTTTATTTGGAAACAGTCTCTTTTTTAACAGTAACCCATGTTGTGTTAATGGCCTTGTAGGCGAGTGATGCAACATGAAATTAGCTACTGATAATTCAGTTTGTGCCAAAGTCCCAAAAAGTACAGGAACCAAAGTTCAACTGAGTAGGACCACTGGCCAAACCATAATTTGACTTTTTTCCATTTATTGTATAACTTTCCCAATCAAATTGTTGGAAATTCCACCAAATGCTTTTATCTCTTGTTTTTTGTTACCAATTTAATTTTTTGCCATTTATAGGCAAATGACGATCTTAGACAGACCACCAAGGTCAGGTTTTTGACCAAAACAAGTGTATTTATATCCAAAAAGTTATTTTTTGGTGTGTGATAGAAAGCATGCATGGCCTCTGTTTTGTGGAGATGTATGTGTGCAATTTCTTTTGCTTCATATTACTAGGCTGTTACTTATGCCTCATATATAGCTAACTCTTAGCTTCTTGAAATTTTCAATGAAAAGATATGTAGAGATCAAAAAGGAAAGAGTTTTCCAAAGAACAAAAATGGTTTATTGAACAATTAGTTCACTGCTAGTAAAGGGAATGTATTTCAACGGCAAGCTGTCAAGACTTCTCAGATATTAGTTCAAAACCACCATATCAGCCTTTGGTACCAAAAAATTTAATGCAAACTTACCAGTGTTTTTCGGCTGATGCTCCTCAAAGTATAGGTGTCAGAAAATGGCTAAAAGTAAGCTTAAGTTTGTATCCAGACTGGCCAAATATGTGAGCATGAATTTGTATTGCCAATTTGTCAAAACCAAGGAATCAATCAAGTGTGTCATTCTCCCTTTCATGTTACTTTCTATTTGCACTTTAATATTTATCAACTTGTGTTATTATAGTATTTTAGCATATGTTCCTATCAATATTGTTGAAGACACCCTTTAGTGGCAACAGTAAGATCTGGTGTTGTAGTTAAACTTTTGAACAATCTTTTGGTGGTACATAACTGGTGGTGGTACAAAACCTCAACAGTCATGTGCTCACGTTTCTGATTGGCCTATTTTGATCCACAACTGGGTATATATATTTCCTAGCATAGAGTTTTGATCTATGTTCTGACATTTAAAACTCTGAAGAGTGTCAGACGAAAAGCTTTAGTTAACTTAAATAGTTAAATTTTGTTTTGCTTACTGCTTACTTCTGATTACTCTCTTTTTTTATAAACCTTTCCACATTTTCTGAGTTTGCAAGGTCTGGTCCCTGCTTTTTAGTTGGTGGAAAAGAACCTCATTTGGTGCTACAGTTTTATAACTCTTAAGCTACTATTTTAGTTAGACTTGCTATAAAAACATTTGCAATCAACAGACTATCTCTAAGCATATCTAAGTAATTGTCTTTCTGGTTATTGTTTCTTTTTTCTTTTTCAGGCATCAGGTTTACCACCATCTAATGCCATTGGACAGATGCAAGCAACAGGATTTTTAGGTGGACCTCAGCCTCCACCCGCTGGTGTTGGACCACCATTCCCACCCGGCCTTCCAGTAAGCTTTTGAACAACTTTTTTTACCTTTTTTGCTAAAAAAACCTTGACACCAAGAACCGATAGAAAAATCCCTGTCCTGATAGTAAAACTTGCTTAGTCGAGAAAATTTGGCTAGGCTGAAGGAACTTGGTGCAACCAAACAGCAGGAAATGATGCCTTTCTGTGATGCCATCTGTTTGTGTGTAAAATTTTATGCATTTCAGTATGTAGGGCTGGCTTTCAATTACTGATAACATTTATATTTTAGTGTCGCCTGCACATACTGGTACAATGCAGGAGTATTCAATCCCAAATAACAGTTTGCAGATAATAAAACAATTCTCCTTTGCAGATTCTAATTTATCAACTAGTTCTGATTTAGAACACATCCTTTTACCATACCCCCAAACATGGTGGTACCCGACACGCAAAACAAGCGAATATTCTTTCATTGTCTAGAAATATTTTTCTTAAAGCATGAAAGCCACGGAATAAAATTAAATGCCATTACCACTCTAAAAGGCAACCAATAAATGAGATGGGTGATTGTATAGAAATCCATTGGATATGCACCCTAATTGTATGCCTTTATCACAGTGAATAAGTATTTGTTCTCTCATTGCCTCTAGTTCCTTGTCAGAACTTTCTTGTCATTTAGCTTTGTATAAACTCAATGCTCTTAATTAAACTTGCAGCCTCCAGGTATGCAGCCAATGGGTGTGATGCCAGGAGTGCCACCTCCAGGGTATTTCACTGCTTATCAACCAGCACTGCCAACTGGACCACCCCAGCCAATGGGCATGCCACCTGGTGCACCATTGCCAGCAACAGCGTTTGTCCCAACAGTTATTCCTCCAGCTGCTGCTCAACCATTCCAGCCAGCTCCATTCAATCCAGGTACAACATTGAATATTTGTTTATTTATAGACAGTTATCAGTGATGTTTCAGATTGACAATGCAATATTTTAAAGGATTTTTATCCTTTTGTTGGCTAAAATTTCCTAAAACCACTCATTTAGATGTAACCAGCTGTAATCAGAGAGCTGTTACCAGCTTTGGCTCAAAAAAGTTTGACGGATCCTGTTACCAAAAAAAATACTAGGCCTTTGGTATATCATGCGTATTAATTGTGTCATCCATGCTAATTTCAAAGTACAGTGGAATTTAAAATGGGAGAAAACATGTTTTAGGTCTTTTCGCAGAGCATGCCAAAAAATACCTTTGATGGGCTTGTCCAACCTCTGTACACATTTTGCTCTAAGCAGAATTCAAATATTTCTAATGGTTAGCCATCGAAAATGAAGATCTTTATTTCCTCCTATAATTTGAGACCAAGATATTGGCAAAGCTGGTCTCACTTCACTTCTAGCTGACGGCTGAATGACGTCTTTGATTACTTCACATTCGTATTTGTCTATTTTTTCACATTCCATCTTGGTCTCTGTCTCCCAATAGAGATTTGTTGTCGCTCATTCCCAATGTTTTCATAAGGTTTTCATAAGTGTCAATGTACTTCTTCGCGGTAATTTTTGACGTGATCAAAGTTTTATCATCTCTCACTCTGAGTCTATCAGACAGTGCTTGAAATGTATCATCAGCATGTTTTGCCTATGACAATGTTGATTTCCCCCAAGCGAAAGTTATAAATGAACACGGGAAATAATTAAAGTATAAATAACAAAAGAAAAACTGATGAAAGTTCGCTATATCGAGGGTAATTATGATGAAGGGACCAAACATTTGGTTCGTAATATCTAGAGTTCGTTATATCTGGGGTTTGTTATACCAAGAAAATTTGTAAGGATTCTATTAGGCAGAATCCAAGGGACCAGACATTTAGTTCGTTATACCGGGAAGTTCGTTATACCGGGAGGTTCGTTATACCCGGGGCTCGATATATCGGGATTCCATTGTATACACTTAGGTTCAAAAGATTGGGACACCTTCGCATAGCGTTGAATTCGCTTAAAACGCTTAAAAAACTAGACTTTGCGTTTGATTCACTTTTGCAACGGAAATTTGTTCAGATAGGAGCAGTCTTTTTTCAAATAATCTAGACCTATGTATCCCCAAAATTTGGTTTTAAGTTGAAAAAACATTTGCTTCGAGAGAGCATTTCATTCTTATAAAGCTGGAAAATTTGTATTTCTTATTATTTTTGAAGCGATGTTTCTGCTTATGTTACTAGATTTAGCTTGCTTTTACACGACAATATAATGTCTGGCAGGGATTCAAACCTCTATTATTTTGCAGTTCCCTCAGAAGAGACTTTTCGTCTCTCGGCGTCGTAAACTTCTTTTGTCTGCCAATCCTAGATAAATCTTTTACACTTCTTGTACGGGAAAACTTTTGACACGCTACAAAAGCTGCATTTATTAAGCAGCTGGAAAAAGCTGCCGTACTTTTTTAATGAAAAAGATTTTTGAACTGTCGTCCAAATTTGTTTTATTAAATGTCTTCAAAATTTCGAAGTATGTCCCAATACATTTTGAACGTAAGTGTAATTTCGTCGCTACTCCCCCTTTTCCTTTGTTTATGATGATTAGCACTGCTTCATACTATTACTCTTTTTATTTATTAGTGCCTAAAAATACTGATAAATGTTACGTCCTCATTTCACGATTATCGTACCAGGAATTATGGGCTTAAGCTTAAAATTGGTTTTTTTACAGCCATGATGGTCGGTATATTGCCAATGACGACAATGGCACCGGTAACCAAAGTTAATGATAAACCAGCTCAGAAAGAGGCTGAAAGAAAACCTGTCGCTGAGGAGGAGAAGAAAGTCGACACAAAAGAAGAGAAGCCAAAGAAGAAAAAGAAAGTTAAAAAGGTGAATAATTTGTCACATGCTTCGGAAAGAGCAAAAATTCTGAATATTATTTAATTATAATTATTATTTACTCAGCCTTTATTGATAAACCTATACAGATTTTTGTGACTGCTAGATTTTTTCAAAAGGCCAAAATGCTGGATTTTTCTTCACCATTCTTCCGGGTCGTATTAAATTCATCTTTTAACCATAATTCGGACCTAAATTCAAAATTAATTTTTTTTTCATTTAACTTATGCCAAACGAAGAGACTGATGTTGCCCCATCTTTTGAAATTTCTTTAGAAATTTGTTGGTTTCAGAGGCTATTTTGACTAATCAAGAGATGATTACCAGGGAAATATGGTAAATACCCCCAGACCCGTAAGGTGCTGTGGTCCTCGTTGGGTATGGCTGGGGTTTACAGAACTACTTTTCCCTCAGGGAGTTACTTTTGAATAAATTTTGAAGCCTCATCCTTTATTTTAGAAAAAGACACCTTGGAGCACTCATCAAGCTCCAGATGGGAGAGAGTATTTTTATAACACAGAAACAAAACAATCTGTTTGGAGTAAACCAGACGAGTTAAAGACACCTGGTGAGGTATGTGTGAATTTCAAAGATGTGTTAACCTCGCTAATCGTAGTGCTTGAAGTAAAATGACTTATATGAAGTTTTTAGCAATGGACATATCAATAGAAGTATCAAATTTGTCATCAATTAGCGGTATCATCGCCTCTCAACTAGTTATCTTTATATGTCATTTTTATTAAGTGTTTGTAACCAATTTCATACTTATCTTTGCTCTTTTTTGTTCTTGCTGCCGACAATGCATTATGTTTCAATCGTTATTGTCTGTTTTCTCCTCTGTTCCATATGTATTTGGTGATACCTCGCTTCCGAAGGTAGTTTTAGGATACTGAAAAGCTATGCTAATCAAGCAGTGTCCTGGTCATCCCTCTCGATGTGACCACACCTTGTGATTCCTATGTATAGAATGACAGAGAGTTGCCTAATCTCCGCAATTTGAGTGAATGTTTGGTCATGTCAGTGACCCGAACCACATGTTTCTGGAATCTGCAGTCCGTCACAAAATTATCCTTTTTTTACTGGACTCAACTTCGATTCATTTTAATGGTGTTTTTATTGAAAGAAAAGTTCGTTAATTATTTGCATACCACTTTATGTATTTACGTAATTTGTTTTGAATTAAGACTTTTTTGATGCTGAGCTTTTGATGTTCATTGGGAAACCTAGCAATGCAGCTTTAGTTTTGTTGTTTGGTTGCAGTTGCTGTTAGACTCCTGTCCATGGAAAGAATACAAAACGGATACGGGTAGGCCGTACTATCATAACACTGAAACCAAGGAATCCAAATGGACGATCCCCGAAGAGCTTGAGAAGATCAAGGGTAACCAAATATGCGTCTTATTTTCCTTAATATTTCCCTAAATTGTTTTCGAAATAGAATTCCCTGATTTGTTTTTGTTGGATAAAATTACAGACCCTTTTCACGTTTTATACAGGAATGTAAGGAGGTACGCATCACCGTATAGTTTTTTCTTGCTGCCTTGATTGTAAAGCCTCAGTAATTTCAAACGTCACCCAAAATTGTAGCTATTTCTTTCTCGTCCTTAGTCAAACTACTCAATTACTCACAATCTAGGCTTTGATTGGTCTAGCCAAGGCCCTCCAATTCTTAAATTGCATCGAAAAGTATATAGCCTGGCTCACGGGCACTTGTCAATCCGTATTGGAGGAATGCTCTTTTCTACCCTTCCCTCCCCTTCATAGGCGGGGGTATGTTTGTTTCGAAATGTTTCAATTTAGTTGACTGTTTAGGCAATTTGAATCACGCAACATGAAACAGTCAAATCTGCATTTCTTCCTTCCGATTTTCATATAAATCTACTCGTTTTCTCCATTTTACAGATTTTGAGATGTAATACGATACCTGTTGATGTATTGCTTTTAAAAAAAGAAAAAAGAAACGAGGTCCTCGCGAAATATTTATCAGAAAACAGTAGCAAAACGTAGAAAATAAGGCTCAGTCCTCTTGAGACCCCAGCTCTACACCCCTGATGACACCCCCTAAACCCCCTTCAATCTTGTGCTGTAACTTGGCTACTTTAATCGATTCAAGCTTCTTTGTTTGCGTGCTTGTGCGTATGTCGTTACGACTGATTAGTTCAAATCTTGTCCTTATTAGTTGCTTTTATTTGTGGGCCTTACCCAAGGTACCCCTGTTTTGAATGGAAGTTATTATCAATGAAATGAAGGGAGCGTCAATGTATCTTCAGCTGTTACGAGAGGCAAAGGCTCGTGTTTCTGTTAGCATCTCGTGATGTTGTATCCTTTCAATTCTGGCGGGAAACATCAAATTTAATCCTTGTTTGTTTTTGCTTTTACAGAACAAATCAAGGAAGAGAAGGAAAAAGGATCCGAGTAAGTTTTGTTTCAACAAAAAATAATCCAGATTTTAGTGATAATATTTGAGAACAGAGTCAAGTGTATTTCCGATTTTCCAAATCCAGCCCTTTTTAAATGCATATAAGATGATTGGATTTATTTGTTAAGCCAAAGAAGGACGCGTACTTCTTGAGAATATAAGGTTTATTTATTTTTGCGAATATTTCCAAAATATTTGTTATTTGAATAGTGATAGGACGTTGTGGGTCAAAGTTCATGGTTGCAGCAACGAACAAGCAATATTTTTACAATGTGGTTCGTCATGGCAAGAAGCAACTTTCAGATGGCGTTGTAGAAGCTCCTGTTCTGGGTCTATCCCCTGAATTAAAGAAACCCTGTTCACATTTTTATTGATAATAAATACATTAAGCAGATATGTTTAATGTTTACATAGCCATTGTTCAGAATCAATTATTTTCAACTCCAAATCGTTACTGCGGCTGCTTTATTTGTTAAACATCTAACGAACCGTTAGTTACTGTGTGCATAACGTGACCTTTGAAAATGTTGGTCAGCGGTAACAGAAAAATATGCGCTGTCATCTGATAGGCTTTTACTCGCTCCTTCTTCGCGCGCAATTCAGAAAAAACCCGTCATGTATGAACGTCAGTTTTCAGTTTAGCCTGGGCAGGTCCTTAGTCGATGACTGTCTTTATTTACGTTTTATGCTCTAAAAAAATCAATGCTTTCTATTTGTGCTTTGAAGTTGTCTTTTATGTCATTATTTCGGAACTTAAAGCCTTGTTTTCTCATTTTCCTAATTGGTGCTCTGATTTTGCTGCGCTTCTGATATCTAAGCTAAAAATAGGCGAAGCAGGCCGTGTTAAATCTTTCTCCCATTTAAATGTATTGCTTCTCATTAAAGGGAAGAGGAAGTAACAGATGATTCTGAAGATGAAAAAGGCGACAAGGAAAGCAAGGAATCTGACGAGAAGAAGGACAGCGTAAGGTGCGGGGTGTTTTTGATTACGTTATTTGCGTTATCTGTCATCTTGTTGATAGATATGGCCTGAATTATAGAATTTTAACCTTGTGGGAGGGTGCTTCGTTGCAGTTGTGACCAAGCAAATTTCTGTAGGAAGCATCTTAATGATGTAATGACCAAGGAGTTCTCCTGTTTATATGAATCTTCATCCAAACCACCTCGTGTAACTTGAAGTACTTCTTTTCCACATTGGACCAAGAAATGTTTTATTTTCATAATGCAAATCTCACCTCATGCTCCCCCAAACCTCCCTTTTTTAAAGCTAGATATTTCAGCGATCCTAAATGCAGTCAGTATTCAAACGACATTCTCAACTCTACAATTAACTATTCCCAATAACTAAGCAGGTTGCAGCTTGCCAGAAGTGTCCCGTCAACAAACTCTCCCAGGCAGCGTTGAGAAATCCAACATATGGCCCAAGCAACTACCATAACTCACGAAAACTTCGTTTAAAATTTTGTTTTGTCAGTTAGGCTCTTTGGGCTCGTGATAATCTTAAATAGAATCTTAAAAAGATAAGAATGCAGAGCTAATGCTTTTCAAAAGACGTTTTATTGTGTATCTTATTAGTAATTAAATCGCTTTAATTTCAGTCATTATTTCATTATATTTTGTTTTTATATCCTTTAAATGTTCTTGTTCTTGTATCTTATTGATGTATTATTTTAGTAAACTGTTTATGTTTTTTAAATCACAGCTCTGAAAGCAGCGCTAAGCCATCGGTGACGGAGAAACGGGAATATGAAACCAAGGAAGAGGCTAAGCAAGCCTTCAAGGATCTTCTCAAAGAAAAGGTTTGTTGCGAAATGCCAATCCAATTTACCGACAAGCCTTTATGACATTTTAAAGATATTTTTGAGTTTGGAAATCAGAATCCGGAATTTATATATTTTTCCATGTGTAACGATGCGCAATACCCGAATAATAAGAAAGGGAAACAACGATTTTTCCAAGTCGGACTTCTCATTCACGATTTCAACTAGATCAATTTATCCTCACTAAAACTTCTTGACTCTACCTTCTCTGTCGCAACTCGACTATGTTTCCTTTTTATCTGGCGTGCTCTTGCAGCGCTATTCAACACACGGTTTACTAATTGTGTAATTTTTTTTTACTATTTATGAATGCAGAGGTTATATTTCAAAAATTAAAACATTTTTAGACCTATCAACATCAAGGATATTTTCTCTATTGAGAAACGTTTTGAAAATTCGCCATTAAATATTACTCGTCATAAAAGATGTCCCAATTACCGGCTTTGTTAAAGCTTCTGTAAGTGTTAAAGCAGGGCAGATATAACAAACGTTATTGAGTTGAATTTTACGCACATTTTTCAACTATATGCCAGCTACCAATCAGTACTTGTTGTCATACTCGTCAAGGAGCTTTTTTAGCCAATTATTTGTCGTCTATTGCGAATATGAAATTCAGCAAATTGAATTGTGTTTTGTGAATAGCCTATTGAAGGAATAGCCATTGATTCTGCATGATCAACACGGTGCCATACCGTTGAAGTTACCTCTTGACAGTGGTATGTCAAGGGATATCCCGTATCAAGTTGATGTATTGAGATGCCAATTCATCATTGTTATACGAATTCTTTTCCTAATTCCAGCAGGCATTAAAACCAAAACAGCTGATTTTAAAACTGATCTTTATTTTGAATTCGTAGGGAGTCCCAAGCAATGCATCATGGGAAAATGCCATGAAGATGATTGTCACTGATCCACGATATACGTATGTACCAATTGTACCAATTCTTTAGACAATCCTTTTTTTCTGAATCAAAAGAACAGCTTTGTTGTACTCTCTTTTCGGCATGATCAACCGAAAATGTTAACGTTTACCAGAATTTTGTTTGCTGAATACTATGCCTTCTTTTTTATGTTCGTAGTTTTATGTTCGCAGTTAATTCGATCGGTCTTCAACTTCCTCCAAAATATTGCCTTACTTTTTAAGTTAAAATATTTTTTTAGTAAGAGCTTATGTTAGCATTAAAGGTCATGTGTCCAGCTCTGCGGGAGTTTTCAGAATCATGTGATTTTTCATGTCATCGCCCCGGCTATTACGGCTTTTCATGTGAGCAGTTTTGCATCGCAAGAATACTAACCAATCATAAGCTGTTGTTTTGATGTTACTTGACAAGTTGGGTATACGAAACCTTTTTATATGGAAACATTACCTTTAAGGTAAAGGAGTTGCATATTTTAGTAAGCACCATTTTTGAACTGCTCTGAACTTATCAGATTTTCGTTTTAGCGCGCTTACGAAGCTAAACGAGAAGAAGCAAGTATTCAATACTTACAAACAGCAGAGAGCCAACGAGGAGAGAGAGGAACATCGCATGAAAGTATGGTGCTTTTCGATACATAGTAGGACTAAACTTCAAAATAAGTAGTAACTAACTTTTGTTGGCAATTTAACATATTGTTATTTTTCCAGATATTAATAATAACTGATTAAAAGCCCACGGAAATTTAAGATAACAAATGGTAAATTTTTGTAAAGTCACGCCAAGTTTAGCTGAGATAAAATAGATACATGGATTCATGGTTTCAAAATCAATACAAATGAACCAGAGGCTCAATTTAAGAACCAATTTTTTGTCACAATGTTTAAAATTCACCGTAATAATTTTGTTGAAACAGTGAACCTAATTGTATTGATGTTGTTGCTGTTTAAGCTAAAACAAGCTAAGGAAGACTTGCGTCATTTCCTGGAGACACATCCCAAAATGCATTCCTGGACAAGATGGCGGAAAGCATCGGAGATGTTCGATGGGGAAGAAATATGGAACGCAGTTAACGAAAGAGAAAAGAGGGACATTTATGATGATGTAATTTTCTATCTGGCGAAGAAAGAAAAGGAGGATGAGAAAAAACTCCATGCTAAAAACAGAGAATATATGCTTGATGTCTTTAGTGGCATCTCTTCGATCACATACAAAACACTTTGGTCCGAGGTAAAATTGTTCTCCATTTTTTTAGATTTAGGAAATGTGAAATTTCACGCTTTTGTTTTCTTACCTATGCTACTGCTCCATTACTGTTTTTCACCTGGCTAGAGACCACTTTCAACGAATAAAAATTACAAACCATTCTTTTTCATAGTTGCCAGTATCATAAATAAAAACAGATTTGTTAACTGTATCCGTAGGATTTGATATTTTCAATATGTAAGACAAATTTCTCAATTAATAATCGCTAGTATGAGTGGTAGCCCATCATGTCTCATCTACACCCTATACCTCTGCAAGAGGACAATCATTTTTCAGCTGCTCTTGTGTCTTTTTTCACCTTTCAATCGCCATAAGTTTTCAAAATTCTGGACTTTCAGGTGTATTTTACAATACCGAGCTGAACTCTGGGTATCTTCTATTTTCCAAGTTTGACTGAAGCATTGGACAAACTGCTGGAGACCAAACCAAATTTTGGATCACTCCAAGGTTTTCTTGCACCTTACAAAGCGTTGTATGGGTGGATGACCCCTTCTCCTTTCATTTTAGGCTCAAGAAATACTTAAAGACCATTCAACATACAGGGATGACGAGGATGTGATTCGTAAGTATTCTGCCGTGTATTCCTGCTTACACGTTTGACCCAGACACATTTTCAATAATTGACTTGCAATGTCAAGAATAGGATGACGCTTTATACTGAACAAATCATAATTCCAATTAATATATTTTCATTTTATTTAACGAGTGATTGTCTACCCATAGTTTTGTTGCTGTAAAGCATTGCAGAATCTACTTTTGCAGAATCTACAGCCCTCAGAAAGAGTGATATACATCTTTATAAAAATGCATCAAAATAGATTGCTGTTTACCTCATCTGCTGTATTCTGATAACCACCTATCTGCATATTTCTCATTGCACATTCCGCAAGAATGAATCACATGTTTCTTCTCAATAGCCAATCACGAGTTCGCTTGTTTCTTCATTCTAGGAATCATGTCAGATGATAAAGAAGATGCCCTAATTGCTTTTGACAACCATGCAAGAGAGCTGGAAAAGGTGATAAATCTAGTACTGCACCTCAGACCTTTCCTTAAACTCGATATTTGACGGTTGACTATCCTTAGCAAACGGTCTTATTAAATAACTTTTGAAATTATCATCAAACTAGTTTTCGCAAGCTAGATAATTGAAGCAGCAGAGGTGGAAGTATTTTGATGGCATTAATCATTGGGAATGTTGGGGTTTCAGAGAAAACTGTCCGTGATACAGGGAAAGAAATTATTTTTTACATTGAACAGCACAGAGTAAAGATTGTAACATTTTTTACCAGGCAGCTTAGAAGCTTTGCTGGAAATATCGGTTCCATAGAACAGTTTTGAGCACATAGAAATTCCAAAATAAGGTAAAGCGAATGTAATAAGTTAAGGAGCTACTGTGATGACAACAAGATATACTTAAATTAGATTTACGCAATATGCAATTTGGTTGAAAACAACAGCGAATCGTAACGATTTTGACAAGACAATTTATGTCATGAAAAAAGAACAGAAAACTACAATTATACTTAGTGAATCCATCATGGCCATTTTAATTAACTGATGTGTTAACCTAAGATGCTGAAAAGTAATCCCAAATCTCAAAACACCTTGAAGTGAACGGCTATATTATTGTATCTCCAACTGAATAGAGAATTTTTCATGGAAGCTTTGAGAGTGAAGTCTTAGCGAACAATGGACCTATTTCCTTTCTTTGTAATATAGCATTTATGTTATGCAGTTAGTCAGCTCTACAATTAGTAAGTTAGCAGCTAACAGCATCGACGCAGACTATTTTTTGTATTATTTTTGGGGAACATTACAGACAGTTTGTTTTAGGTTATTTGAAAACGATGTTCGGAATAATTATATTTGTTATGAATTTCAAATATTGCCTCTTGCAGGAGTATGAAGAAGAACGAATTCGGGAGAAAAATCGTCTGAAAAGACAGCAACGGAAAAATAGAGAAGGATTTCTCGTGAGTTGTCTCATCTCATTCAGTCATTCTGCTTGTTGTAAAGGACCAACTTTGAATACAATAGCTGCACGATATTCGAGGAGCGCGTAGGACATTAAAGATTGAGTGGGCTAAAACGTTTGGGGGGGGGCTAAACATGCTAAAAACCAAGAGCAGGACGATTTTTGGTATGATTCTTAGTACATTTTGAAAATTATTGTAGCCACCCCCATCCCCCCGAAAGTAGCCCCCCCTCCCCCGCTTCCGCCGCCCCTGATGATATTGTCTGATTTCTCCAAATCCTTTCCTTTCATCCGGCCTATACACCTATTCAAGGTTTTTGTTGATCTACATAAGTGAAGCTTTAGATTTGATTTGTTTTTGTTGACTCACCAGGCGCTGCTGGACGAGCTTCACAAATCAGGCTACCTGACGTCAATGGCCAGGTGGATGGACCTCTACCCAAAAATAAGCGCAGACGTGCGGTTTGCAAACATGCTCGGCCAACCAGGTTCGTTTTTTACGGTGACCTCCATAGATTCTACGGTGACTTCTGTTCAATCGTATCAGCGTATCAGTAATGTCGACAGCCGACAGCACAGTTTAGTCTTGCCTTCTTGTTTTCTGTATTTCTCGCCAATCTCTGAGTGCAGACCATGTAAAAATATGAATCGTCGTATTTTTATTTTCCCCACTGCAAATCAGACTACTGTACAAATGGAGACATTGAAATTCCTAGACATTGTCCATCTTAACTGATAAATCTCTTTGATAGTTAACGATATCTTTGTTGTGCTAATGACAGAAGTACTTAGTATGATTTGAAGCTAGATTGAAGCTATTTAGCGCACCCTCATATCGTGAGTTTGTATTCTGTATGATACTTTATTTATACGCTAGTTCTTGTAGTATACGGATTGAAGTGAATTGATATTGAATTGAATTATTCACCTTTGAGGTTCACAGTCTTTGCAAATTATTTATGCCTAATTATTGTAGCTAGCACATGTGCTACTAGTCATTAATCGGCGAGTTTTCTCCCGTAACAGGATCGACTCCTTTGGACTTGTTTAAATTCTTTGTTGAAGATCTAAAGGCGAGATATAACGACGAAAAGAAAATCATTAAAGAAATCCTAAAGGTATTTTGTGTTTGCACTGAAGAAATTTTGCTTGGAGGAATTTATCTTGGTTTTCTTTGATTGTCAAAATAGTGGCGCTGTATAGATATTTTCCTTCTAGAAAGATTTAATATTCTTCTGGCTTTAGATCAATTAATATCATCGTAATGTATTCCTTTTGAGCAACCCAAAGAATGAAGTCTTCTGCGCATTTAAGCAACATGATTAGTGGATTTCCTGGAGGATTCCCAAAAAGGGGAACTCGCTAACAACCAATCACGATTTGCCCGCTATGCTATGCCCGACATGCCTTTTTCATTTGATTTACAAACATTTGCCGAGCTAGAGCAACTGCTTCAAACTACAAGTAACCTATGATGACCTACAAGTAAAAATGTCTGCATTTCAACCTTAATTTGTCTGTCTATTGTCTGTTTTGTATGTTCTTTTTTATATCTTTCAGGACAGAAACTTCATTTTCGAAATAGACACAACTTATGACGAATTCAACAATGTGATCATGGACGACGAACGCTGTGCGACTCTGGACCCAGGAAACATAAAGTTTGCCTTTAACAGCGTGAGTGTTAGTTTAATTTCAGAGGATGTTATGATCTTGTCCGTGGACACGTGTGTATAAAAACCTGCTTTTTGCTGCTGTGCGGTGAAAAATCTCAGCTGCCTTTTTGACATGTTGTATCATTCAAGGCTCTTCAAAATAGTTATATATTTATATATATTTGTTTGATATAGATTATAGAGAGAGACCAATTAAGGGGAAAAACGTGCTAAAGTTATAAAAAGAGTGTCACTTTAAACGCGGCATCTTCATATTTACCCCATTAATGTCACCCAACTTTTGTTTTCTTTCTCTTCCTGCTTATATAAGAAAAACACTGCTTTCTTGTTGTTTTACATTGCACGCACCGATATCTTGCCCGCTCTTTCCCAGCTGCATATTTATTTTTATTCACTCATGCTAACCAAATCCGCACAGAAAGTTAAAGGAATAGACTAATTCTGATTTCTTTCGCAATCCAGAATGGTTATTGACTGGAAATTTTGTATTATAGATGCATGAGAAAGCAGAAGGAAGGGAAAAAGAAAGACTGAAGAAGGAAGAAAGAGAGGTATGTTTTCATACATGCTACAGACCCGACATGCAGGAGTAGCGAAGACCCATATTCAATAAGACAGCCTATGAACCGTCCAAATTTTTTGTTGTTGCTAGCAAATATTGAATACGCCATGATATGCATTGAAATCAATACAAAGTACTGTGTTTTGCAGATGAGGAAAATATGCTTGCACCTTACCTGTAGTGGCCTATTTCCCATCAAAATGGTCCTGCTGAATGTTAGAGGCCTATGTTCTGGTGTTGAAATTCCTCATCACCTTTCTTATTATCATAATATTGCATCCATCATTATTTTCTTGTTTGATTTTATAACTAGTATATTAGAGTGGGTGTACAATTTTTTTGGCTAATGACCCGTTTTTTCTATTCTAGTCGAAAAGAAGAGAAAGCTCGTTCAAGCAGCTTTTAAAGCAGGCAGCGCCACCTTTGGAGCCTGGGGACAAATGGGAAAGCGTGAGTTGCCCCGCTGCTCTTTATACCCAAATTTCTCAGACTTTGTATTTTCAAACTTAAATTAGATTTCCTGTCAATCGGCGAGTTGGTTTTGCATTTTATAGTTCATCAGACTTTTTCCTTGACCCTGCATGTCCAGGATGAAACTTGATTCTTTAGTTGACGAAATCCAAAAATCCGCCCAGGCCTCCCTATGTGAAGCTTTCTTCAAGTTGGAGTAATGGAGCTAGATCGTAGATTTTCTTAATATTAGAACATTTCTAGCGTTCTCCTTAATCGAAGTACAAATGTTCGCTGAAAACAAAGAAAGTAATATATATGTATTTTTGTATTTTTGTCTCGTTTAAAACACGATGAAATTTTGAGATTAGATTATCTATTACAAAAAAATGAAGAAATTAATACCTCTCAATAACTTTTGTAGGTAAGAAGCCGGTTTTCAAGTGAATCGATATTCTCACAAATAACTTTAGAGTCAGAACGGGTCCGTATTTTCAAAGACTTTATGGGCACGATCGAAAGTAAATCAAAATCAAAGAAAAAATCATCGAAAAAGCACAAAAGGAGGTCGAGATCATCATCGGTACGTGGCAATAGATTACATTGACTTTGTCGGGTTTTTAAGAAGAGATTTGTCGATTAGTATTGTTATAATAAGACTAGCGCTACTCAGGTATATAATCAGGTCTTATTAAACTCTGTGTAGAATGATTTTTAGCCCTTTATTCTGTTCCATGCTCCGTTACATACAATCTTTAATAGACAGTGTTTAATAAGAGAGAAAATACAAAAGAAAATCCTCCTTCCAGACCAAAAAAAGGAGGCCAAGGGTAGTTTTTGGGTGCCCTGATTTCTCCTTATAAACTTTCGCTATAAAGGGGCTTTTGGGTGCCAAATTACGTCTGCAGTATACGTAAAGCGTTTTTCTCTATAGCTTTGTCTTGCACTGTTGGTCGTCAATGTTTAAGATTATCTTTTTCAAAATAGTCAAAACAATTTTCAAATTTCTCATTGCTGCATGACTGGCTTTTTCTTAGTTTTGCTTCCATTTATCGTTGCCCATTTCATTTCTCCATTCAAAGGCGTGCATACTTTGCATGTAGTATGTTCTGCAACACACGGAGATAGAGAAACATTGAAGAAGTCTAATGCGATGGCAATTGATACCTTTATTTCTATCGTTGGTGCTTTTTCAAGACATGGAATAAATGATGAATGATTTAATATTTTTTATTATTGCAGTTTTCGTATTTATGCAATGATCAATTGCAGGTCTCGCTTTCCGAAGAAGAACGATCCAGAAAGAAAAAGAAACGAAGGTCAAGATCCAAAACTCCATCGTCAGCGTCAGAATCAGGTCAATATTCATCTTATGTTGTATCGTGGTTTATTGGTCCTAAGACATTGCAGACTTAACCGAAAGAGACTTACATGTTTCTTCACCCGCACTCGTTTTCGCGTAACTTATATTACCTAGCTTTCTCGTGCTCCATCTTTTTCATGGTCGCCCTAAAGCTCTTCATGCAAGCCGCGCCACAATATTGTAAAATTTCCGAACCATGCATTTACTGCAAGTTCTAACATGATCCTGCTTCTATATTTGCGTTTCCACCTTTAAAGCTAAGGCCAAAAAATTTTCTATAACGAGAAATTACTTGAAGTAAGAGAGCATGTAAGCATAGCCAAGGGCATTCATGGCTCCATCTAGTTTGCTTGTTATTTTCTAACTCTTTGAAGAAGCTTAAAAGCATTGAGTCGCGGTAAATAGGCCTTCCTTATATGGGGCTCATTCGCTTTTGGCGTGATCGCTGCAGTTTCATGTGACGTAGACATCTGTTGTTGACAACTTGCTATTGACGGAAGCTGCTTTGTTTATCAGTACGAGGCAACTTCGTGTGATCAGTTTCAGGTCCGCCAATAGCACTGCAGCATGAAAGTCAAGACTCAGCGTATTTTGGGGGTACCCTTCTTTTAACATAACTCAGTGCCTCTTTAAATGACTACCTTTTGAAGTGGTAATGATGGTTTTCCAATTTACTGTTAGTTCGTCTTGCTTACAATCACATGGCGATATTTATGTGCCTTTTTTACCTTTATATTGATGTTTCATTGAGGTGAGGATTTTCTTGAAAGCATAATGGAGAAGGCTCATTTTTGCCTTAGGATCATGAATTATAAAGTTAGATCAAAAAGAGATTGACAATACTCTTCGTTTCAGAACAAGAAGTGAAAAAGAAAGAAAAGAAGCACAAGAAGGTGAAGATTGAATTTTCTATAACCAACTTTATCTTTCTGGCTTCTTAGGTTTTTTCCTATGCTTTCTTTTCTTTTTGGGAAATCCAGGGTATAAAATCTTGCCTACATTATCACGACGATGGGCATTATCAAGTGACTCTCGAGTTGTTCCACGAATTTTATTTTGCTGACAGCTATCATGTTTAAACATAGTCAAAAGACTACAATCTAAGTTCCATTTTCTAATTGTTTCGAGCATTTAAACAAGCGATGCCGTTAATTTTCAATTTGTAAGTCCTAGGTTCAAACTTAACATGATCACAGGATACAATGTAAAATTTTTGTCTTATACTTTTATTTTTTTATTTTAGAAAAGCAAGAAGAAAAAGTATTACACTGTAAGTGTGAACAGCTCTCTGCCACCTGCTTGTTTTATGTTTTTAGTCGTCAAAGAAGTGCAAGATTAGACCCGGGTCATATTCTGAGCACGTGGTCATATTCTGAGCATGTGGATGCTCTTGGCAAACATGGCTCATTTGATCATGTTTTGCTTTGAATCTGCTTTTATATTGTGGCCGCAGAGCAAGCTTTTTGGCTACGCCGTAATCCAAGATTTAATGTTAGATAACTTCAGAATGATGTACTCTTTGTTCATGGATCTGATTGTTATTTCAAACCTTTACCTACAAGGAATCGAGTAGCGCACAAGAAATATTTGCCCATCCAATTTTTCTTGAGTCCTTGAAAGTAAATTTTCAAGTAATTCAAAGGATCGAAATGACAGGTTGTCAATTATTTAAGCAGACTCGCTTTGATAGAGAACTCTTTTTCCTTGAAGATACAATTTAGCTTCTACCAGGTCATCCATAAAACTTTTATGCTGGGGGGGGGGGGGGGGGGACGCAAAGTTGGGCCCACGAGGCGTAAGATTGCATACAGGCCATTAGCACCACTAACCATTCGGAATAAAGGAGGGACTTTATCAACAAAGATCTCTGTATAGAGATGGTTATCCAGTAGTTGTTTGCTAACAGCTATTCCTAAATTGTGATGGCGTTAATGTACTATTGGTCTTCAATATGAGAACATTACTGTGTATCTTATTTCCTATTTTCAAAGTGTTCAACCGATCTTTTGCAGCCTACACCATCTGGATCCGAGTCGGAAGCAGAGGAGGTCGTTAAGGAAAAAAGTGAAAAGAGTAAATCGAAGCATAAGTCAAAATCAAGAGAAAAGAAAGAAAAAAGGGAGAAGCGAGAGACGGTAGATTATGACGATGGGAAGTTGAGTGAGTCAGGAAGTGAAGAAGGGGAAACTCGCTCGCCTGTCCCATCTAAGAAGAAAAAGGTACACAGGCACTAAAGAAGAACATTTTTTGTTTGTGTATAGAAAAGCTAGAAAATTATTGTTGTACATTACTTGGTAACATTTAATTTTTTTAAAATGTTTTGCTTGCGTTCAAGGTTTCTGATGTTGGTCTGTCTGCTCAAGCTACGGGAGAATTAGAACTCATGGTTACAAGGAGTTCCCCCATTTTTAATTCTTGCAAAGAGCTCCCCCTTTGATTGCATAGTTGCCTGTTTCACGTGTTAAGTTAATCTTTTTAGTTTTGTATCACCAATTTTGGTTGCTGACAGATCTAGCTAGTAAACATAGCAAGTGAAAGATGTCTAAGAAAAAATTTTAAGTTGATCTGTGTTCTTCTGTGTTTCTTGCTGACATGTCCAGGAAATCAGAGAGAGACTTGCAATAGATAAAGTTGTTTTAATCTTCTAGCTTTGTCAAGATATCCAGTTAATATATTCAGCTAAATCTAGCAGCTGCTCAGTTTCACCTATACGACCTTGACCCAAAAGATGTTTATTTCGATGCTTCCTCCTTTAATTATTCATCTCCATGCAGGTATCGTGAAGTTTGAGAAAGCTCGCGTAAGCCTTTTGCTAGGTAATGCACGAGTTTTTTCTTCTCAAGGCTCGTGTAGTGTCATCTTTCCTTACGACTGGTTGGAGATTTTAAAACATTTGGAGAACTTTTAGGGCTATTGCTGTATAATTCTGGTCTTCTTTCTATGTGGTGGTACTGACCTGGTTGTGTAGTAGTTGCTTGTTTCCTCTGCATGTCTTGTGTGATCTTGATCTGTTTCAGTGATTTCACAAATATGTCCACACCAAATCATATATTTGTCACAATAATCTTCCTCACAGCATCTATTCATATTCAAACTGAAAAACTATTTTTTATAAATAATATAACTATATTCCTGCTGCTGTAATTTGTCTTGTATCTATTTCTTTCACTTTTGAATTGGCCCTTGTATCCATTTCTTTCACATTCGAATTGACCAACTACCCGCCTCTTACCAATCTGGTTCTTCTTTATCGATCTTATTGTAAAACGTTTATCACTCGACAGGTGATGCCATGATGTAGGGAGTGATAACAGCCAACCGTTTGTAATTAAAATATTCAAAACTAAGAAAATTAACTTCATGCACATAGGTTTAATTCAATATGGATGGACAAGGTAGGGCAGCGTGTAATAGATTTGAAGCAAAAAATATGATGAAAAAGTTTATGCAAACATAAAATAGATTTTGCAAGACAACTTCCTAGATGTCTAGATGCCTAAATGGCCACAGGTTATAAAAAGTTACCCGCTTTATATTGTAGAGCCTTATAAAAACAGGACTGAATGGAAATAATGACTTTTATACTGAGCACTTAAACCCGTACAGCAAAATTCGAAAAAGTAAATCTTTCTCATTGAACGTGAATCTGATTTTGCAATATGATATGAATGATTTGTCTGAAAATCAATTATATTAAATGTGACAAAAGAATGAAGGTTAGATTAATTATAAAGATTTCTGTTTTGCATCTAGATATTTCAGCTCATCAAGAGTTTTCTACCAAGCTACGGCTAAAATAAGACTCGATATTTCCTTGTTATTACATAAACCGCTAGCCGTAAGGTGTGGTTCATTATAATTTCAATATGCAATGACGTCACTAGCTGTTCTCAAGATAGATTGATGGTTAATGAAATTGCCTGCAAATTAACCCCTAGTGCAATAATTTCATCGTCTTGGTTTTTTTTATTCCCTGCAGCATGGCAAACCAGCTTTGTTTGTATTAGCAAGCCATTGTTCACACTACGTTGTTGCTAAATGGTCTGCTTCAACCTAATTAAATGATTGCTTCATGCACTTGTTGCTAAATGAAAGATAGAATGGGCGTATCTTACCAATGATGCACTGGGCTATCTGTTTGCTGCTCTGTTTTGCAAAAGAAGGCAGTAATATCCCAGACAGCCAGTGCCACCAGTCTTATGTCGTTCTATTTCTATTCTCTGTCGCACAACTTATTTCCTCAGTTTTCTTCAACATTTCTTCTTTCTACAAGTCTCTCCAGAATGGAATCGTGTGTTAGGCAGAATTGTTTCTGTTACCTGACAACTCGGGCCTTTTCTTTTTGTTTGAGATACCCCGTAATTGACTGTACTGAGTGTTATGCAGTTTCCTTCTTTATGCTGTTATTTTCATTTTTGGCGGCTAAAGAACACACCTTAATGTAGTACACTTATGATCTTAATTCAATTAAATCAAGTTTATTTCAACGTATTAATCATACTAGCCTCCTTTATTTATTTAATGACATTATTCTCTTGCTGCAGCTAACCCCGTTACTTCCATTTCAGACTGACTGGGACACATCGAGTGAAGACGAGGCTATGCTACAGAAGAGAAAACGAGAGTTGCTGCAAAAACTAAGAGCCTCGGCACAGCAGGATGGCGATTATTGAACAATGCGCAAATTCTTCACCAGCTCTCCAATTAGGCCTGACGATTTTTTCATCTCAGAACACGAAGAACTGTTATTTTCATCAACTTTTAACATCACACACAGCAGGTCTTCATAATTCTGTATCGATGATTCCCTCAGTAGGGGATTTTGATACCATCTTATTTTGTATTACTTTATTTGAGTAGAATTTATTTTAGTCTTTTTGGTCACCTTCTTCCAAACCAGTGAGTCTAATATTTACTTTGATGCGTAAACCTCATAAAATTCCTTGTTCTTTTTTCTGATTCAATCAGATAATTTCTTTTCTGAGACAGGCAGTTGCCCGTATTGCTTGTTGGCGGAGAGGTACTTCAGAATCTTTCCAGTAACAGCGATGTATATAACTTACCGTTATCAGAATGCTTAATTGTTATGATAATTTATCTACTTCAGATACTGTTGCTTACCCTAAGAAATGATTGTTGAAGATAAAATCGTAACTGTAACTTTTGAATATTTTCTTTATGACCTTTTACCTGGTGAACTGCTGCAGCTTTCTGTCTTTCGCGTCGTGTTGCTGCGCAATTACCGCGTATGTAGAGATTTTCCACCTGGAACATCGTGTAGAAAATTGTTGGTGCCACTTGACAAATCATGGATAACACACCCGTTTAGTCAGAAAATTTGAATGGAACAAAGTTAGTGACACCAAAGGGTCAGGGGGGGACATCCTAATGAGTTGTACTATTGCCAGATCTCAGGCGACATGCCCTTGACCACGCCCAGTACATTTGGATTTTTGACAAAATAACGCCTGTGTTACCTTTAAAACCTACGTTAGCTTTAAAACAAACCTAACATCAAGATTCTCAAGTGCCTTGCCATATCTTATGACATCACAGCTGAGATATGCAGACTCCATATCTTATGACATCACTATTTCTTAGGGTACTTGGATATATAGGGTATATTTAGGATAGATAGGCTCCGAGTTCTTATGGATATAGCGAAATAAGGCTAAAATACTTGTTGGGTCTAAAGCACCAGATAATATGCAAAAAGGTAATGAAAATATGACATATAAAGAAAGGCACAACCAGTGTTATAAATTATTGCATTATAATTCACATTAAAATCATTTGAGCTTTTCAATTTAAAACTATAAAATTTGATTATGTAATTTAAGTAACAGAAAATATTTTCTAGGTATTTTTCTGGTTCTAAAATACATTTTATGGCATTTATTCTGTCTCATTTGAAAGTTTTTCAGCTAAAAAATTCAGATACGGAGTTAAAAATTCTGCCGAATTTGCCTGTTCGCTTTAGTTTGAAGCAAAACTAATGAAAACGTCAAGTAGAATGATAGGAGCGAAAGTAACTCAAGGTGCAATGAGTATAAAAAAAAGCTGCATGTTGGTGGAGGTCGGAGGCGCTAAAAAGATGATAGCCAAGAGAGATAGGAAGTGGTGCGGTGAAAGATCATCTAGAATTATTGATGCAAGTAGGCCTGACAGTATAGTATAAGGGAGGGGCGGAGGCGAAAAGGTGGGGGCTTTTGGGGGAGGCGCGGAGTAGCAAAGGAGAAAAGGAAATAAGATTAACTGGAACTTTTTACATTCGGTCTTGAAGGTTGGAAAGATTGACCATTATTATTATTATTATTATTATTATTATTATTATTATTATTATTATTATTATTATTATTATTATTGTTATTAATGATCATTCAACCGAACCTTAAATTCGACAAACCTATCTATAAAAAGAACCACACTGAGAATCATATTTTTTATGAAGCTTTATACTAAAGTTTGCAGTCTTGTTTGCCATAGACTTGAAATCGTGATTCTGGTTGTGAGACTGTAATTCGTATAATTCTATATCAACTTAATATAAATGCTGAGAATTGTGTCTTGCATAAAATGCCAGAAACATTAACCATATTTTATTAAAGTAAGTAATTTTAAAAATTAATACCTTGATAAAAAATATCAAAATGATTTATGGCGTGAATTTTTCGCATCGAGAATTTTTCTAATGTGATAAACTGAAATTCGTTAGTAATATCTTCAAAGCAAACTTAGCCATATATTTCAATGCTTAATTAAATTCTGATTTTGGATGGATTATGTAAGATTCATTTGCTGCGGATCGTTATAATGCTTTATAACATACAACAGCCATTCTTAAACTCCGGCCTGCGGGCCAAGTTCGGCCCGCAGCAAAATTTCATCCGGCCCGCCGAATACTTTTTGCCAACATTTTCAAAATTTGGAATTCGATTTATCTTTGGCTTTTTTTGCCCCCACTGATATTTTTTTCTGTAGTAAGTTACTGGTCCACAAGAGAGTATCGAAATAGAAAATGCTTTATTTAATAAATTGATCGTTTTCATAGCGTTTAACTAACTGTTTTTTAATTTGTTTTTCTTCCCCATCTTACATGCTGTTGTGCTAAGTATACTCTAAAACCTTGCAAGACTTTTCCTTTTTCATGTTAAGAGATAAAACTATGGAACCTAGTTATGAAAGAATATTGCCTTGAACTTTCTCCCGTTAAAATCTTTTTGAGGTGCTGTTTTTGGCCATTCCTACATTAATATAATCTAAAATTTTTCTTGCCGCCAACCATGGTGGCCGCCTTTACTAAATTTAGTCCCTCGACCTAACTTAAGCCGCGCTTCAAATTGATCCAACAAGAGGCTAAAGAAGATTAATGTTCTAGCCTAAAAATAGCATAGAACGATTTTCTGACTCAGCCTGGTACAAGAAACATAAAATTACAAACCTTTGTGAAAACTATTTGTTGGGTTTATGCGAAGATAGGGGAGCAAGAAAAAAGGACTGATAAAATCTTATCACTAACTTAGCCTGGTAAAAATGAGACCTGAGTTTCATTTTGAGCAACCTTTTAACACAAGGTATGGAGAAGTTGAAAACCAAGTGGCCCACGAAGAAAATTTATATGTTTTTTCTGGTCCGGCACTTAAAATAATCAAGAACCCCTGACATACAACATGCTCTAACTAACCTACATGAACTTAATTTTAGGAAACGATTAGCAAAATATTTGGTTTTTCCAAACCAACAGCCTTGTCGACTTCAGTTCCTCATAGAAGCCGGTTTTCATCAAAAAGGATTGATTCATTTTGGAAGTTGTTTTCGTCAAACGCACTTGAAAACATTCTCTGAAGGCTAAAAAACTGATTAATTCAGTGCTCAACTTGATAACGAATATTTAATATGCGGTTGGATGATATGCAGGTGTAACCGTACGTCGGCACTTGCCCCTGACTTTTCGAAAATGTCTCTATTTTGGAGGCGTCCTCAGGGCCCACGCCACGAGTTTGAAAGGTGGCTTCTTTGAGTATTGCAGCTTTTAAATTGCTTGTTTCGCGAAAAGTGGGCTGGAGTCATTGCCCCCGGCCCCCGGTGGCGTGGGCCCTGGTCCTTATAAGAAAGTTTGCCCTTTTCTTAAGGCATATTGCCCCTTTCTACCTGGGCCCCTTCAACTTTGAAATGGTCTCGACATCACTGCTAAATCCCCCAATCACCATACCTGCTTCTGATTCACCTTTGCTCTAGTGTCACGATACTATGTTCCCCTGATATAAGGCCTACCGGCCAAGGATAGAAGCATTGTATGAACATTTAATTAAAGCTCATAACCACCATATACTTCCAGATATTCTTCTACAAATATATTATCGGCATCTGTATATTACCCTTATAGAGGCATGCTTTATCTTTAAAAAGTTTATCTTAAACTTCTGTGTCATATTTTTGTACTTCATGCAAAGATAAAGAAAACATGTCCCAATACAGCTCTTTGTGGGATTCCAACAGATGACCAATTAGAGAATGATCCATTAACTGCTCCCCATTCTTTGTTGGACTGGAAACATATCCACGCTACTGAAATATTTCCTTATCCATCATAGTGACACTTTTTTTATATAAGAACCAGGAAGTTGAAGTTAACGCTTCGTGTTTCTTACCTTTTCAAGATGTCGGGGCTTGATTGTTCTTATTTTGTTCGTAAATTATTGGTAAAAGAAATGGCCTGCTATGATGTATCTTTATATAAATATTTTACATTCTTATGTTTTAAAGTAGCTCAGCCTCGGCTTATGTTTTAAATTTGAAAAATTTCGAGGCTCGTTTTCTTTTAAAATTCGTCTTATATAAAAAGTGAACAACTTGTACACATTTTCTAAACACCTTCTATTAGAAAACAGTGTCGAAGGCATTTGAAAAAATGAAAATGCATGATAACCATAGCATGTCTTTCGTACAGCAGTGAACACTCCAATATCATTTTTTTCTAAAAGGTTTTGCGTACATGATCAACCTCAAAAAATCCATGTGGGAATTTTTTTATGCATATGCCTTTTCTTATAAATGAGCAGAAATATCTCATCAATTTACAAGTACATAGCAATGTTAATTGTCCCTGTCCGGTTTGTTGCCATTCTTAATAGCCGTGTAACATGACTGTCCTTCGAGACAGGGGGAAGGGCCTATTCTAATAGCGTTTTATTTCAAAGAATAGAAAATAGTGTTTAGATTTGCAACACCATAAAAGAGATAGTAATAATAATTCTTTCCCTAAGCCATTCATATCTAATGATCCCAGAAAAATAAAAATAGAAATTTGAAAGCGTTCGTTAAGAGGAAAATTGTTTACTTGGTAGCGAGATTGGAAATTATTTTGAGATATAAAGGGTGTTAATTATATAAGAACACCATCAGACCAAACAAAGGGACGATTGATGATATTTTCTGGCATTAACTTTACTGAATATGGTTATCCATAATGGTCATAATAATAGCACACTAGATAATTCTTCAATGAAGTTTATTCAAAGAAAGCGAATGTCAACTGAATGCAACATGCATTCGAATTAAATTTTAATGGGAACTTATGAAGAGTATATATTCTTTTCTAGGTAACTTGCTGTTTCTACACTCATAACTGGAATTCTTGCAGATTCTTTGATGCAATGGCCTAAGCCTGCCACAATGTTTACATTAGTCACTGCGCTGAGGGTGGAGCTTGGTGTATTCTGTGTCATTGTTGCACCTAGGGTAACCCGTCATGAATTGGACCAATGAGATGGCCTTATTCCACAAAGGAACCAATCAGAGCACGATATTCTCCATGCATTGCTTGGCTTGTAAAAGGGCCTCTACGATTTACGAACATATTCCGCGAGCACAGTCTACCGATGATCTTCAAACATGGCTAAATTTATGTGTACATTTCGTATCCACTTGAGCAAGACTACCAGGATAGACGTACCTTAAAATATGGTGGAGAAAATGACCGACCTTGGTCAGACTTCACGAGCTGCTAGTGCACTGTTGAAGCGACAAGAGGCGATCAAACGCTGGATCTCAAGTGATACTAACCGAGAATCTATTCGCCGCTCAGCAAATCAAGTCCGTATTACTTTCGATAAAGAGACTGTGTTCTTATCCGCTGTTTCTAGTGGAGATATCGACGAAACGAGAAACCTATTGAACGATGGAGTTGATATAAACTGTTCAAATGTTGATGGCTTGACAGCCCTACATCAGGTAAGGTTACTACCTTCCTCCACAAAGTAGGCTCTAATTTACCTTGACGAAACTACCAAGCCCAACCATTCTAGGAGAGGTTAACAGAGAAACCTGTGGAAAGTGTCCCACTCCACCTAGGATGGGGAAGTTCTGTTTTTCTTTTTGCGCATTAGAATAGATATTCGATGTGCATTTGCCACTACAGAAAGCTTCGGCATGTAAACGCGTTCAAAATTTGGTACTGGCCTAGGTTCGTAGTACCCACTTGTTACATCGTTAGGGGTGTACAAAGCCATACATTGTTATCGCCCTTTGAATTTCTCTGTCAGTGCCGTGCCGGTTGATGAAAATTTTGCAGTCTGTAGATGGCATAGAATAATCCATCTGCTTAGATTTTCTACTTTAGAAGTGTTTTGATCAGGAAAATGGAATTCAATGCAATAGAGTTGCAATCACAAGTAATATATATAAAAATAGATATGCAGTAACCCACCGATCAAATAAAAACGTTTCTGTCATAATGTCAGTTAATTCTTCATAAAGGAGGCAAAAAGGTTTGAAATGAATATAGATCGTCAAAAGGCAATAGCCATATACAAACGGTGAATTCTGACCTACATAGTACCCCCAATCACTTCTCTCATTCCATCTTTCGGACATTGTGATCACTTGTTTCCTTGATTTCGCTCGATTTTTCGCCCAAAAGTTTTCTCTGCAAATGATTTAGGGATCCCATATGCAAATTAAATTCGTCTGGATATTTAGTAACTTGAAGATTTTCACCATACAGCTACAGAATATTTTGCTGGATGTCACAGAACCTAATGAATTCATGACGGGGTATAGCCATCCCCTCAACCCCCAAGAAAGTGAGCTCTTTTATACAGAGACGTAAAATTTTAAAAATTTTAAAAGATTTTTTCAATTATTTCTATGTCACCAAGGAAAAAAATCATGACTAGGTCTGTATTCATGTAATAAATGCATATGATTTTAAATAATATCCAGGATTTCCTTTAGAAAGTCTTTGGAAAATTGTCAAAAAAGTGTCTAAATGGACTATTAAGTGCAGGGAGTCCAGTGAATAGGCTCACAAAACACACATTAAAACTGTGCTTTTGCTTTTTATGTATATTTTTGTAGTTTTTGGGGCTCTGAAAATTTGCAAAGGTTCTTTGCATAATTTAAGATCCTCAAGTTAAACTTATACTAATTTTGACCTTTTAATTAGAATTAATTTGACAGGGCTGTAAAAAATACTTTTTTATCAGGAGAAGAACTTGGACATAATCAAATAAAGTTTTAGTAGTCCATTGTTATGGCAAGTGGTCATTTTCAAAATCAAAGTCACCAGTGAAGCAGTACCTTAGGTAGATACACTCCAAAACCCAATGAAAACTAGGATTCACAATTCATCTAAATTTCTCACTACACAGAATCTTACTTTACTAAGAAATGACAACTGCTAGCCAGTAGCCATTGTGCATCTATTTGCAAAATCTAAAACCAAACCTTGCAGGAATTTTTTTAAATTGCTAATATTCCTTTGCTTAAAATGATGCTTAAAAATGGCTAAAAAATTGTCAAGTTACATATTAAAACACTAAGGTTATATTGATCTTTTGATAGTTAAAGAAACTTCTTGAAGCAGAAAGATATTACAACCATCCAGACTGCATTTGTTAGATCTTCTGATGTGGTGATTTGTTTACAAACATCTCTTTTCAGCCACCACCAACCTTTAAATACATGTTCAACTTTGGTAGTAACCTTGCTGTTATAACACCAAAACTGATCTCAAAACCTAGTTTATTTTGTCAATATTTCTTTGCCTTTTGTTTCCTTTTTTGTTCAGATGAATTTTTCTAACTGTTGGCATTAAGTCACACATGATAATATTTCCATAGCAAACATGACTGCTCGTTGTCGTTTCTGCAAACCTATAAATCTCTGAAATGATGACATAAGTGTAAGGGAAATATATCTAGAATTATTTTCTTGATTAATTTTATAAATCTGTTTATAAATATGAATATATATTTTTTTAAATTTTATTTACCAAAGTTTATAGGACATTCTTGTAAAAACTCAAACTGTAAAATTATTGTTAAGACACAATGAGAAATTAAATTAATACCATGTCTACATCGAAAGAAGCAGTCAGGAATTTTGTAAAGACAGGTGTTCTAAAACATTGATTTTTCCTATTTCTTTACTATAAATCCTCGAATGCCCCCTCAAAAAAGCCGCCCTCAAATAAGCCCCAACCCTAGAACTACAAACTGTCAATAAGCCCCCCTGAAATAAGCCCCCACTGCTACCATAAATTCTTGAATTGGACCCCTCAATTTGATGATTTCTGCCATCTTAGGTTGCCTATGGCATTTTATTGAATTACCACAACAAATGGTATGCGACTGCCTGTCTATCTCTTTGTTGTTTGTGAGTGATGGAGTTTCTTACTTACAATGACAAAGTTTCTCAAATTGGTCATTGCTAGAACTATATGACTGAATAATTTTGATTGAGCCTCATCCAATTCTTCTTCTTATCTTCTTCTTATCTTCTTTACAATGTTGTCATCAATAATTAGTTTGATTGTATGCACACTGTTATAAGGACCATTTTTGTTGTAAGCCTATATCAAAGGAAACAGACAAAATATTGTATATTTGAAGTTGTTTTTTATGTTAGTTGATCATCTTGTTAATCATAGTTATCTTAGTTAATCGTATATAAAACTTATCTTTTTTAGGCTTGCATTGACGAGAATGTCGAGCTTGTAGAGCTTCTTGTCAACAAGGGTGCATACCTTGATGCCAGAGATAATGAGGGGTGGACTCCACTCCATGCTGCTGCAAGTGCAGGAAATGTTGAAATTGCCCAGTAAGTATATTTCTCAATGCAATTTCAGGGACAGCAGCTCTGAAATGAATATTATATTTCTTATTCTGTTCTGGACAAATGCCTTTGTGTGGGTTTTTGCTTGCTTTTTTTGTAAATCAGGTTTTTCAATCTTAATCATTGGACCTCGATCTTGTGTTAAAGGAGCTGTCTGTAGTCTGGACACAACTGGTGCATGTTTTTAACAACAGAAAAGAAATTTTAGGACAAAGTTGTTTGTCAATTGTTTTACACTGTGGATTATTGGGTGTTCCTCATATCTTCTAGTTCTTTTTATTTATGAATTTATTTTTCTTTTTATACTCCATTTTTTTGTTTTCATAGTTTGAGCCATACATTAGGTAATTATTGTATGAGCTACTTGTGTTTGATTTTAAATCAGTGCTCATCAATTGTCATGATTTGTCATTCAAGCAGGTACTTTGATAAACACTTTATTATGACTAGTTTTGTTTTTAATGATCTACATAATTTATGCTTGTGTTACAAGTATTTTTAGGTTGTAGGCAAATTCATTATTTATATGTTTAGAATGTGCACTTGAAATATTCATTACATGCATCATATCATAGATATGTGAACCAAGAATGGAAACCACAGGCATATGGCTGTCTCAAAGACATAAGCAGATTGCCTCTTGATTTAAAATCAACTTTTTTCAATTTTCTGAAGGTTTTCTTCATTTCTCTAGGTTCCTTTCTTGCTATGTGAGAGTTGTAATATAAATGTTATTGTTGATTGAATTTGATGAAAGGAGTGAGTCAAGATGCTAGCATTGGAAACTGGTCATTGCTTAGGAGTTGTAATGGTGCTCTCTGATTGCCATTTCTTTACATTTTATATCCTTGTTTATTATCTGGATTGGCTTACCACTTGAAAGCAGTCTAAAGGTTTATGCTTTTATGAAAGAGCAAGACATGTATCACAACTATTTGGATACTGTGAACTTAATGTGTGACCTTTGAAAAGCAACAGGGTAGTAATGCTTCAAACATAATGGTCCAGTGTCAGGAAATGTGTTGTAATTTAGATACTGTTTAGAAAATTGAGTTTATAGTATATTTAAATGTTTGGAACTTCTATGTTTTCAGTCTCAAAAGTGTATTGATCTTTGTTAGAGCCACTGTAGTTTTATCTGAAAAGAATCTGCTTCAGTTATAAACTTGAGTTGTCACATACTACTTAAACAAACGGAATCTCTTTTATTTGCACTTTTCTTAACAGATCACCATCATGAACCATCATAAAATGTATTAAGAATTGGTTGCATATGCACTAGAGGCAGCTTTAGTCTTTTTAGTTGTTGTTTGGTGGCTCATTTGTTCATGACAACCTCAAATTATTTAAGTTGAAGGAAACCTGAAGCATATACCAACTCCAATTATATATCTATATATATATATATGATTTGGTCAATCATTTACATACATCTAATTTGATAACAAGTAGTATCTTATTCCTGTCAAGGGTAGGTTGTTTGTTGTACTATTGCACCTGTATTTTCAATCTGATGTGGCCTAACACATTTGTGATAACCAGATTTTTTGTACCATGTCAGTTCCATATAGAGCAGTTATTATCTAAATTCACCAACATTGACATTTTGTAGATAGAACTGGGGTTTAAATAGTTTTATAATATATCAAAATAACGTTGAAGCACTTGCTTCTTTTTCTCCTCCAGGATCCTCATTGACAATGGTGCAGATTTGCTAGCTGTAAACAATGAGGATGAAGTTCCAGTTGACTTGGCTGAAGAAAAGGAGATGGAGGAATTCTTAGAAGAGGAATTAGATAAACTAGGTAAAGAGTTAAGTCCATAGGCCTTTGTAATACATGTATACAATATCTAAATAAAACAGTATTTTCCTTGCAAAAACATTTTTACATTTTCAACTGCTTTTAGCAGCTTGAACACCCAAAAATCCCACACGACCAGTGCTGGTAGTATGGAGTTTGCCCAGGGCCCACGCTACCAGGGGGCTGGAGGGGCCATGGCCCCCACATTTTTGGTAAGCAAAAACATTTCCATAGAGGCCCTATTTTGCAGCACTAGATTCAAGTTCAATGTATAGAACTTGGCCCCTCCACCTTGAAATTTGTGGCTTGCTGGCTTAAAGATTAAGGCATGCAATGTTGTACCATTCTTAAAGTGAATACTTTATAATCAAAATGAAGGCCTGACAGACCTTTAAATATGATATATACTTGTGAAAAAAATTTGTGAAATATGAGGGTATATCACTGTTAGGAAAAGTGTACATAGTTTTTATTAACCAAAGACGTTTTATGGAATTTTAAAAGAAGTTTCTTGAAAACAGCATAATTCTACAAAATGAATACAAGTTTTTTAAAATTTTTTAAGAGTGAATATGCCTAACCCACCTCACTCCAGAGAAAGTACCAAACACAAAAGAAATAAAACACTTTTTCAAAACAACTAAACCATTTCTTCAAACAGAAATCTTTAGAATTTGCTTGTATTACAATGCGCACAAACTCATATTCTAAATTAGATACAACCATATGTTTTTTAATCAATTTTGCTAATTTGTATCCTTAAGACCAGACAAAGTTTCTTTTAATGGCATAGCAAAACATAAAAGTTAATCAGACATTACAACAGTCAGTTAAAACGCTGCACTGGGTGTGCAGTGAAAAGTCACCTTGGGGGGTTTTTCCTGTGTGTGTGTAGTGATCACATGCTTAATTTTACCAGCACTGTGCAGCATAGTGCTACAAACAACTAATAAAGATATGACCTGCCAGAAAAAAAGTTTATGAATGGTTTTTTACATTAAATGTGATTTTAATTTCCTTAGACAATTGTTGCTTGTCTAACTTTAGCAAGCATTGGTACACTAAATTCAAATTTTCCTAGCCGTTTTTTCTTAGGGAGGAATACAGCTATACACTATGAATTACTTTCTTCCAGCTTGTCAATTTTACTTTTTAAGGTTTTATAACTCAACTTTTGTTGCCAGCAAGAATATCTCACCTGCTTTCCATCATAAATCTGTCAGCAAAAATTTCTTGCAAGCTTTCTTTAATGCTCATCCCAAACATTTTTTCCTTCTTTCGTTGAAATGGTTAAGACGAGCTTCCCCAGAGTAAGTCTGTTTATCTATTGAATCTACTAAGATCTTTTAATACATTTATGCTGTATATGGTACCCACCCAATTATGTTATACGATATTTGCAAGACAGTCAAATGCTGTAGAGAGGTGCAAATTTTACACAAATCCTTCACAAATATTCATTACTCCGTTAAACTGACTCATGTTATCAACATGTGTATTGACAAAGACAATCTTCAAATTCTGGCTTCATTATCTATCTAGCCCAGTGAAATATTTTATACATTTGGATGTCAGATATCTTTTGTCTGACAATTGTCATAGCAATATTCTGAAGTACCCACATGCCAAACGTTAATGTTTCAAGGCTCTAAGTGGAGTTAACATTGGTGTGTATTGTATCAGGTCACTTGTGGTCATGAGGATCAATGCCTCAATGGAGATAAAGTTCACTCTGTGTCTCATTTGCTATAAAGTATCTTTGCATAATCTAACTGGACGCGGATTATGCCCGATTTGAATTTAAATGAAAGGCCAAAGATATTAGAACCTTCTCTGATGGTGACAATGTCATCTCCTTAACATAACATTTCAATTTGTTCCTAAACCTCTGGTGCCAATGCAATCTGAGTATCCTTAAAGGTCACATAAAAGTCTTCTTGTTTTATTTTATTGATTTCCTAGTTGGTGATTTTGCAATATTTGAAAACCAAAGAAAAGCTAGATCTTAGAAGTTTCAATCATGCCACAAATCTTTGCCTATTTTATTTATACTTTGCACCTTTGAAATGTTTTCTATTTGAAATTGTTTCATAATTAAAGTATGAAATTGAAAAAAAATTATCTGTTTATTTCATCGACTTGATGTAAAACTCTTTTTTGGATGATGTCTTTGCGGACGATAGATGGGAAAAACCTTTTTATTTGTTTATCTAACATTACTTTTGAGTTCAACATTTTAAAAACGAAATATTTCACCAAAGACGCTGAAAGATGAGACTTTTCATGTCAAAACGTTCTCTTAAAAAGTTAAAGCTGTATATTGTAAACCTCAAGGCAAATAACAAGGCAAATTTTCTAGGTGTTGAGGTGGATGAAATTCGAAATCAGGAAGAGAAGTTGATGCTGGAGGATGCGACGAGCTGGGTGAACAGTAAAAAGATAGATGAACAACAGAACTTTCAAGGTTCGCACGTTGTTTTTTAGTTTCATGGCTAGGAGTTTATCAGCAGCGTATTGTGTTATTTGTTGTTTTAGCAGTTTCATTCTTTTTCCATTGTAATTGACCAAATTGAAATTACTTATATTTTCCCGTTCATCAACTTTTCCATCATCCGTAAACGTCCACTTGAACACTTTTGTGTTTTCTTTTACCTCATTACTGCTTTATTATTGGCATTTTACAAATATAATTTCTTGTGAAAAAATCACGCATTCCTTTCCTTAATTTTCTCTTTTTAATGCACGGAGTTTTATCGTGCCTTGTTTTTCTCCATAGGGGCATCCGCATTGCATGTTGCTGCCGCAAAGGGGTACCACAAAGTCATGAGGTAGGTTTATTTGTTCTCAAAATGCGTTACGAATAAAGGGAATTACAGGACTTTACGCAGGGCGGCGTTTTATGATATTTTCTAATGTATTTTAGTGCATTGGGTCAAAGCATCAAAGTCTTTGATGAGAGACCAGTCCTCCAGGGGGGCTGCTTTCTACCTATCCTTATGGCTATGTCCACTGCTAATGCATACTGTAAAAGCTCTATTAAGCCCCCTCTCTTTTAAGCTGCCCCTCTATTTTAAGCTGCCCCTCTATTAAGCACCCCCTTACCAAGCATAAATTTTGAATAAGCCCCCCTATGCACATTTAAATAAACCCCCTTTTAAATAAGCAATGAAAAAATGCACATTTAGTGGGTCTCTTGATGGGTGTGATGATGATAAGATCATGTGCATTAAATACAGTCCATGTTTATCCTTGGGGGCCTTAAGAGGGGCACTGATACTGATTCTTTCGAAGGAATCCTAGAAAGGATTGCTTTTTATCAAATATTCGACAAAATTCAGAACCGTTGAATTAGTCAGCCCAAATTGGAGAGTTTTTGGGAGTCTATTTGCCATTCTATCCATAACTAATGTCATACTTTTTTTTTACTTCATTAAAATGTTCAATCTTCTATTATTTTGATTCTCAATGGTAAGCTACCCAATATTCCAGATTAAAATCAGAATTGTTGGCCTAAAGAGGAATGATTTTAAAGAAACTGAATTATCGAGTAATCAAATTTCTGAGCTCTGTTTGCCTTAACATTATGGTTTGTTAAGGCTTCTCCTAATGATTGGTCGTTATAAGTTAAGTTCTTCAGACTGATAACTGGCATGACAAAAAATTATAATCATTGTGAAGTGTACAACACAGTGATAAGCATCTCAGCCCATGTTGTGTAGATAATTTCTGCTGTTTAAGGGACTTCTTCCCTTGTTACTGCAAGAAATAAGCAATGAATGCAAAATTGTGGTGTGTGAAAAGAAAAGCTTTGTTGCTTTTGGTGCCATCGTAAGAAACATGTATTATTCGATACTATGGTTTGACAGATGGCTAATACATTCTGGATCATTGGAACCAACCACGTGCATTTTGTATTGTCAACAAGTGGTTGAAGTATCGGCCTAAGTACATAAGACAACCGTTGAGACGCTTGCGGCAACAGTATGGTCTACTTTGATTTGAAGCGAAAAAGGGTCTTTGTGTACTGCTATTTCTAACCGATGTCTACCGTGTTTGCAGTGAAAAGGTTTTTCGTATGTGTTCTGTTTTTGGGTGGAGCTTAAATACTTTACCTTGTTAATGCTGACAAAAAGATGGCAGAATGCTAATCGTTATCCTGTTACGTTTGGCAAAAGTTCGACTGTTTTTGTAGTCGGACACTCAGTAGATTTGGGTATAGTCTAGTTGAGACGATTTCATATGAATCGAAGAAAATGAAAAAAACAGCAAATTACCGATACATTTGAATCAGGGGCGGGCACTTGACCATATATGGGGGGGAGCCTATTGTTTTGATAAGATGACATCACATTTTCCAATTGTTTTAGAACAAAAGACCATAGCTCCAAAATATTGTGGGTGACCCCCTTTGCGCCCCCCAAGGTGCCCACCACTGATATGATAAGCCAATAAACGCTGGCACATAAGTGCTAGAAATTGTCCTGTTTCACCGAAGAACGCAAGCAAATGAATGATAGAAAATGTAAAAGAAATGCAGTGACACCGATTGAAGTGAGCGTGACCATTAGGAACCTTCAAAAATGCCACATGATTGTATTTGTAAGTCAGGTTTTATTTTGTTGAGTTGAATCATATCAACTATGGTTTAATGAAAGTCATCGAAAGTTGCATTCTTTCCAAATCTCGTGTCACATTTTTTATTTTTTGCAAACCCTCTGGCATTCCTTTTTTCTTGTCATAACATTGTGAATTACTGGCTTGCCGCTGCCAGTTGCAAATTTTTCGAAGATAGGCAGTGGTTCTACTTCATTATTACATCAAACAAATTTACAAACTGAGAACAGAGGCGTTGGTATAAAACTATAACGACCTAAAGAATATTTCACTCATTTTAGACTGCTTCTTCAAGCTGGCTGCGATGTGAACATGAAAGACAAAGATGATTGGTCTCCTCTCCATGCTGCTGTGCACTGGGAACAGCAACAGGCCGCAGAAATCCTAACCGAGGCTGGTGCCGATTTTAACGTTAGAAACAACATTGTAAGTTTCCCTTTAGGCTTTTATGCCCCGTAGCTGTAACAAAAACGTTGCAGGAATTTCATGTCTTATTGTTCCTGTCTTCAGTCTTTTCATTTTGGTTTCCACAATGGTGTCGTTTTTTAAAGGTAGATATGAATTTGTTCAAAACTTTAGATTAGCATTGGTATGTTGAAAACCAGCAAGAGCGAGAACGTTCATCGAAACAATCTCGTGGAACCATGAAAGGTCTTTGTTTTCAATGTTATTACGACGTTCTTGCTCTGATTATGTCTTATTTAGTCCTAATGTTATCGGATTTCGTTTCAATTGTAAATTCTATTTGCAATCGACTGTTGTAGGGACAAACTCCAGTGGATGTTGCTGAAGGAGATATGATTAAATTCGTAGAAGAATTAAGAAAGAAGGCGAAAGCTCGTGCCAAGGTAACCTATTAATATCCAGAATTATCATTTGCAGTTAACAGCGTTTTGTGGTTTTGGACTCAAGAGTTTGTTTAAGCTTTAAGTAATTGCCTACGCAAACCCAGTGGGACACTAATGGGGTCAAGAAACAGTCTCTTTTTTCCAGGTTTCTTCTGATCATTGAGATTTGAGATCTCATTTCATCTATCATCCCCTCCCACACTTATAGTAGGTAATTGTTCCCAGTTTGTTCATGGTAGGTGGTGAAACATTCAGAAAATTTCGTATTCGATCCTTTTATGATCACTTCAGATTGGTTTTAAAACCGATGGCTCCGTTCAGAAATGTTATTATGGACGTTGGAACAAACGACAAAAGTAATACTGTTATCGTTTTGTAGCTACGTGAAATTTGAAAAATGCAGATTCCCTTTCGCTTTAGTTTAACAAATTACTTAGTAAAGTATTGTTCAAGTGTTTTTTATTGGGTGACTAAAGATAATGCGAAACTGCATGGAATAAACTCAGTTTCATGAATGATAATCACAGGAGTGGAGTAAAAATGTTTGTTTATGGAGCTTTTTTTCATTTTGTCTTTTTTGTTTTAGGATGGACTTGACAGATCAAATGTAAGTGTTGCTTGGCACTTGCATAATTTTGTTTTGGATTTTCCCATTGTTAAAGGAATTAAATGACCAAGTCGTATATCTCACGAGAAAATAGTTTTGGTATCTCCATTATGAGATCTTGCTCGGACTTTTTTGTTAATCATGTATATTGCTTTATTGTATTCTCTATAAGTTCGTTAAAGGTTTTGCAAACCCCATATTTGTAGTTTTTGTATTGGGCTGTGACGTCGTTGTTTTGAAAATGCCATAGTATTTGTAAAGAGGGTATGAAATACACAGTGTATAGCTTGTTCTCCGCATGACACGGTCTCTTACTTTTTTGTAGAGGATTATTGAGCAGCTAGGCCCTCGCGATTCAAAATTGAGGTAAATGGTCTCATTCAATTTTTGTCTTTGTTTTATTATCCAACTGTTGTTTTGTTGCTTTGGTTTTTTATTTGGTCAGTTAATCATACTAACTCATAAAGCATATTTTAGGCCTCATATTTTCTCGTAGGAATGATGTCAATGATAATTCACAACGAAAGTAAGTTTTTAAAGGATTTATGTTGAAGTTTTATAGCCAGTTACTTTCTTTGATTTCGTCCATCCTTCTGCCGGAAAAGTTGTTCTTAATATGATGTAATCGGAAGGCGATGACGATGGCGAGAGATCGTGTCTGTCTGACAGTCTCAACTGGTGCTAACCATTGCAATTGTAAACGTTGAGGGCTACGGGGACGTAGGTCCTTCATGGTGGACTGGAATGGCTGCAAGCTGTGAAAGGGGGCAGATTAACAACCTCACATACCGTTATATATGATTAAGCGTTAAGGGTAGTAGGTTCAGGATCGTGGGTAATCGTTGTTTCATGGGATGGGAATGAGGCGGATTTATGGCCTCATTCTCAATTTCAGCCATTCCATGTCATTCTTAGTAACACTTTGAAATTAAAGGAATACGGGTAATTTGCTTTATGCGGTCTTTACTGTGGTCACGTGTATTAAAAACCCCCTTATTTAGCGAACGTCAGCTTTCATCTCTGTTTATTATTTCTTCTAGTAATTACTTCTTTGATTCGAACGCTGTTCCAGTAAAGTCCGCTTTGAAAGGCGGGCGCGCAAAGCATAACGGGAAGGCAAAACCAGATTCGAACGATGCAAAAGAAGAAGAAGAAGAATCCGAGTCAGAGGAAGAGTCTGAAGAAGAGTCTGAAGAGGAAACTAAAAATCAGCCACGGCGCATGCCTATTCCTGCAGTTCCTGAACCACTGCGACCAGGGTCGCTCGCTCGACCACCAACAACTGCGTCAAATGAAAAAGTTTCAACACCCAGAAATCCGTTAATTTCTAGCACGCCATTAAGACCATCCGCCCTAATGAACAGAGACACCGAGAAACGAGACGAAAACAAGAGTGACTACCTCAATTCCCGCATTAGCAGCAGGCTTAAACAGAGTGATGATGACTCAAAGAAAGAATCAGACCGGTCAGGTCGAGACCCAATACGATTTAGTATTCCACGCCCTAGGGATAAATCAGACGAGAAGGAGAGTACTATTAACACGACAATACCTAGGCCTGGCAAAACAGAGGACACCAAGAAGGAGGATTTACGGGCGAAATTCAGTATTCCAAGGCCTCGATCTCGGAACGAGGACAAAGAAGAACCGAAAAATGATGAAAACAAGCCAAGAATAAGTAGGCCACTGCGAGGCGAAGATAGGGAAGATGAAGGAGGAAAGCGTCATATGAGTAAGGCTGATGAAATAAGGGCAAAATTTAACATACCAAAGCCGGGTGATTCGTTGGCAAGCTCGGCATTAAATCGGTATAGAGAACGCAATAACGATCAAGATGAAAGCAAGACATCCAGGGTTGCGAATGACGATGACCGAAAAGCGGAAGACGTGAGTTTTATTGTTTGTGTGTTGTGTGTTTTGTTAGATTCAAATTTTTAGATTGGTTTCTTTCAAGGGACAGATACTGCCTAATGTAGCATAGCCTGAGAAGCACGAAGCACCTCAAAAGTGACAGCAAAAAGTTTTGTTTTTTTGCAAAGGGCTTTAAAGGATTCTTATTATCCTTAAGTTGCCTTTTTCATCTTATCACATGCTGTTTCATTCCGATCCCCTCAAGTAAGAAAAGACAGCTGTAGTACACAGTTTCTCAATAAAATTTCAGTGCCTAAAGTATTAAACATCTTATTTTAGGCTGCCTCTTCACTTCGCGCACGTAGGGCGTTGCTCTCAGGCCCTTTGCGACCAAGCAGGCCATCCGATATGAAAGATGAAAAACCAGAAAATGATACAATCTCTTCGTTAAGAAGCAGGTTAGAGCATGATAAAGAAGACAGAGAAGATACCGTATCCATTAGAAAGAAATTTCAAGATCGAAAAGAGGCGGAAAGGGAAAAAGAGGCTGAGAAGAAAGACGACAGGAAAGATGAAGGCGATGATGATGATGAGAACTCGAGTCTGTCTGCACAAAGGGCCAGAAGGAGCAGGAGACCAAGGGAAAAGCGAAAGGGCACCGGTGTTGCCTATATGCCTGACGAGGTTTGTCATCATATTTTTCATCTGAAAAGGTTTTTTTTAAACGTTATACTTTTTTAATTACGGGTTCTTGTTTTTTTATTTCATAGTAGAGAGCATTGAAAACCGACACTTAATACTAGATCATTAGATTTGTCTAGCTTAATATTTTCTATTTGTTAACTGCTTCAGATCAAAGGGTTGCACATCAAAAGGTTTTGAGCAGGTGATGAACTACAGGAAACTACAGGACCTTCGACAGTTTTTTTTGCAGAAGTGTAGGGGATGTTTTAGTTCTTGTGCTCTCTTGGTACAGCTTCTAGTTCATTCATTCAATGAAACGTTCAAAATTTATCCATTCATATGAATAGTTTTGAGTCAAGTGCAGAATCTCCCGATTTTTGTTTATTAATCTGCAGAATACAGTTTTACAATAAAGTTTTACAAAACACAAAAACAAGAGTCGTGAAGGTTCTCTTGATGACTTTTAATCGTCTAGTATAATCGCAGAATACGTTTATGTATTGGTAACATTATAGGTTGATTACATTGTTTTGCCTTGTGAACTACTAAATTCGTCCCTTTAGTACGTTCTATGGTTTTATTTTTGCTGCTGTAAGAAAATTAAACCAATCAAAGTACGAATTCGCGTATTATCTAATCAACGCTATGTCCATTTAGCTGGCCTTTTGTTTTTTGTGAAAATTTTAAAGATTTTTTGAAAATAATGTGTGGCCTTATGTGTTATATAAAGTCTCGAGCCCGATTCTTTGAGTTGAAGTGGGATGACACTTGTTAAGAGTCATTACAAAACTACCCTCATTACAAAACCACCCCAAGCTTTAGCTTCCCTGTACATAGTATTCTTTCATTTTGTCCAACGTGAGAATGACTTTGTAAGAACCTCGTACTCACTATTTCTCAAGAAGGTCGGCCTCTCGTTTCATGCTTCGTTTTAAGATGTGTCGAATTGCTTTGGATTAAAATTATGAAAGTTATGAATAAAAAGATTTTGGTTGCAGTAAATTTGAGTTTGGGGGAGTGTTTTTATCACATTGTAGCCTCACCGCGCTTGATGCTGAAGCCGTTTAGACAGCGACCCTCTGTTCGTAGAATTTGTTTGCGGTCATCGGCTTAGGGCCAGTAATCCGCTGTGCCCAGCCGCATGCAAAGTTTTGCAATGGGATTCCGTGGAATAAAGAAGCTAATTCGGCGAACAGTTCAGCTCACTGAATAAGGATTCTCGACTAAACAGGACATTACAATGTTCAGAGATTTATTGTTATTTGCACATAAAACAATATTGTTTTGAATTCGTGAGCAATAAGCTACGCGAAAACCAATTATTTATGGTCTTAAACTGTGCAGTTTGTCATTCGCCATTAAATCGTCTCGTCCTACTTCTCAAATATGGATTCATCCTCTTGTATTCTCTAAGGCGTGGGTTGACCAGAGAATTGCCTTTTGTTTATGAAGAAGGCCTACAGATAGAAGCGAAGAGAGTAGTTGTGTTTTTTAAAGCTTCTTCAGTTCTGAAGTTATTTTTGGTACTCTCCTTGAGATTTCTAAGCCTATATTGAAATTTTTTTTGTCTTCCCACCCCTTTCCGTATACTTCTTCGTACACTTATTACCTAACGAAGGAACCATAATGCTAGGACAGCTTGTATTGTTGTCAAAGAAAGCGGTCGTTTGCGCCTAGAGCGGTCAGGGGCCACGGTTTTAGTTGTATTGAGGTTTTCTCGAATTATTTGTAAATCTGAATCAGATCGTGCTAAGTTTGCGAGTGGAATACCAATTGGTTCCTAGAATTAATGTTTCTGCTGCCTGTAAATCAAAATGCTTGGATACTCTCGACGCAGAAAGTATCGCTGGGTATGTGTTTGCCTTGGGTTTCCTTCTTCACTTTTGAATTTTTCACGCGTTGTTTGTTCCAGGCTCTTCTCATATTTTCGGACTCCTTGGCCGTATGGGAATGCCCACCGGATGATTTGCTTCATCTCGTAATTTGTGGTATAAACTAACTCTGCAAACTCTCTTGCAAATCCTTTGAATTTCCCCCTTTTTGGCTTCTTCTGCAAGCGATTGTGAACATGGGGGGAGTGCTGAGCCCCGCCTCGTTCTTTGAAATCGTATTGAATACCCCGCCAAAAGATCAATTGGCGTAAACGTAAGTGGATTCCCAGCAACGCCCAGTGGAGACAAAAGGGTAGAGCTGCAAGCCATTGAACATCACATTGAGCGGAGAAGACACATCTGTTGCAAGACCTTTCAAAGTACAGTGCCATACGTATGACCGAAGTTGTTCTAAGCAACTTCCAAGTTACAACCAGCCACTTGCAAAAAACGAACTTTCAAAAACACTTCAAAAATGTCATTCTTTAGCCTTCTATAGGTTTAGGGCTTGCCATGCGATGTTAAGAAGAGATTGTGGCCGCAGCGCAGCGGTCAAGAGCAAATTGAAAAAAATTTCTTTGTTATCGAAACGCCAAATTGATTGAATCTGACTGTATGCTTGCCTGGTTGGCCTTTTCTCTTCTTATTTCATTTACAAAATGTGAACTACCTATTCTTATCACGAAAACCGCAAATTAACCTCCATGGAACCATATTTTAAATTCTTGTCAAAAGCTATCCGAATCGAAGGAAGCAGTCGTTTTGTTCTGGTTTGTAACCGTATAATGAAGGGTTTTTAGGTTATTCGCCACGTATTTAAGATTCACTTGTTGCTCTATGTATAGCTACTATTTCGTGACCTCTTGTCCTTCCCTTTCGTTACATGACAAGCATTGCTGAAAACTTCTATTTTTCCAAGACGGCCTTTATTATTATTATTGGTATATTATTATTGACGTGTACTGTAGTCAAACCAAACAAATAAGTTTTAAATGCCTAGTTTGTAAAATTCGATAATTTCATTGTACACAAAACTCTGTACAAATTTGTCTAGACAACTGTTGTGTTTTTGTTTTGGAAAACGCCCATTGCATGGTTTTCCCAGCACACCAATCTCAGCCGCTTGCAAATTGTTTGTCAGAAAAACAAACAAATGAAAAGGCTAAATATTTTTAATTAACTAGGGCAAATTTTGAAGCAGGCTAGCTTTGTAAATCGTTGTTAGATCCTGTCTTTTGAAAAGTATTGTTTTGGTATGTGTTTGACGGTTGATATCTCGATTTATTATTTCGGTTCAAATTGATCGGCTCGATGTTTGCTTGTTTTTGCTTAGTCTATCAAGGCTTGCATTTTTGGAGACGTTAAAATCATTGTAAAAACGCTGTTATAGATCCACACCAATATAATCTCCAGAAATATTTAGACGAAATTTTGAACATTGTAATCAAACGTTATTTCTGCTTTAATTAAACTTTTTTTACGGCCCAAGCTACAATCCCGGAAAACAATGGTTGAGACTTTTCAAGGAAAGTTTATATTTTCTCTTTCCTTTAAAAAATGACTGTCCCCTCCCCCAGTTTATTGTTTAATACATGATTTTGAAGGAGAAATGATAGAACTACAAATCCAACAATGATTCGGGGGGAGGGGGATTCGAATTTATAGGGGCACACAAAGTAGAAAATCGCAGAAATTGCATTTTGTCTCAACAATTTTTCCGGGATTGTAGGTAAGTCCATACTTTTTGGTGTTGGAAATAACAGTTTCATTGCATTATCTATTTATGCAGTTGTATCATGTGAAAATCGAAATGAATTGAACAAAAATATAAGCAACTTTATTTTTGTTTGAGAAGTGATTTTTATCTAGGAGCTATTTTCAAAATTGCTTAGATTTGTAAACAATTTTTTGGTGTTATAGAAATTAGAAATGGCTTTGATGAAAGCAAACATTTTGAAGCAAATGTTTTCAAAGGCTAAGTCAACGTTTTACCTAGGTCCAAACTGTTCAGCTTAGATTTACAATCTGAAAGCTTCTGGTAGAAGTTGATGCAGTTTTGAAGATCAGTAAAGGCAAAGCGTACAGCGAGCGTGCTGTTTTAAGGCTGTTAATGGTGGCGTAGATTTTTGTTTTGTTGTTAATATTTTGTTTGGAAATTTTATATAAATGAGACAGTGGGTTGTGAGAGTGAATCTGCTTGATTGTAGAGTATATATAAAGGCCACATTGCTGTGTTTTTTAGGACGAAGATGAGGATGAGGAGAAGAAAGAAACGAGGATTAACACAAGGACCAATGAAGATAATGAAACTAAGAAATCTAGCTCAGTTGCTGAAGATGAGCCACCAAGACTGGTGAGTGTTCATCACCTTCTATCGGGCTACATTGGAAAATATTATGTATAAATGGTAAAGTATTACATAGAAGATATCCAATTGGCCCCCGTTTCCGATACCCTCCACGTTTTTAGCCCGTCTCCCGATGCCTTAGACCCCAATATTAGACTGCAGTGAATGCCACTGCTCAAAAGCTGTTACACAATTTCCGAATCCCGCCTCATACACGGAAGTACGATTGTGAAAAATGTTTGTTAGCGACTGCCAAAATAGCATTGAGTAACTTCAATGTTAGCAAATATTCTGCGGCTTAGTTTATTGTTTCTTTTGGTTGCTTTTAATTGCCCATTACCTAAAGAGAAATGTTGTTGGAAATGAAAACAGACAAAATTCTACTTGGATGATTCTGCTAGCAAAAGCTTTACTTCACTAAAAGATGCTGTAGTGTTAAACTACAGTGTTCAATACTTTTCTTATAAAAATTGGACACGGACATACATTAGCTTTGGTCTGAGATGCTATAATATTTTTCCAACCAGACTGATTTTAATTTTCCAACTCATTGCATCAAGATTTCCTCCGACAGCGATTCCCCTTCAAAACCTAGTATCTCAGCGTCAAACCAAGCTAGAATTCACCGCATTCGTTTTATTTAAAATAACAAAACTCGGTACTTCTAACAATCCTTTCCTTTTTTGCAGAGCATCTCGGAACGAATAAGAAAGTAAGAAATTTATTTATACACTTCTTTGCATATTTACCTGCGTATAAAGATTAATTCTTATTCCATAAACTGTTGAAAACTTTTTATGTCTAGGAGTGTATTCTTTCTATTTGAGTTTTGCCAAAGTCAATTATTAAAAGCAGTAAGATCTTCCACATTAATGTTATAGGTTTTTCAAGTGAATTTCTTACATAAGATTAAAAAAGTTTATTATCTGTTTTCCTGTTGGAACTATTTTAGCATTACTTGTTTAAACCTCCTTTTTTTGATCGGCAAACAATCGTAAGTTACTCAAAGCTCCCTCCAAAGGCTCGATGCTCTCTCTTTTTTCAGTAGTTAATTTGGCGTTTTTCTTTAGGAATCGGGAGAACAGGGAAGCGGGATCGTCAAGTGGAATGTCATCGCTGTCAAGCAGAAGCAGGGATTCCTCCTCGTTATCTTCAAAGGTATCATCACCAAGAAATGCAATATTTTGTGTTACTCTGAGTTCTCTGGCGTATGACATACGTCAACATGAGCATAGTTGGGGAAGCAGGGATAGGTTTGCTAAAGTTGTATGACACCCTGGGATGATTTGTACTATATATTTTTGATTGAGGAAAGTGATTTGACTCGTAGGAAAGCAGTCAGTTTTAGAAAATAGCAGAGAAATATCAGTGACAGTTTTGCGTGTTAATTAGATAGATTAATTTCGACCCACGTGAACATGTCCCTTTCTCATCCTCCTTTCCGAGTTGCCTCGAAACTGTCTATCATCTCGTTTCAGCAATTTTCTTAAGTCATTCGGAGTTCATGGCATTCAGTGCCTTCTCGTGAAAGTAGTGCAGGAAAGAAGCACTTTGACTGCACCAAGCTAACACAATCATTGCTACCTCATTCGTTGCTTATAGAATCGTTACTGCTTTAATTGCTTGTATGAAATCCCCTTTTGAAACTAATTATTTGTTGTTGTATTTCAGAGTGACTCATCCGACCCGCGAGAACTACAACGCAGGCTACGGGATGCTTTAAGTGACGTCGAAGAATACAAATCGAAGCTAGAGAAGGCCAACAGGGTATGACTGACTAGAATTTCTTCCTTTTGTGAATACAGCTTTGTGAAATTTCCTTAAAAAACATACTGGTCATTTTTATCTTGATATTCTAGATAAACTTGTCTAGGGTATGTTTTTTAACAATGCTGTTTATGTTTTAACAATGTTGTCTAAGGTATGTTTATGTTTTGACAAAGGTAAACAGTAATATTTTTCTTCTGTATCTTGCCGGCAACAATTTATGTTGTTCAATTTATATACATTTAGTTTCGTCTTGATTTGGTGTTCTGTCACAATATTACTGATGAACCAAATAATTTGTTTAGACATAAACCAATTCCTTAAAAAGATCTTTATAGTGTACCGTAAGCTTCCTTGCATGTCAAATGAACTTTTATTTTAACCAAGATCAACTTGTGATAAACCTTACAAATAAACGTTTATAAGTTATATATATATACAATATGTTTATATACTATAAATATATATTAAAACTTCTACTCCATGTGATTATTCTAGGAGAAAGAAGAGTTGAAGGAAAAATTAGCTCAATGTGAAGATGCAATGAAGGTAATTTGCAAAATTTGTGCCTAACTCTCGCCATTTCAAAGCCTAATTTTTTTAAATATTGTTTGAAGTCGTAACATGTTCACAGCTGCATGTACACGAAACTATTTTCGATTCCTTAAGATTCAAACAAATTTGTTCAGTGTCCTGTGTTGATGTTGATAAGTTGCCAACCAGCATCAGTTATTATATATTACAACAGGCATCAGATGTTACTAACAAGCAATGTATATGCTTGGTTTTTCAATATGATTCTCATATTCATTTTATGCCTGAAAGTTAAGCAAACTTGCAAATATTTTGAAACACACTAAACTTTTCGACTGACAATCTACGGATTTTAAAATGTCAGAAAGTCAATCAAAAACTCTAATCTAGGAACTATATACTTCGTTGTTTATTGAAATAGGCCAGTCAGAAACGCGAGCACACCCATTGGAGTCCTAAGATGAAAATGACCTCCTTCTATCTACCCAATAGCGGTTTTTCCATTTTATTCTCTATAAAATTATTTGGAATACATTAATTTTCCTTGACCTTTGTCATTTTTGCAGAAAATGAAAGACGAAAACGGAGCGCTCATTCGAGTAATAAGCACGCTAACGAGGTCAAATGCATCGTGAGAGAGAGGCTCGTCGTTGATTTGCGCAGTCGATCTGGCTGGCGGGGCATAGCATTGCTTTCACTTTTTACTTTATCAAACTGTAATAAAGACACAAGAGTGTGATTCCCTCATCAATCCCCATTTTCGTTCTTTGATTTATACTTTTTGTGTGTAAATTGAAGGATTTTGTGCTGATTTCCCTTGTTTAATGTCTACCAGGGAAATGGTTTAGATAGCCAATGGTATTCGACATGCATTTCACACCTAAATTGTATTTTATTTAGGATAGTTTGTATTAATGCACGATAGTCCACTGATCCAAATCGACCCCAGACGAGGTCATGCTACCTGCTGTGTCCGGGAATCAGAACGCGTGCCAAGGAGACTGGGTCGACTTTCAAACAGCAAACGTACAGCAGTGACTTCTTATTTGTAATATACAAGTGGGAAGTAAGTGAATTTTGCTCGTAGTAAAATCGATGTTTCTTCAAACATTATTGTATAAAGACGTCAGTAAGGATACGGGCTGTTTCCGATAAGAGCTGCTTCGGAAACAAGCTTTAATTTTAGACTAAATTTAGCAACGTCTTTTCTAGTTTAGGAAAATTTTGGTAAATTTCAATACGAAATCAATCAGGTTGTAAATATCAATGAAATCCTCCAAATCATCGTTTCTCAAAAGGCCACGGGAGTATTACCTCTAGGAAGTCTGTCCTTGGTAGGCCCGTTCTGGGTAGGCTTATTCAAAGTATGCTCCCCCAGCTTAATGCTGCATTCTGGGAGGAAGCTTCCATGAGCGGCCTTAATCAAACCTCCGTGCATGATAAAAGCCTCACCTTTTCTGGTAAAGCTGGCTATTTGCCATTACGGTCACGTGTACGTTTTGCTTGTTTGAACTCCCGGTGATGAGTCGATTCCTGCATGCCAATTTTCATGTTAAATTTGTTTTTGACCGTGAATTTGTAACTTAACGAATGCTGGAAACGGTCGAGAGACTCGTAAAATCGTTTAATTCAGTTGTGGAATATTTTTCCATGCTTCGCTGTATCTTTGTTTTAGCTCATTCGTAGATGCTTCGTTAAAACAGAACATTCTAGGGATAATTGAGCGATGCAAACTGGCCCCGTAGGTTTTCAGATTTAAACCTAGCAGTATGTTGCCCTCTTTTGAACCTGCCTTGTGCTTGATCGAGTAGTTAAGGCCTCTGTTAATGTTGCAGAATAGTAAGTGGAGTGTCCCCTGAACTGAAAGTTCTTCCATGTGCAAAATCATTTTCGCAGCTCCTGTCCTGCATCTGAGTAGCCAAAACTATTTGCATGCCATTACTGTTCAGTCCGGAAAAAATGAATATCATACTCTTAATGGCAATATGGAAGGCCAATGAAAACCCCATCCTATTTTTTGTTCTCTTGGGAAGGTCCCCAAAGCTTGAGGAAATAGAAGAAGAACTAACTCTCTACTTGAGTCAGCATTAGTATTTCATCCAGAGAACGGGTGGCTGGCTTTCACATGGACTTTCATTCTCATTGCAAAAATTGATACCCTTATTAAAGGACAACCAAAATAAGCATGCCTAAATCCCAGGTTTTATAAAAGGGAATAAGACTGCTTTTGGAATGTTGCGATTAAAATGCGAAACATTATCTCCATGAGTTTTCTCATTTTGTATGTGATTTAAATGCACCAAATGGCCCTTGACGGGGGCAGTCGTGTCAGTAGTTTGATAAGTGGTCATTTCTGTATTTTGCATATCCAGTCTTTCAATTTATATTTGTTTAACGCGAATATAACTACTAAAATCCATACGATCAGTCCGGTCACATCTTCTTTTTGAATCTTTGTACTCTGTTGTGTTGAAATTATTTTACAAATGATGTAAGACAACATCCTGTCTGCAGATTATTCTACCAAGAATGATTTTGTGCTACAAACGACCCTTGGTTAGACCAGCAATACTGAGAGATTTAACAGCTGACTTTTGAATATCTGTTGTATAATGGTAATTTTTGTGAGGTAAATGGAAGACTTTATGAAAACTACTACCAGATCATGTAATCAGCCTCAAAACAAAACTACCTTGATATGTGTAGAACATTGTAGACTCTGGCAATTCTTCAGAGACTGCTATTAAGCAGTTTGACGGCTTAAAATTTGAAAAAAGGCAAAAGCTTCCCTTTCACCGGAAATGTATGAATGTTCCAAACTTACTTTTAATTTTGCTTCAAACAACCGAATGCTTTAATGCTTTCATTTCTATCACCATTTAATAAAGTAGACAGAAAATTTCTTTGAAAGTTTTGCAAATTGATACTTGTTACATATATGCATTTTTAACAACCTCAAAACCAAGATCTTTGGACATTGCTGTGAATTTATAATTTATTCTTTATAACTGTGCCATAGCAAATTAATAGGAGTAACAATAACTTAATGTAACGTAACAATAATCAGTTTTCAGCTCTGTTGTTGGGTCTAATAGACAGCATTGTCAATGCCAATGCCACCCTTTTGCCAGCACCAAGACAATTCATCAAGCCCTTGGCATGGCCTTACACAGTATAACATATTTAGCACTGACTCTTTTGATCAGCCTACCCACTCACAGCAGACAAGGTACAACTGATACCAACATGAAGGTAATTTGCCCCAACTTTGTTTATTCTGCCCAAATGACCAAACTGTTCAATCCTTTACTCTCCACTGCCCTGTAAAATAAAAATGATTTGAATTGGCCAAAGAAATGATACATTGGTTTGATAACTCAAATTGATGGCTCAATAAGAACTTGAGAACATGGTGTGAGACAAGCAGAAAGCTAAAAATTCTAAAAGCTAAAGGTCCAGGGTCCAGACATAATTACACTAAACAATAAAAAATATTGCCAAGGGAAGGAACTATAAATTCAGAGAGAAAAGAAATATAATTTCTTAGTAAAAATGAAATGTTGTGTAGGGAATGAAATGTAAGAAATGAAGGTAATATCTAATACGCACTGGCAGTTGTTTGGCTCTGCTTTATAAAAAAAATTATGCAACAAGGGATTTACAACAAGGAACTAGGTCAAGATCAGATGTATGCAGGACACATCCCAATAACATGTTCGTTTCACCAAACATCAAGGCTTATTCTTTTTCAGCTTGGGACATTTTTCATTAATATTTAGAATTTTTCGTATAGAGTTGAGAAGGCAGATGTGTGGGAAACAAAGTGTCTTCTGTATCTGTATCATCAGGTTACATTTATACTTCAAGTGAAATTGGATTGAAAATTTTCAAAAATTTAGGCCTGAATTTAGAACATAATAAAGAAAAATAAATTAAAATAATCAGTCATACAAATATAACATTAGACAAATGGATTTACAGTAAGCCTTAAAGAAAAAATCTAAGCATTGACCTGGTGACTTGGTGACTTTTCGCATAACTGGTAGTCCTCTTGGTTCAAAGATATAATTTGCAACCAATGATGTATCTCTGCATTGGCATCATTCTCTTTGCCTTTATGCCAATTCAAGATTGTCAGTCAAGGTGTAGAAACAATAGAAATCTATGTTAAAAACATATTATGGAGGAGCATAACTTTTGGAAGGGCACTTATCATGGTCACTAGCAACCAAAAAGTTCTGGGAAAAAGGACACTGAAAAATTTAACCTTCTGTCTCCTATTTTCAATGTCAATGCTGAGAACAGAAAAGTTACAATCAATTGGAAACATGATCTGTATTGTCCTAACAGGAACGCCACTGGGAAGCTCTAGCCCCCATCCACTTTTTCACTAAAGTATGATATCAAGGTTGTGGCATCACAGATAATGGTGGCAAACTATGTAAGGGGCACCCCATTCTAAAGTCCCCCAGTCTAAAATGTGCTTGGCATCCCTGCCTAAAAGATACCACTTTTAGAATGCAAACTAATATAAAGGGATTTTGAAATCTAATTCGTATTGGCTTGAGTGTGAAAAGAAAATTTAACTTGGATAGCAAAGAAATAAAGTTTTGTCCACAATACAAATGGACATGTCAAAAAAACATCATAAAATAAGATTAAATGGAAAATTTGCTGCTTCTTTAGTATTCTGTTGAAAAAAGTCATATTTCCAATGCTGTTTGGATTAGGAGAGAAATATATTTTTGTATACAACACGAAAAATACAACAAATTTTTCAGCTCAAAGAAAAAACCAGATTATTGACATTTGCACTCCTTCTGTCTGCAAGACACAAAAAAATAAGAATCACTTCAGCATTAATACAGTGGATACGGATAGCTTCAATGGTGATTTGCTTTTCATTTCTGAAGACAGAAAGTTTGCCATGGAGTTTAACCAACATCCCAATATTAAAACCTTCTGTATCAGTTGTTTGTTTTAGAACTTCTTTCTGATCTTTGAGATATGAAAGATGGTCCCAGTCAAAACATGAAATCACCCCTGTGCCATCATCAACTGAAATGTAAAACAGCTTTGGTTAGATTTCTAATTTTAAATTGCCTAATCTAGCCTTTTTTCACTCAAAACACCAACAAATATTTTTTGCAACTCTGAAATCAGTCAATTGTCACTGAATTTGTAAAAATTGAGGAAACCAATAACAGCAGTTCTGACCAATAAATCTGAATCATTGAAGTGAAGAGTCGTGATAGATGATAGTGAAAGATGTAAATATTGAAAATATCTTACCTATAAACTCAGACACATTTTCTCTCTTTTTAACTCCAACAATATACCCCATAATACATACTCTTGAAATGGTTCGATTGTACAGCAAAAAAGTATCTGAAGTATTAAAAGAAAAGCCCTGATACATAGCTTATAGCTTATATGTTATTAAGAAATATGTTACAAATTATATGATAGAAAACAGGCTTTATCCTTTGCTACAAACTTAACTGGAATCCATCAACATTACTAAGAACATAATGCACAGATTTTTGGTCATCTTATTGGAATATAAGCAATATAAGTTAATGAAGAAATGCAACAGAAAAAAATTGACTGAGAATATAAAAAACCTAAAAAGATGTTACGGAACGACACCTTACATGAAACACTTTTAGGTTTCTCACAAAGAACATGAAAAACTTAAAACCTCAAAATAGTAAGAAAAAGTTCAGAATAAAATTCCCAGCTGTGGACCAGGATGCAATCCATGTAACTCAGGCCTGGGATATCTGGTGTGGATTTTTTAATATCCTTGGCATACTTGTATAAAATGAAAAAAATGCATTGGGGGTAAAGGTAGATGGATTTGCTGCCTGTGTTTGGACCAGTATATGATTTAAAAAACAGCCTTTGTTGGCAAAATAGATGATAAGCAGTTTCTATTATGCGTTGCACCCTACAAAATGTTGGTGTTAGCGTTAAAATGTAGAGACTTTGACACAAGTTCATTATTAACTAGGGTCATTCAATTTCAATTCGACAAGGCCTTGACACCCACCTTCTAAGATTTTCTTCATGTTCATTTTGCAAATAATCCTGCTTAGAAATATGATTTCCCATCAACATCTTTTATATTGTACGTTTTCAGAATGATAATGCAAAGAATACCAAGAAAAATTAAAAAGATTAAATATTGTTTTTTTCTTTACAAAACTCAAAATGGCCACCAATCAGTGGTTTTACCTCAAAAAAGACTAAATTTGAAATTGAGATTTCAGCCAAGATAAAAGATATTGGCGTGAAACATTGGGAAACCATATTTCTAAACAGGATTCATTTGCAAAATGAAAGTGAAGAAAATTTAAGATGATGGGTGTCAATTCCAACTTTTATCTAATGAACTGACATGGAATGACCCACTAGCTAATATTTGGTGTGAGGATTACATGGATTTCATCCTGGGCAGCCTGCAGGCAGACTTTACAAATGGGAAAAATTATCAATGTAATTTGTCTTTATAGCCAATGAGGGATGTCTTTGCATGCTAGCAATTAAATCAGTTTGATCATGCAAGACATGTCACCATTGTACACATGACTTCCTGACATTTTGGGTACAAATAATTAAAATGAATTTCAAGCCAATCAGAACAGAAATGCAAGCACGACTGCACATGACAGATAAGATTGCCAAATCAATTATTAATTGAAATGACAACTCGTTGAGCTAATCTTATGTTTTTAAAGGAAATAAATTAAAATGATTTTTGCACATTTAGATTCATGCTACCTTGAGGTACACCATAAGAGATATCCATAAGAGAAACTCAGTATAAAACCAGCCTAATGCACTCTCTTTAATCCATTTCATTCCATTTTTTGTTTCATGGTCAACGGTGTTGAATTATTTTGCAAAATTGAAAAAAAATACACCAAGAAAACATTTTTTTAATGATTGCATCTACGAGCTTTGCATAGGACATCAACCTTGCGAGACTTGTGGATTTGATTCGCTCTTTTGATTTGAAAACCAAATTGGTGGTTCTGAAATTACTACCCTGATAATGAAATTACCTGGCAACGTCGTTGATGATTGCAGCTCCAAGATATCGCAAATAAACAACTTAGCAGTTGCCCAAAAAATTGGATCCATACTAAATTCATATAATGCTTCTTCAGGCCCACTTTTGCTGCTACAAGAGGCCATGATGGAAGTTACATCTAAACTCTGGACAGGCCCATTAAAATTCCCGCCATTTTCAAAGGACTACTGTAATAGAAACGAGGCTGGTAGAAATTTCAATACACTCTTTTTTACAAGAATATTGTTGATAAGAATATTCAGTCTCAGAATTATCAAATTTTCAAGAATATTTTGAAAATATCGTGCAGCTTCAGCTAATATATTTGTGTCTCATTTTTCAGCAGTTGCCTGATTTGCTCTGTTGAAAACAGAGAATCATATGACAGACCATATCTTGTCTTTTCAAAAATCGTGGTTTTTATTAGATAATGGGCGATATTCCCCTGAAGCCACATCAAATTTGAAAAACATGAGAATGCTTTAAGAATATACTTAGGCTCAAGACAAAAAAAATCTTAAGAATATTGAGGCTGGACCAAGTTTGTAGCACTCTTATTAAAGAGTGTACCCAAACTTAAATCTTTTATTGACGTAGATAGGACATTGAGTGCAGGCATTTATCCAATCAAACCACTGTGCTTTGGCCACGTTTATATAATTTAAGAGCTAAGCCAGAATAGTAAGTAATCATTTAGCAAACTTTAAAGAATTCACTGGCCATACCATAAAGCATTTACTGTGTTCAGCCTGCTCATTTATTCAAGATTAAAAAATCTAAAATAGATTCTTACTACGTCATAAATTAAGATTCTTACTAAGCCAAGGTACCAGCTTTGGTTTTTACAGAGCCTTTATAAGGTTCGAGGTGAAGATGTTATTACACTGTTTCAATTCCTCTTCAAACACCAGACAACCAGACAACCAGGGGTAACCAGACATCCGTTATTCGTTGTTGGTATCTGGAAAGAAGTACTGAATGCAAACACTGGTAGGGGTGAATGCCCTTACCTTTGTACAAAATTAAGAACTTACATAGGTGTAAATTTAAAAAAACTCCCAAAATCTGCTCGGAATCATACAATAGATCAAGTTTCTCTTGACAATGTCGAGCCCCAAGAACTTTTAAGCCCCTTCAATTCGCAATAGGTTCCCCAGACCTTTTAATTCACAACTGGGGCTATTGACTTTCAGCGAAGTTTATAGGGATCATCACCAAATTAATGCAAGTCTTATTCCCTGCGGATAACATTTTTAGAGGGCATTTGAATACTGATTCTCAAAATCATTTATTAAACATCTCCCTTTTATTGAATATATCTTCATTTTACGCTTATATTTGAAAATAATTTAAGAATAAGGCAAGGATCAAGCTTCATCGATATATTTTTTTATTTATCTTACTCTTCTCACGCTATACATTTGTTTTGAAATGCACACATCCGCTCCGTGAATAGCTCTATGGTTTGACTCAGTGACTAGATTTGTATTTTGATTCCAAATTTGTTGTTCTATCTTTTTATTGTTTAAAAGCAACATGTCAAAAAAGAATTGAATTTTTTTATTTGATCATAAAGCGAATTTACACCTTGTGTCGGGCAAGAATAATCAAAGAATATTTTTTTAAAAATATATTGAGTCTCGGCAAATAATTATTCTTTTAAAAAACGTTTGCTAATTAAAATCATTTAATAAATTAGTATTGAATTAAAGTTTCGAAGTGGCATGTGAAGTTTCTCTAGTAAAAATTTGCATAATTCTGTACAATCTGGTCAAACCAGTGATTTTTTGACCTCTTCCTCTTCATTTACCGCAATTTTCCTGATTGTGTCACTTGCCTCTAACTTAAAAACAACCAAGTTTTATCTAAGAATAGACTTGATTATGCAATCTTGTTTATGGTATGAAAATGACCACCCAATTTTCATCCTTCCTTTTCTGTTCAAAGCATTGAGGGATATGTGGGTACAGAAGGTTACACGATTAAATATGTACGGTATTTTTTTGAAATCACAAGGCGGGCAATTGTGCGATTGTTTTATGCAAATATCATTGTAATATTTTATATTGTTCAAAGAATTTATTGTTTAGCAAGCCAATAAGGTTAGTGCAAATCAAGGGTGAGTCTTGTGCGCATTGAGCGTGTCAATTGCTTTCCTCCTTCGCCATACTGTATATATCTGCGAATTTTGGCTTGGCCGTTCTCAACAAAATGGACATCTGTTTCAAGTTCAGTATTGTAGCTTACCACCATTTATTTCTCACCTAGAAGAAAAGGTCTGGCCCTATCAATTTGCTGATTATCATACCATCTCGTTCGCTATTAACTTGTATTTTGGGAACGCCACTGCAAAGCTGTTTATTACTGTCAAGCTGGATCTAGGCCATCATTGCTGGACAAGCTGATGCAGAATGGCCACAGAAACAGATCGGTTTACTAGCAAGTACAGGAAAGATAGATTCGACGGAAGAAAGGATAGGACTGATAGAAGAATTAAAGCTTACGAAACTAGTGATTCGGCCGAGAATAAAGAAATGACGGGAAAGACTACAGTCACTTCTGTCGGGATCAGTGTGCGCAGCACTGCAAGGTCCGCTGCCCGGAGTGAAGTAGGCAAAAATGAGGTAGGAAAAAGTGAATTGGAAGTTGTTACAAGCAGAATAAATCGTTTGAAAGTAAATGACGACAAAGATGGCCAAGAGGAATCTGCAGCACGCCATGAGGATAGTCACGATGAGGCAGATCACGAAAAGAAGCAGATGGAAAGAAAGGAAAGAGGAGCAGGGGCCACAACCAGCAAAAAGCGACAACAGAGAAAAAATCTGAGAGAGAAACGGAGGTCTACAGGTGTCGTTATTATGCCGAATATGGAGGTAAGTTGGTGTAGAACCCAAAATTCAAGGTTTCTTGGATGTTTTGTAAACTTTGCGGTCTTTAAGTTTAAATAAAAGGCGTCAATATATATTCTTCTTGCAGGGCGCTGCATAAGCCCTCCTCATGTTTGCGAAAAGATTTAGGCAAGGATATAAGGAGACTTGGTTCCACAGTCCAACTTATTCTAGCGGTGGGATCTCTAGGCAAATGTCTGTGTTACATTCTTATTGTAGACTTATAATTGCTAAAATAACGAAAAGCGACCTAATTGCCTACCAAATCACAAATGTCACCATGTACGCATTGATTAGTGTCATTTGGTGTAATTGTCTGGACTGACAATACGCTGAAATATGTTACCTAGGCCAAGTCAATCTAGACGATGGTATTAATTGAACAAGATGCATATATTAGAGATATTTATATTGTGTTCTGCATTTTAGAACAAGGTAAGGGTATTTTCGTAAATCTTGCAGTCACTAGTTAGTTTTGTGAAAACCGGAGAACTGCGGTATGAAACTCTTCAGTGTTTACTTCTGCTAAAATTTTTAATCTGTGAAAATAATATTAGTTAGATCAGACACTACGTTGATGGTAATTTGACTTTTGACAGATGCTATATTGCGCCCAAAACGAAAAAGTGCATGGCCACACCCCTTTTTAAACTCCATTTCTAAAGATCAGGAAGGATTTACTTCATAATTATCCTTTTATTAAAGTAAATAGGGACATACCTAGACATTTCCATCTGGTTGGGAGTGGGGGTGCAAGTTAGAGTTGGATTTGCTGGCAAAAATATGGCGGTTATTTATAAGAACAGAAAGGCTGTTTTAAGTCTACTGTCAATTAAAAGTATCTTTTTGGTTTTCAGTACCCAAGAAAGAATTCCAAAATTGCTCAGAGGGTCAAGTATCTTGTTCTTTCAAGCATTTGCTAAGATCATATTCATCAGAAAATTACGCTTTCATGGCCTAAATTTGATTTTGCTTGCTCATTGCTAGAAAACTTAGGTTATTACCCCTGTTTAAAGTTATAACCCCTGTAAGGAAACCCCTGTTTAAACTGTGCTTTCACAAAAGTCCAAAAGTGCAAATTGAATATGACTTTTATCTTGCGATTTGGTCAAGTTTCTACTACTTCAAATCAAGTTAGTAGTTACATGATGGGTCTTCGATTCTCAAAATGAAAGAATTTCATTCAATGTAAAATGTTGAAGCTTAATGTTTTCAAAAAGGATGTTGTCAAGTGATTCTAAGGAAATAGAAAAAATATTTTTGACCCCCAACAACCAAAACAACAAAATAATTTTTTAAAAATAGAGGTTTGGTTGCAAATAATTCTTGCAGAACCAAACACTTTCTGAAGCTGTCAGTCAATTTATTGAAGTGTATTTGAACTCATAAGTGCTCAAAATATTTGGTAAATATGACATGCCTATTATAAAAACATGAGAAGTAACCTGCTTTATTTTGGCAAAATGATAAAGATGCTTTTCTCCATATATACTGAACATGAAAGTGGCTTTGAAAAAAGCAAGCATTTCACAACATACTACTGAAAGTGAATGTCAGAATAAGGGTCCAAAAGAAATACTCTGTGGAGTGTCAGAAGAAAAGCTTTCAGTAGTGTATTGTGAAATGTTTGCTCTTTTCAAAGCCATTTATTGAAGTTCTGTACTGCCAAAAAATTCTGAACACTTTCTCGTATGCTTTTTTGTGGAAATTCAGCTTTGATGTCTGCAACAAAGCTTTTTTCTTTCTGTTTTGTGCTGTAAGTAAACTTTTCATAGTGAGTTACCTAGGTTTGATGTTCATTTTTAACTATTTTTCATTGAATGCTAAACAAATACATGTTTACAATTTATACACATATCAACTAGACCCTGTCAAATGGTGTCCCTGTAGTATATGTGTTAAAAATTTTTTTTTATTAAAAATGCTATGCAATTTTTGGTGGAAAACTTGATCCCAGATTGAAAAGATGCAAGTAAGAAGTAATGATTGACAACCAAATTATAAGTTTCTCGGAAAACAGAAATATACAAGATGGGTTACGTAATTGAGAAGTTGATTGTTCTAAAGGTTTGATGTATTTGTAATTGTTGCTTGACCTTTGGTGACCTTAGTGAGTATGATTTTGTCCCCTAAATATGACCATTGGTTAATTTGAGATTTCTTTTTTGAAATTTAATTTTATCTGGGCCAACATAAAGCATCTCGGCAATACTAATTTTGTGCCAGATTGACAAACAGAACACTGAAATAACAATTTATTTAAAACAAACACATTGTTTGCCAAAATTGATCACATTTTTATTCTTACATTAACCCACCTTAACCTATTTTTCATAATGTAACCATCCATACATTTTCTGTCTCATCCTTCCTTTTATTGAATGCTTAATTGTTTTTATATTGCTTTTTATATTGTTTTTATATAAGTTTCCCAAAATTTCTCTAAAATTCTTCCAGTTTCTCAGTCTTATTTCATCTTCTAATTTTATTTATTTGTAAATGCCTTTCTTTCCAACAAAGCAATTTACCCCAACAAATTTTAAAGTTAGATTTTAACTTCCTTGAACCTACTTATTTGATGAGCATTAGATGCTCACTTCCAAACTTTTCTTTTTTGATTAATTTTAGATTTAATAATAATAATATTTGATGATATTTAATGATAATTGGTGCAGGGTGACCCTTCAGATCTAATGTCTGTTTTTCAGGGAACATTGTTAAAACTGGCAATATTAAACTTTGTTAAAACTGGCAATATTGATTAATATTAGATTATAGTAAAACAATGGTTTTAATAAAAGTTTTCTTAAACATAAAACTAATGCTAAATACAAATTAAAGAACTGTAATCAATAATAGAAAATAATTTTTTTTCAAGCATGGCTTTCAATTTTATTGTAAGTGAGTCAAGCATCCTAGAATCTTTTCTCTAGGTAAATAGTTCCCAATCGCTTTTCCTCAATTCAAGTGACATAAAATTTTGTTAAAATACTCTGCGAGAAAGTTGGTGTATTGGCATTCAATTTACAACTATGATTCACTGTTTTCGTAAATCTTCAGGTTTAAACCTAGCTTGTGTAAAATAAGAGAAAAAGAGAAAAGTAATATTCTAGAAAGAAAAAAAATCGTAATGTTTTCATGAGAAATTTTACCCATACCATTTGTTGATTGTGTGCTACAGTGAATCCCCAAATTTACCCCCCACTCGCACAAGCCCCTCTTATTATGAGTTTCCACCCTGGAAGTTAAAATTATTAATAAAATCCCCACCCTCAAATAAGCCCTCATTTGTCAATTTTTGCATTTTAAGAAGCCCCGATGATGGTTTAATCATTTTAAGAAGCCTCAATGATGGGTTTAATCAAGATAAAGCAGGAAATACACCATTATTCATAATACACCCAGCACAGAATGAAAGACTTAAAATAAAGAAGGCATTGACAAAGACACCGCCCAAGTCATAAATGCTATATCAGTATTTGGACTAAAATATATTTTTGTGATTTGATATATACTCTTGATAATAGGATATTTTTTAAGTGAAATTGTAAATAAATTGGGCTTGAAAACTGTAAAAAAATGCAAAACGAGCTATTTGTATTGCAACTTAGAGACGATTCTTACTAGCCCCCCCTCCCCACCCACAAACATCCTACATAAATAAGCTCCTAGTGGACTAATTATAGGATTTACGGTAACTTCTCATGCTTTCTCAAAGTTCTTAATTCTATTTTATTTTATGTTATTTTATATTATATTAAGAAGGAAGGATTATGTAATGCTTGATAACTCTTGTTTATAAGCCAGTCTTTCAACAGGAAAGATACAAAGTAACCTTTTTAGGTTTATCAGCCTTCTACTCATTTTTGTTGATAGTGCTTTATTGTTTTAATTCATCCCAAAGAAAGGTGATAAGTGAAAAACTTCCTGTCGATTTTTAAAAACTTGTTCCATAGTTGACTTAGATATCCTTTGTTTTATCGTTGTGATAATGACCCATTGATTGGCAAAAATAACATGGTATCTTAAGGTCATCTCGACAGACAAAATGGACCATTTTGCTTTAAATCATAAACGATCACAGGTCAGTTCATGACCAAAAACTCATTACCTTGACTTCTCATGTCTTTTCATCCTCATTTACGTCGTTCATTTGCCTTCGCTTTTCTTTCCACAACAGCTCTTTCAGTGACCCAACTAATCCTACTTTATGGAAGTCAAAATAGACTTAATAACTTGAATTACTCTTTGAGGTTAAGGCTGCTATAATATGATTTTGTAATGTTGCAGTTCTCAAGGTTCTTTCAGTTTTCGTGACAGTTTGCAGAAAAGACAGCACTTTCCTGTCCTCCCTTTTGATTTTTGCTTTGTATTAAACTTAATTTGTAGTTTAGTCAAATGCAATTCAATTTCATCGCGATTTGAATAAAAAATGTCGTCTGCGTTTATTTTGTTTTGACAAATTCAGTATTTTTTATTATTTTCTTCATCTGAAACCTGGCATCTTTAAGTTTGCTACAACCTAAGTCCAAAAATTAGAATTAAATGTTGTCCATGGCAATTAAAAGAGCTGTAAAAAGCAAAATTGTCTCCTGATACCACAGAATCTGCTATTTGGCGAACGAGGGCACAAAGAAGGGGCCAGATAGTTAGCAGTCAGTCGCTCTCAGCTCTTGCAAAGTTAACTTTCGCGTTCCTTGTTTCTCATGCGATTATTGTCCGAACATATATCCGTATTTACTTTTGAAAGATTTTTTTATCTTCTTTTAAAATATGAAAATGAAGCTCAATATCCCCTTCTTAGCCGGCTGTCTTGCTGTTATTCATTCAGAGCTGAGTCGACAGGTTGTTGTCCCTATTATCTGTGCATTGCTGCCTGCCTCGGCCCCAAGCTGAGGTTAGGTTTATATTCCATCACGACAGTCGGCTCCATTAATATGTCTTTGTTGTCATTGTTCATGGACGACCCCTCCCTCTACTGTTTTGCAAAGACTTCGCACACAACTAAACTTGCCCGTTTCAAAGATAAGGGCTGTGTTCATATATTGAGACAAGCGACATTTAAAAGTTTTGTTTTTGATTGTACTGGTATTCAGATCTGTTTTGCTTTGCAGGGAGACACTGCCAGTGGGGCAACTGATGATGGGGAAAAGGTGAAAGAAAACACTTATATTAATGAGGCAATGAGCACTTCAGAGTCTCAGGTTTGTAGCCTATCTTGCTTTGAAAATTGTAATTTTCCAAGGCTGGATTTAGGGTAATGATGACTAACTGCACCAAAGGTATTTTGTGTTAAATCATTCCAATCTTACTTTTTGCAAGACTCCTACCAGGTCAGCTAGTTTAGTTCCTCCTTAATGCGATTTTTTGGTCAACCTTCTTTATGGTAAAGGTTCCATAGGATAGGTTCAAGTTGTTTCTAGGACTTGCTGAAACAAGAGAAATGAAGGTGCTTGGTTTCTTTAAGGCTGCAGAAGTCTGGGTGATTCCCAGGTCAATATCTGATTTCAGCTATTTTCAAGATTTGCTTCGAAAGTCTGGGGCAAAGAGCACGCGGGTGATATTCCTTTGTGGTCTCCATCTATGGCAGTTCTAGTCACATCAAATGTTTGTTTTTGCTCTGCAGTCGTAAAGAAATTTTTTAGCCTTAGATAAACAGTATTCCTCACAGTTTTATAGTAATTATGAACTGCCCTGCAGTGTGTCACAGCTAGCTGATAAAGTAGCTACCAATTATTTATTGTGTTTCTTTGCCCGATAACTGTACATTCAAACATTCTTATGTGCGAGTTACTCAAAAGTTTCTTCTTTAATGGTTGTCATTTTCGCAATGAGCACAGGTTTTTGTCAGCAATGGCTTCTGGTCTGGACTTCCCCATTGGTGATATCCCATTGTGTATTTTTCTTTTGAACTGGTTTCACTCTGCACCATATGTTGTTTCCAAAGGCAAATCATCCGAGAATCTGAATCGTGGTCTTTGATTTTTAAAAACTTTGACAGTTGATTTGCCTATCCATGGTATGATCTTGTTTTTATGCGAAGCAAACGCCCATTTTGAGACAATTTCTACATCTGTAAGCATTAAACCTTGTTTTTTACGTTAAAATCTTGACTAAAACAAGCTGCTCTTTTTTGTAGGGAAGAGGAAAGTCAAGGTAAGCATAGACTTTACATGCAGTTCAAAAGCTTTGCGTCATTAACAAATTTTTTCAAAACCAGACCGAAGAAACAAATGGATGTCTATTTTTAAGCTGTTTCTCGTTATGCCATCTACTGACGTATGACTTGAGTTCAGATTCTTTTCAATGTTCAAGGTGATACAGAAAATTGTAAGAAAATACCAATGTGAAATATCTCCGAGACTTAGGGTTCTCTTGTTGTAACCTACGTTTGTAACTGCAAGGATTTTACTTAGAACTGCAGCACTAGGCCTATGGGAAATTCACGCTAATAGATACTAACCCCATGTTAACTAGGTTTATCGAAGCTTTGATTCTCAATGATAAATAGTGCAAATGAAGATATATTTAAAAGCAGATTCATGTTTGTAAATTGCATGAGTGTGAACAGTGATAGTTTCTATGTGTGGAGCACAAACCGTACATGATGCTAGGGTGTCTTTAACAATAGATGTTATTGCAGGGGTAGGAGTGACGAATGGGACAAGATTGACAAAGACACCCTCATACAGCAACTGGAAGCATATCAGCAGGCGATTCAAGAATGGAGAGACGAATTCGAAAAATCTCAAAAGGTAAGACACATTCGGATCTTAACGCTCTTGTTTACATTATACCTTTATTTGAGGCATTTTGTTGTTCTGCTTCATTCCCATCGTTCAGCTTATTGTCTCTAATTGGTTATCATTTTGTGGCGTCAAATAAGCTTTGTTGCGCATGAGAAAAACAAATTTGTATTGGTATAAGAGTTTCAACTTTCCCTTGTCAAGTACGAATCATACCTGTTATTTTACTAAGGACTCCATCCCAATAAAACTTTGGTAACTTTAAAAATGCAAAACTGATGTTTAGAAACTTGAATTAGAAGCAAGAATATTGAACTGACGATTTAAATTGCAGTTAAGCATGACGTTGGTTTTCTGGTTTTTCAAAGACAGTCTTTTCGGCTCATTTTGTTTTCTGAATTAATATGCATTTTTCTGAATAAAGAAGATTTCAGTTCTAGTTTCAATGCCTATCTGTGTGCCGTACTGAGAGCTACTTAAACTCGCTGAAAATCCTGCAGGCCCCACTTGAGACTCGAATGCAGTGCTTTTCATTGCACTGTGATAGACTATTGGGCTTTGTAAACCTTTTGTCATCATCGTCTGGTTGTTTTGTTTATATATTGAATCATAAAAGTGTAAACTGTATGTTTAGACACCAATCCTTGATTACTCTGAATACCTGCTTATTGAATAGGGTTTACTGTCCCAGTCATTTGTGTGTACAATGCATTTATCTGTTGTGGACTCCTGCTTGGAACTCACTGTTCATCGATAACTGCCTAAATGGTCCAACTTAATCAAAAGATCTTCACATGCCGACTTTGTAATGCTATGAAAATGATGTAACAATCAGATTGAATTATAATTTATTTGAATGTCCGAACTGAATTTTCGGAGATGAATTTTTATGGTGTATGCCCATTTTATGTGAAATCCCCTGCTGCAAGAAAAGGTGTAGCATTGATCCTCGTTGTTAAGCAAATAAACGCATTATAGCGATGCGGGGGTTGTAAGAATGAAATAGCTAATAGGGCTTAAATGGCTTGAAATATTTTTGGGCCCCCTCGTGCGTTTTTCAGTGCTTCCAAGACAAAAAATTCCATGAATGAGTTAGGCTAATTCCCTTTTATATTGTGAAAAACCCAAATGCTTTTGAATAAGAGGCAAGTTGTGAAGTGATAAATCTCATTTTATTCACGTGTACACTGATATATAGTATCATTTTCTTCACGTGTACATTGGTATATATTATCATTTTCTTCACGTGTACACTGATATATATTTCCATTTTCTTCACGTGTACACTGGTATATAGTATCATTTTCTTCACGTGTACACTGATATATATTATCATTTTCTTCACGTGTACACTGGTATATAGCATCTTAACACTGATACAAATATTTCTGCGCAGGAAATCGACTCACTACGAAACGAAAACCAGCGACTAAGGGACGAAAACAGCTCTTTATTAAAGGTGGTCAGCCAGCTGTCGACATCCTCACGGAAATGAGAGTAACACTGAAACATCGAACCAAAGATGCATGTACAAGTAGAGAATCGTTGCCCTTAAGTTTTGTAAAAATGACTATTTTTACATCAATTAATACCTTCTTGAATAATTTGTGTTTAGTAGCCTGGGTATGATTTTTCATAAACTAGTTGGAGATATCTTTGGAGATTTGAATAGAGGTCGATTTGTAACTAGCGAGGCTCAGAATACCTGGCTTCCATAGATCAAAGGGTTGGCAGCAGGTTTTCCTTTGGAGATGTCCTGCTTCCCCAGCAAATCTAAAATAGAAGCAGAGACCCGTCCTTTGTCGCTTGGACGGATTACTGACTTCATATTCATGGTGCATTGTGTGGTTTGTGGATAAATTAACCTATGGTTAGTTAGGAATATCTTTAATGACCATATAAGGATATCAGTTATTTCGAAGACAAACATAGAATATCGACTAAGAAGGCTAGGAAAAACAAGCATGTGTGAGTTGACCTCAAAACCTGTATGAACCAGTGTTGTATGAACCATTCGAATCCCTTTTTAAATGTCCTATTTGTCCCCATGGTTTGCATCTAAAATCGTACTTACGAATCAAGTGTGAGTTACATATTTCGTAGTTACGAATTATTCTCCGATTGTGCCATCGACTGAAAACTCGATGGGTCTCCTTCCATAACAGTCTCAATGCTGGCAGCCTGACTTTGTTTTAACTGCCTATAGTCCGTTGCGCAATGTTTGTATGAAGTATCTGGGTTAATCCTATAAATAAAGTCTTTACTTTTTCTGCAAATGTGAGTGAATTAAATCTATAAGCAGCGTCCATGATTCTTGTAAGCAAAAGATGGTCACTCTCTGTCCCCTAATCCCCTTACATTTATTGATGGGTATTGTTTTCCTGTGCCTACTACCTGCCTTTATTGATGGACAAGAACACATTAAATATGCTTTGCTCTAGAAGCTGTTTCAATCTCTCAGGTAAAAACTGAACAAGCTGTGCGATTACTAAAACTTTGGTTTTGTACTTATTTTCTGAGTGTTTCTGAATTTTGAAATGATTTTGAATTAAATCACATTGTGAATCGAAAGGGTAGATTCATTGTACATTTATTTTTGGAAGATAAAAAGTCTGATTTGGTGAGGTTGGTAAGGACATTGTTGGAGTACTAGTGTTGCTGTCGTCGAATATCGTAATCTTAGGTTCTTGTTTGGGTAACATGTCGATAGACACTGTCGCAAATGATTAGAAGGAAACCTTTTATTACCTGTCAGCTTTGATAAAGCTTGCATTTGGTGTCTCTTCTTCGGAAAGAGGCTAGAGCTGGTAGCTCGCCAGCTATTACTGTATGCCATTAAAAAACCATATCGAAACGTGTTGTTAAATATAGGTTTATTAACTAGTTTTTTATGTCCTAACTGTAGTATTGTCAACCACTGATTCTTATTTGAATGTTGCATGTTTGTTTAGGGCTAGAATTTGCATTTAACTGAAGTCTACTGCCATTGACGATTATGCTCCCTTCGTCTGTCCGTGAAATGCTGTTTTCTTACGTACGAACCATCTCTTAAAATGCCATGAAAAACACTCAGATTTCGTTTACATGTTCTTAGAGCTCCACATAAACTGTCACAGAAGGAATTTTCGTGTAGTGTAAACCCGGAAATGAAGAGAAGATCCACCATTGTCTATCAGTATTCCCTTAGAGTTTGGCCAAAATTATCCTTAAGCCAACCCATTGTTGTTGGAGAGAATTTTGCATCATGTGCAAATGCGCAGTTCGATACCATGGCAGGAACATGCTAGCCCCAGTGTCTTGAATAAGAAGTTAGAGAAAGTTAAATTGATCGTATGGAATCTGGCATGATACTTGAGATATCTAGCACACTAAATCGTTTACTGGGTTGAGAAAATTGTTTGGCATACAAGAAATGAAAGGAAAAGTAAAAGAGAAAACTGGTTTACTTAGCAGTGACTACTTGATCTGTCTTCTCAACATAGGTAATGTTGTGATCGTTAAAAACACGTTGTCTTCACTAGGGGTGTGGTTGATAGCACGGAATGGGAAATGACAGGGCATCTCAAACTTACTATAGCTAAACATTACTGAGGATTGGAGAATGAAAATCTATTAAGAAAGTCGGAACATTGGGTCATATCATTTATTTTGGAATGGTTGATTTAGACTGTATGTTAGAATGATAATAAGAATAATAATAATATTAATAATAATGAATCATGACCAGTATCTCCACAGGGTGGCTCTTCATCTGGTCATTAAATACTACACGATGTAAAAGTTGCTACATGAAAAGTAAAGATTAAAATAGTTTAAATTCGATAAAATTTAATTTGGAATTAAAAGTCAGGTTCTTCTCTTTATGAATCAAATTAAAAGCCTTTTTTTAATGCTGTGACGTCCCATGTCAAGGCAATACCAATATAATCTGATTGTCTGATATGTAACGATATGTAGGTATTTGGCTTGATATGCATTTTATGCCTAGGGAAGCCTCTCAAATTACAAATGTTTGATAAACATGACTCTGCAACCACAATTGGTCAGCATTAATTGGGCATATTGATTCAAAGGAAAGTTGGAAGGCGATTTGAAAGTGAAACTGTGTAGACTGGAAACATCATAAGCAAGACGCGCATAAAAAGTCAAGAGAAAGGCTTTAAATCCTAGGCAGTTTAAAGAATAGCTACCTCTGCGAATGAAGTATAAATAAAGGTAATACAAAACTGATCCTTAAATAGGACTTCATTTACATTAGGAAGACTTAACAAATCTAAGCTATTGTGCTAAATTAAAAGATTTAAAGCTTGAAAACACAAAGTTTTGTGGTCCTCAATATGTCGAGAATCGTTTTCAATTCACGAATATTTATTATTGAAAAAAATACAAGACGTCTTGGAATTACTTGGCAAATCGGAAGAACCAGAAAAGTGATGTAATTCAATTTCAGTCAAGCAATAGAGGATTTTCAGCAAGGGTACTATTATGAAAACTAAGCCAATACCATGCAACTTTAAACAAAAGGCACCGATAAAAGGGAATTTAAAATAACTGTTCCAAACAGTTGCATTAAACTTGATGAAAAATCACACATTTGGACCATTCAAAATTAACTGAAACAACTAAAATGTTACACCCTCCGAATGTGTTCTTTTTACTCGATCTGTTCTCCCATAACTAAGAAAGTGGCGTTTTCCGACGAGATTAAAAGAGGGGCGTATTTTGCGTTTTAAAAATTCAAAGGGGAGGGAGTTTCTTTGAGTGGACATAAAATGAAAGGGATTTACTCAAAGTAATACGGTAACATGGTAATTGGTTTTAAAAAAGTATGCGAGAGATCAGCTTGAATTACTCAATATGTTTACAAATTTGAGGGTTATGAATGATACATGATGTTTGATTCTGAGGAGTGCACAAAACAGTATAATTCTACATAGCTCGATTTATGGTTTATATGGGCTGATGCAATATATAAATTTTCATCTAACAATGAAATACTGTCATCTGTACCATATATTTGCACTGATTTGTCCTTTCTTGCATGAAAAATGTGAGACGGCAAGTCTTTGTAGTTCACATAGAAAACATCAGGTTTGAAAGCAACCTACAATTCATCCTTTCCGTGTATCATATCTAGCATTGTTGCATGATATTTCTTCACCTACAAAGAGACGGAAAACTGACATCAAATTATGATTGGAATGTAGAAAACAAAACAAAAAAGTTTTAATCGTAGATATTTTAAATTTCTAAGAGGTTAGATTAGAAATCCTATAGATAACAAAATGAAGGCTTATGTTTTTGTTGACTTCAAAATGATTCATTGAGTAGCTTAAACCTTCTTCTTTTAGGAAGTAAGAACATTTAATGAAAAATAAAAATAAACAACATTTTTTAATGTTTACCAACAATAACCAATAATTTTAATTGTCATAATAAAATGTGACACCGCCATTTAAACATTTCTTAAAATTTTAAAAACTTCTGAACTTCAAATCTATTTTGCCACTAAGTAATAAGAAAGGACAGGCCAACAAGGAGGCTGGGAAAGAGAGACACAGCTCAAAACCTTTGATAATTTCACTGTTAACATATCAATAAATTGGATAAATGAGTTATAGAGATGAGTGTCACCCACAAGCTATAGACAAGGTGGTTCCATTTGTCTGTTGATCTGTTTACGCAAAAACTATTAAGTCTGTCGATCTTCAAACTAAGGTTTTCAACAATTATGCGAATGTCTTCATTAGACCGTTGAAAGAAAACCTCAAAACCCAAAGAAAAATTACGCCCACAGAAATACAATGCACAATTTAGGTTTCCTAGAAAATGACAGAGAGTTCGCAAATACCTTAAATGCTCACTTTACTTAAATCGGAGAGAGAATCACTGGAAAAGGTGGTCCCTCCAAACATGATTTTTCCTTTTATTGCAAAAAACGATTTTTGAAACTATTGCACAACAAGTAATGAGTGAAAATGGAGTCTGACAAGAAATATACATCCTGAAAGCAACAACATCCTTAAAGCAACAACATCCTGAAAGCAACAACATCCTGAAAGCAAATAGATATTTGGAAAATTGCCGAGATTATCATATGCTCTATATAAGCTCCCCGACAGTTCTAGAGGAAAATAAGTGATAGGTTTGCTAGCTGTCTTAGCAAAAGGACCCACTACACCGAAGACAATAGAAAAAACTCATCTTTTCAAAGGTGTGCAACAAGGATCAGTTTTAGGAGCAATCCTATTCATTATCTCTATCAACGATATGCAACCGATATGAATGTTTGCCGACGACACAAATCTTTTTGCCTTGGGGGAGCATTCTAAAGCTCTATTTAGCCAGACAAACTGTGAGCCGGAGAAGTGTAAAGGCAACGCATGCCAGAATGTGTCTAGCTTCAATATATTCCTTTTATTTATGTACAATTAAGGTTTAATTTATTTATCCGTGTAGTTATTTATCGATTTGGATTAAATTGCAAAACAAGCAAACACAGACACGTTTGAAGCTAACAAACTGAACGTTAGCTCTGAAAAGACAAACTTCTGTGTTTTCATAGCCCCTTCTCATAATGTCATTTATTTCTCAATTTGTACAAGCCATTGGAACAATTAGACAGTATAAAGTACCTTGTTTTTCGATTGACGAGAATCTGAATTGGAAAGATCGAATAAACAAAAGCAATGAGGAATAGTTAAGATACATTTCAGCTTCTCGAAACTTCGACAATTTGTATCGAAAGATTGCTTGATTATTCTTTATGAGGCGAGAGTTCGTTCTAAAATAAGGTACTGCCTTGAAGTACATGGAGTAGCAACAAAGCAAGATTTGAAACTTAGCAATAAATGCAAAATAGTATTCTCAAGAACAATCTTCTCGAAAACCGTAGGTATTCAATTTCTGAGTTACACAAGGAAGCAAACATATTTAAACTGTGTGACCAGTTTGAACTTAAAATATTTTGAAGAAAAATTAATTGGGTGAATTGTATAAGACATGGCCACCCTATGTATAAGCAGACCAAAACAAAGGGTGAACAAAGAGTGACTTTTTCAGTCCTACTTGCTTCAAAGCTTTCACAAAGAGTCAAACAGCTCCATTCATAAAAGTATTTCTTTGCTGGATTCATGATAATACTCACAATCCATCATTAATATGATAATATTGATAATGTTGACAATATTTATGACAATATTTTTACCTGCTGCAATTAAAAAAACATGAGACAGCTCAATAATTAGAATTACTGTTCAGACTTGATATCCATTAAATTTTATTTATATCCATATGTTTACAGTCTGTCTTAACTTGTTTCTTTTACTATTATAATCTGTTTTTCAGCAACCCAGGCTCGCCTTGCCTTTCTGGGGCTTGTTGGATGTAATACAAATTTAGCTGCTTTATATGAAGAAAATTAAATTGAATTGAAAAAAATTTGAACTTTGAAGCAACTTTGAAGGAAAATCAGACCAGGGTCCTCATCAAAAAGCCAGCACTAGGTCATTTGGACCCTCAAGCCTCGAGCTTCCTTGTCTTATGATGATTCCATATGTTTATTGTCCCATATCCCTGCAATAAATTCCTGTCTGACAATGCACAAACACTGGTTAGTTTCAGCATCTTCATTTAAAGACTAATTCTGCTAAAGAACTGAGAAGAAAATGGCCAGGGAAACATATACACAATCACAACCCCTCCAGCTAGTAGACAGCAACACATAATGCAAATGGATTATGTGTTAGTAGCTGCATATCTAGACTCTCTCCCAAACAGTGGCGGACACTTGGGGGGGCGAGGGGGGGCGATCGCCCCCAATACTTTAGAGAACAATGGTCTTTTGTTCTAAAACAATGGGAAATGTGACGTCATCTTATTAAAACAATAGGCTTGCCCCCCCAATATTTGACCAAGTGTCCGCCCCTGCTCCCAAACACATCCTTCTAATTTTATGAAACCTCAGGAATGGGGGAGGGAGCTTATTTCTCATATCAACACACGGGTGGTGAACGTATAAAAAAATTTCAAAACATACCAGTCTTGCATGCTCATTAACTTTTGCCTGAACTTTTTCATAATAACCTGGCTCTGGAACATCTCCATTATTCAAATCATCCTTCCAACTTGCATGTCTATCTTTCCAGTAATTGTGCTTGTCAATTCTTGTTTGAAAATGTTTAAGTTCTCGCTGCAATAAAAAATAAATAAATCTATCTATTCATTAAAAACTAGATGTTGGAATATTATATATTTGAGATATCACAGGCTGAATTTATTTTGACTAGCATTCATTTTGATCCACTTTCATTATGCCAAGTGTGTTCCAAATGTTTGTGAATACACAGCCAAAACAGGCACATTTCTTTATCCAATTCCTTGGAAAATTATGCCTCACATGGAAAATGGTTTTCACATTTTCATCACAGAATACCACTAACTTGAAAACTAATGCTTGATATCTTGGGTAGTATACTTAAAACATATGTATGTATGCTTGTGTATGTTGGTGTCTCCTCACTGGTTTTCTAACATCAATAAACCAATTGCCTGGCTAAAAAACCTATATTCATACAACTGGTCTCAGAGCAAAAAGATTACACAAATATTTGTAAGACCTACAGGACATGCCTTATCAACAAGGCAAATCATACCATTAAATGAAACATCAGTTTGGTAGACTTAAAATTTCTTTAGGAGTTAACTTTTTACCTTCATTGATTCCAATTCGTCTTGTGAAAATCCAGACCTCTTGGCCTGTTCCCATAACTCCACAACCCTCATATCAGTAAAATCACCCTCGACATCATAAACCCTATCCTTGACCTTAAAAAAAGTATACAAATTAAAATCTCAAAATTTTACATGGATGACTCTTCCTTTGATAAATATATAAATAAAATATAGGTTTACTAATTTATTAGTTATTTGTAGTCATTATATTTTGTCAACCTTAAAAAAATTATACCTTTATAAGAAATTAAATTATCGTGTGTTGCTGGCTATGGAGATTGTGCACTAACATGAGATAGTACTTTAAATAGATGGTTTTAGTTACATTGATTAGTTCATCTAAGCTCAGGCAAGACCATAGGTAGATGCTGTCATGCCAGTGACTCCATTGTTTTACTCTCTTCTTTTTCCTTCCATCATACCTTCTAGACATGTTTCTGATAACCCTGAGCTAGATCTCTTAATATGTCCAAAGAGTTTTAATATTCTGCTCTTGATTATTATCATACACAGAGTATTGTAAAGCTGGAGTTTTGCAATAAATAATTATCTATATGCTTAAATGGCCTTAAAATGACATAAATTTTTTATTCTACCTTTAAATGCAAATGGCCCATATTTTTGGTACTTTACCAAGTCCCTAGCTAAACCAAAGATCTTAGTTAATCAAGCATCTTTTAATTGCCTATTTCAAGGCCTGGTTCTTTTAGTGACTTGTCTTGTTTCTGATGAAGATTGAAAGGGTAATTGAAGATTTGTACAAATACCTTTTTGGTCAGATCTAGAAAATTTGCAGAAATGTGATGATGCTTCAATTTCAGATCCTGTCTCAATTTTTTTATATCACTTTCTGGCATTTTGTCAATGCTTCTAATATCATTTTCTGAAATTGCATCATGGGAAATAATCTTCTCTGCCATCTGTCTGTAGCCCTCGATCTTCTTCTCGTGATGCTTAAATTCTTTTTCCAAACTATCCAACTCCTCAGATGAAAACTTTCCTACAATAAAGTTGATCAAAATTACCTCCTTTTAAAGTAAAGGATTGTTTATCGAGTAAAGAGAACTTGTATTGCTTTGTAGTTTGCAGTAATACTTAAAATAGTATTCAAGCAGTGGCATCATCATAGGGTGGAGTGGGGTGGAAATGTCCACTCCAGTTTTCCTAGAGGTTTATCTTCTAATTTCTTGAGATCTGTTCAGCAACATCTTTATTGAAGGGCGGTCATTGCTCAAATAGAATTAGATTTTTGGCTTTTGTAAAAAAGCCCCTGCTATGAAAATGTCGCTTTTTCAAAAATTTTGAAATAGATCACAAATACTGAACAAGCTATTTCCCATGTTTACTGAGAGTCTGATGGTAGAGAAAATTTGTTTGTCCACCCCAGATTTTTCCAGCTGGTGAGACCACTGTATTTAGGAAAAAGGTTGAGAGAACAATGCAACAGAATAAATTAAGAAATCACTATTAGCAACATGACCCATAAGCTGGACAGACCTCAATCATACACTTCCTCAATTAATGTTCTTCTCATTGGCATGATATAATTTTTGAGGAAAGTTATTACCCTCGTCGAATTGATTCTGAAAGAGTACTAAAAAGGGTGATCATTGGTATTAGAGATGAGGGGATGAATGCATGCAAGAATCAAACATAAAACATAGTGCCATTCTACTAAATTGCCTTGTTTAAGACATTGGTACTGCCTTGCTTACTGATGGATTACCAAAGGAATCAATAAAACCCTTGCTTTCTGTGAATAAAAGTGAAAAATTCAGACAAAGACATTTTCCTTTGAGAATAGCATAATAACAGGCTCTTTTGTATCAATTGAGGTACTTTGCATGCACCGGGGAGGTGATTCATTATACCTACAATTCATTGATCTCATGTAAACTCAATGATGCGCTATGATTGCAAACTGTAGAATTATCATCTATATAAGAATTTGTGATTTCATAAAAACTATGTGGCACATTGAATTCTTTTGCCCTTAAGAAAATAAGTCTGCCCTTCAAGAAAGACAGAACTGACAGGAAGAGCAGAACACATAGATGTCTGCTCTCCAGCTGAAGGTCAACTTGCTAAAAAAACAAAATTGCTTATCATTGCTTATCATTGCTTAGATAACCCCAGTGGCTAATGAAAAACCAGAATCTAGTTACTTGTTAGAACATCAGGATCAAGCTAAACTTTTCCCAAAAACTATGTACTGCAACCATACAAGCAAAGGGCCAAGTATAACAGATGCAGACCTACAAAAATGAGGTTCAAAAGCTGAAGAAGGAAAGACATTAATATAAGAAGGAAAACATTCAATAAGATACTTTTGCCCACATTGTTGGAGCAGATTAAAGAGAACCATGAAGGAGGTGCAAACAAAGGTGATAAGATGTGTGATTTTGGTGAAAAAGTTAGAGAACATTAAGATTCATGTTTTGTCAATGCTGGAGACTTGCCAGAGTAAACAAACAGCTTTACATCAAGGCTTTGACAATATGAGAAATAGAAATACTCCAATACCCAAAATAAATCAAAATTGACTCAGTTGCCAGGGGGAAAGAATACAGGTCTATGGTGGGGATCTCATATAGCAAATACATGGTTTTAACCTTGGTTTTGTAGCTGTAAGCAATTCAACTTTTTGATATGGTAGCTGTGTGCAGTGGCGGACACTTGGGGGGGGGGGGCGACTGCCCCCCAACACTTTAGAGGACAATGGTCTTTTGTTCTAAAACAATGGGAAATGTGACCTCATCTTATTGAAACAATAGGCATGCCCCCCAATATTTGATCAAGTGTCCACCCCTGGCTGTGTGGAAGATAAAAAAAGGTTGCAAAGATAATCTGAAGACTAGAGAATTTTATTGCATTGTGGATGATATTGAGCTGTGGATCCCAAGCATTGCAAAGTGAAAGCTCTCTAACATTTGCTTTCATCTTCAGAAACGGGTTTCGATTCAATTTGATTTAATTTAACATATATGCAGGCACCAGTGTAGTTGCAATCTGGAAACACCATTTTACCAATCTGAAGCAGGCCTTTTCATAAGAAATAGCCCATGCAAGTTGTCCAGTGTTGGCGAGATTTCTCTCGCATAAATATAACCAAATGCTGATAACAAAAATTGACAATTTTGCTTTGTTTTCATATACCGGTTTTGTATCCCCTCTCCAGGTTGGAAAGTACGTGTATAATTTTACTGATGCAACACTGCCACCAACAGCACATCATCAGAGCCACGACCTGCAAGCAAAAGCATTTGAGCTGCGAGCAAGCAACGATGGTCATATATACATTACTATATAGTATAATTTACATGAATTCATTGATGCTTTCAGTTACTAGAGGTCTGTGGTGCAAGCAGAATCCAGTATCGCTGCAAGCATATGCAAATGATCAAATGCTCATGAGGTTGGATTGCGCGAATGCTAATGCAATTGTGAACTAGACCGTAATAAAATAACCAGGCCCCTTTTATGCATTTTTTGTTTGCCACATCCAGAAACTTACTTGTGTGCAAAACTTTTATGACAAAAAAATTGGGTGTGCAACATGCCATGCTCTGCAGACTGAAGCAAGACTGGTTATTCAGTAATATATTACCATAACCTTACCACTGTCAAGGGCTTTTTGCCATAATTTTTCAACTTTATCACCGAATTTTGCCTTGATATGGTTATGTCCCTCATTGTCAGCTACGTTCGTATCAAGTCCATAGCTATTTGAAATGTCGAGGTACATTTCTTTTACGTCAGCCTCCATCATTCTTGCATCTTCGGTTTCTCTATTTTCAAGGTGCTTAAGTTTTAAAGAAAGCTTATCCAGCTTTTTAAGTTGTTTAAACAGGGTATCCAACTTTGGACTGCTCCCCAGATTCTTATTAGCATGATCCCATAATAAATTGTGCTTCTGCAATCTGAAATGGGACTCGCGTTTCAGATCTTCGGCATTGGTTAGGGTAGAACTTGAGAAATAAAAAATCGCGACAAATACAACGGCTTTCATATCAATCATCATCATTGGGAACCGTTCCAGTGTCTGGCAAAGTGGCTTTATACAAAAGTGTTCCCAAGATGTGCAAGATTAAGTTTAAAAATTAGAAATAAGGCCACTCTTCTGTCTGGGAAGGAGGTTATACTGGCTGGCTTCGAGGCTAGCACGCCATCATCAACACTTGGCAGATGGCAGACGTTATTGGAGTTGTCTAGTTTCCATACTGCTCCACCTGATGACATGATTAGTTTACCCTAAAACTAACCCGAAACCTAACCTTTTACTTGACATATTTTATCATGCTAATTTATAACTGATAATCATGCTTATTTATGACTATCAGGTCGAGCAGTGTGAAAACTAGGCAATTCCGACGATACCACACACAACGTTCACAAAAGTTATTATTAATAAAAATCTATGACACCTTAGCAAGGGGAAATTTGCTGCTTCTTGGGGCAGGCATCCGACGAATAGGGGTTCCGGTGGTAAAGGTTTCCCTGATTTTGCAAAACGGAAGGGTCAATGCCAACACAACAAATTACTGAAAAATTTAGGGATTGATATTTAACCTTTTAAATAACTTAAATATTCATATATTTTCATCACACAACCTTCTTCATTGATGGTAGGGAAATATTTGCCAAGAGGGAAATAGGAATTTATCGAAGCATCACCCAATGACAGGCCTAGTGCATGTATGCAGGGACCATGCCAGAGAATGGGCAGGGTGCCATGGCCCCCGCATTCTCAGAAGGGTATTTATGTTTTGAAATCTATATGCTTTGTCGATTAATAACATTAAATCATTCACACAATTAGCCTAATATTTTTGATGCGACAACCAATAAGTAATTAAAATCTATTGTCGAATGAAAAGCGATCCACTAAATCAAGATATCAGTTTATTATCAAATAACCATCGATGAATATTTTGAGACAACATACTCTATACTATTGCAAGCCCCCGATAATGATGGGCATATGTGCCCCTCCCGCACATTTGCATAGCTAGGGAACCCTTACTGGTTACGTCTGCCACAAGAACGTTTAAGAAGCATTTCAAATTATTGCTGAATTTGTTTTGAAAATTATCAAGGAGTAAAGAAAAAGAAAAACACATCCAAGAGTTGGTATAACTGATGTTAATTACAAAACTGAAAAATTACCACCAAATAGTTTCAATTTGAATATTTACAAATAATCTAGGGTAACATTACAAATTCAAAATGTATATGAATTTATAATGAATAATCGGTCCTCTTCTTTCTAAAATTGAAAAAAATATCATGTCGGAAATGAATTACCATGTTCAATAAAACAATTACCTTGTCCAACGTTAAAGCTTGGGAAGAAAAAAAGATGGCCTTAGAAAATATTGCCTCAGTAGGGTTTAAGCTCTGACAAAAACTATGGAAATTAAAAAAAAGTAGTTTCACTGGATTTTCTTGTTTAATAAATACTATTATAACTATTATAACACCTAAACCTTTTAATGATTTAATTTTCTGTTTTATAAATGCACATAACTATTGGCTTAAAATTCATATTCATCCAGTAAATACCATTTGTGCCGGAAGTCTTAAGCTTGACCTAAACAAGATGCAGAATTCACAGCCAAAGCCAAAGGGTCCAGGAATTTAAAGGTTTCTAACTTCAGATGGAAGAAAGACAGCCACAAGAATTCTCAAACCAACAACAGGTTTACTGACAGTATAGTCAGACAACTTTCTGATTACTGGCCGCCAAATTAGTTAGATAGCCAGCCAAATTCGCTGACAATAAACGTCATGTGTCATGGCCTCTTAAAAAATACCCTTTGCTTTTCACTGGGGATTTAAAGAAAAACCGTACATTTTGGACGGGGCACTTTTTCATTGCGCTATGCAGCAATTAAATTGAGCATAGCTTGCTGCGCGTGTTTATGACGATTATCTTAGCCAAAATATTTTTTTCATTTGAACAGCTCAGTGCAACAGCTCAGAGTAGAAAACATAAAACTGAGCATGGACTTAGGAACCTCTTCGAGAAAACGAGTGTCAGCCTCGGTTTAAAATAAGATACTTCTTATCAATTTGAAATGAAAAGAGATTTGCCATTTAGTTAACTCAACTTATTTGTTTGGTGAACTAACCTTAATCCAGCGCAACAATTTATTGACCGCATTCATTGCGGTAACTTTGCTGGACAATGGGCTGAACGCAGTGTACAGTTCAAATCCGGATGTTACCTGAAACATGATCAAACATAAATTTGACGCAACGCATCGTGACGCAACGCATCGTGAAGCAACGCATTGTGACGCAACGCATTGTGATACAACGCATTGTGACGCAACGCATTGGAAGCAACGCATTGTGATGCAACGCATTGGAAGCAACGCATTGTGACGCAACGCATTGTGACGCAACGCATTGTGATGCAACGCATTGTGACGCAACGCATTGTGACGCAACGCATTGTGACGCAACGCATTGTGACGCAACGCATTGTGACGCAACGTATTGTGACGCAACGCATTGTTACGCAACGCATTGTGGGGCGACTTATCGTAACGCGTCTAGTGTGATTCGAGATTTACTTACAGTTGAAACTAATCACAAAAACTTTCATTCTTAAGAGAAAACATAATGAAAAAGACCTTCGAATACAGTTAACTGATAATGCGTCATACTTACCCAGCCAATAAGCATTTCTTTGTGGCCAACGTGACACAGCATTTTCAGAGGGCGGAGAGAAGAATGAATTCGTTTATGCAGATACAAGTATTCTTCGAAAAGTCTAGGAAGAAAGATTAAACCAACAACTGGCTATAAAAAATTCATCGAGAGAATAAAGAAGTCAAGCTTAGCAAATGCATATTTGATGAAAAAGTATTCTTGATAGAGTTACAATAATACGCTTTGCTGTGATGCGATCAGTTTCATGGTTAATACACCAAATGCGTCTGATGGAACATTGAGAGATAAACTTTGAGTTGCAATATTGAACCATATGTTTCCATACACCCAAGCAGAGCTGCAAAAAGTATTGGAACCTGGGAACTAAATTCCAAGAAAATTTTTTGGTTTGGCAGAAAATTTTCAGCAAAACGCTATAACAACAGCTGTTTTTTGCAAAAACAAAAATTATTTTTTCACAGCAGATTCATAGAAACGTAAGCTTAATGTCCTCAGACTGTGAGATGTATCAAATAAAGAAGTTTCACATTTTATAAACCTTTACAAAAACTACTACTGATTTGTCAGAAATGAAAAAAATTGTATAACTTTGAAATACCTTCAGAACATTTTCCAGGACCTTTTTTAACCGAAAAGACTGCAAACCTGGAGTAGGCAGCATATTTGTTTTTAAAGTGCTGTTTCCGTTGCCTGTTATTAGGCTCTACCCGCGGATCTTTAAAGATCAAAAGCTATGAAATTTACATGCATCCTAAGTTTTCTTTCTGCTAGCAAAACAGTACTTGACTTGAGTCTTGATTGAGGTCTTGGGGGACTTCGCAAAGTCTTGCCAGTTAATTGCAGTAAATCTATCACCATTTGGTTCACAAATCACTTTTACATTTTTCACATTGTCAGTCTTTGTCAAAGATAAAAAAGATGCAATTAACAACCAAATTACGACATTTTATTGTAAACTTACTCTAGACCTTATTAATTAGAAGCCCTTGTAAAAATTTGTGGGCCCTATTGGTAGAGCAATTGTACACATTACTTTCACCTCACAGAAAAATTGTCCCGTTTCCCAGGTTCCCAGAAAGGAAAATATTTTTTGCACCCAAGTTTGCACAGTTCTGCGTATAAGGGAGCAAGCACTATTCAACCTGCCTGCTTAACAGTAATCTTAATATTCTTAACAGTAATTTCAATCTACATCATTTAAAGTGATTTGAGATATAAGCCAGGAGGAACGCTTACTGACTGTGAAGTTCCATAAAAACACCACAGATCTGCGCATTACTTCTCAACGTGGCTTTATAAGACGCCTTTAAAATCCCTAGCCCCCAATAAGACATATTTACAGTGAATAAGCAAAAGATCTCAATATGAATGTTCCTAGAATAAAACAAGCAGTAGTAATATTCACAGACCTTTCCCGCTCCTCAGTTGTTACATAAGGCGCCCCTATTTCGGGTGATGTAAACTGCGCAGTGCTCCTTGACTTGTACATGAAATGCCAGAGATCAGGAATGCCTGTCTGATCTGCAATAAAGGCAGACTTAAGTTTGTGAAAACAGGGGGAAAACCGTTGAGAAACGCGAGCCAATACATATAAGTAGAATTGATAACAAATAATGACTACTAGCGAGTTTCGGTGACTAATTTTATAACAGTTCTTTATTTATCACTAGATTGTATTCTAGGCGACAGATTTTATAGATCACATAAAAAAGCTATGATGACATAAGACATCATGATCTTGATGACAAATTTGAGAAGGTATATGTCATCGATATGGAAGATCGTCTTTTGGACACAGTTTACAGAGACAAAACAATACCACTACCTCGAAGGCAGTAACATTAGTTCTCACCTATAGTGTAACTTTTCTTCCTGTTTGCTTTTGTAATGGCTTCCAAGCACTTGTGCCGTTCAAGTCGCTGTAAAATATTTAACAATGTCAACACCAGAAAAACACCGAACTGGAACAAGACCGATGTCACTGAATAGGCCGATTTCAAAAAAAATTATGTTCACTTTAATCGCCAAGTGCATCGACGTACCACTTCCATCAGGTGACTGGGCGGGGGGCAAAAACATCAAATCAAAGCCAAATCTCAGTTAGTTCCAAAGAATACCCGAACACAAATGATGAGCAATCGGTCCTAAAATGCACTTGCAATAGATTGAATCATGTTTCCCCATTTGATGCATGACTTTTTCACTAGAATACTCCCGAATCCACTGTCATCAGTCTTTTGTTTCATTTTTCGAACAGTCAATGAGCTTAGAAAAGCAATTTTGAATTGCTCATTTAGAAGAACAGCAAACAAGCATACAGGGATCCAATTATGCATCTAGTAGAATAACCTAATCAAGAGGTATTTTGTTTCGTTTGCTTGTATTAACAGCGCAGTCTTAGCTGTGAACATGAAATCTATCAGGTTACTTTAAAAGTCGTAAGATACGATGAGTCCGTATTCAACTCTCCACAGTATAAGATGATTCTAGTATCAGATGGACATATCAGGTCATTATTTCTATTTGTTGCTGCCTAAAATTTTCTTGATTCCAAGTAACTGCATTATCAACGAACACAAACCTCTTTAATCTTTTCCTTGCACTCTGATAATTCGAAAAACGAGTTTCTGTCAATTGACAACAGCAACAGACAGGCAGGGCAATTGTCATCGAAGTAAGAAACATAAGCATGAAGATATCCGGTGTTATCGAACTTGGGCAGACAGATTGGAGTCCACGACTCTGCAGTCCGAAAGGCTGTTGATGCACTTACAAGGTTGAATATCAAATGGAGATCTACAAAGAAGATATAAAATGGATTATAATAAAATCCTGTAAAACCCTTAGACCCGAGTGAAATTTTAAGACCCGACGCAAGTATGTCTGGTAAATAATAATGGGAAATATATTAAATACAATTGGTTACTGGCTTTGAAAAAAGCAAACATTTTACGACATACTAAAAGCTTTTTCGTCTGACACTCCTCAGAGCATAAAACGTCAGAATAAGGTTCCGAAAGAACACGATGGAAAATATATACCCAGTTGTGGATCGAAATAGGCCAATCAGAAAAACGCAAGCACAAGACCGGTATAGTTGACCAATCAGTGCCGCGAGCCTAAAGAAAAATTACCAATGGAGTCGAAGAGAGAAAACGAACTCCTTCTGTCTACACAATGGCGGCTTTTTCGTTTTTTTGGAACCTTATTCTGACGTTTTATGTTCTGAGGAGTGTCAGACGAAAAAGCTTTTAGTATGTCGTAAAATGTTTGCTTTTTTCAAAGCCATTTTCAAATTCTGTACCGCAAAAAAATTGTTCACAATTGGTTACCCAAAGATTAGGACGCATTACCCAAAGATTGGAGAATAGTTTTCTCAAATGTTTGCTTTTTTCAAAGCCATTTTACAATTGGTTAATTTTTCTCAACGTGCTTTCATATTCACCATTAAAGACTAGAAATCAGTAGAAAATGTTGTCCAAACATTTTAGGCTAGAGTTAAACAAAATAGAGAAGCTTGTGCTTGGATACTGACCTGAGGGGTGCAAGATGAATTTCTTCGGTCTGACCATAGTCACTAGTTGGTTATGGGCCACAACTATAGCAAATATCAGGTCCTGAACACATAAATAGAAATGCAATACATCAAATAGACAAAACAGGCGAAGAGCAAAAAATTTGAGAGCGCAAATTTGCTTTTTAGGAAATAGAAAGCTGTATTTTAGGAAGCTGTATTATTGACCGCTAGATAGGATTTATATCCAGTGGTAGTGGTATCAAACCTCTTCACGAGCATAACCAGATCGACAGGTTTGGTTGTTATGTCAAGGATTCTTTATTTTGGACGTAAAAGGGAATATTTAAAGAACTGCAAGTTTAGATATTTTACACAAAGGAATGCATATTTTGAATGAATCATTAGCACAGGCCGTTAAATTGTAGAAGATTTTATGAATTTGCTACCCGTGGTTTTCAGAAAATTGCGAGAAATCCTCACAGGTTCCCACCCTCATAGCCATACTTAGGCTTCACCTCTTTTTTATCCCATATAAAAGTTTGCAAGAACGACGTACTAGCTGACGAACTACTTTGCAACACTACGAAGACGATACCAGGAGAAGCAAAATATCATGTCTACTCTCTGGCTCTTAACATGGATCTAAAACACAACTACAAAATGATTTATACTTATCTAGCACAAAAATGATTTTACAAAATGAAAAAAAATGCTTTTATCGAGAAAGAAGAATTACAAGTTTTTGTTTCTTATTCAAAACGTGTGATTTCATCTTCTGTCACCCTAATCAATGGCTTTATGCGTTGCCACGAATTACGTCCGAAAACTTTTGTCCGCGAATGCAACGTTGCATAGAAATGCATCAAGGGCAAATATGGATAGTGAAGGCACGTTGAGACTAGCTCAACCTGAATGCACAAGATTTTGGTTGAGGCTTTTGTATGGCAGGAGATTTAGTATATGAACTATGAGAAAACAATTAGCAAACTCATCTTTGTAGGTCTATGCGCAAAAATACCTGATTGTGTACAAGTTGGTTGGGCCAGATTACAAAATCTGTATCATAGTGAACCAGGATTAAGTGCTTATCTCACAATTGTATTTAATAACAGAAACCAAATAAAGAAGAAAAGACCTTGGCTCTCGCTTGCTGCAATGTTTGTCCTATGATATCTCGCACTGAACCGGGTAAAGATAAACATCGAACCTGCAAAGTAAAAAAAGTCTCTATGAAAACGTCGTACAATGTCTTGCATTTGAAGGTACATAAAAACAATAATCTATACACGGCCACCGAGAGGGGGGACAGGAATTGTAATAATGGAGTAAATCAAACGTAACAAAAATATGCCCAAAAAATAGCAAAGCGATTGCAAGCAAATGGCTACATGAAACATCCTGAAATGTATTTTAAGCCAATCTAACGGCGTGGTGGTCGCGAAAATTGTCTGTCGCTTCGCTTAAAGGGTTCTCGCATTCCAGTTTTACTCAAGGGCCTGCGAAACCTTTCAACGGCCCTGCATCTATACAAATATGTCTGGGTTACAAGAGCTTTACCCAAATCAAAGAAAAAAGTGACATAGTGAAAAGCAGACTAAATAAGCTATAGATGAAAGACGATTTCAAAATATTTATAACAATCAGAATTAGAATGCTGCTGGATTTCGCTCATTTTAACGAACCTAGTTATTTGAAAGTCTCTATTCCTTTTCTTAATATTAAGAAGTTGCTTCCTGTAATAGCTCCTGTCCTTGCTTGAATAATTCGTACATTTTTCTTCATATCAATTAAGTAATCTTACACTGTCAGAAAAAACCTTAGAACAATTTGAAATTATCTTGGTTATAGATGGGAAAAAAAGAGCAAAACACTCACCGCTCCAAGAAGAAAGCTCGGGTCTGTGCTCATCAGATTCATCAAATTGTCAATGAACTTTTCTGTTCCTTTTTTGAAAAAAATCGAGAAATTACAAGAGGAATCAATTAATAATTAGTGATGCAGAAAAATTCGCTATTGTGATGACACTCATATCCAGACAGAATCCATTATTGCAAAACGTTTTGTGTTCAGACAAAACGACCGTTTTTGTCATAAATTTGTTATTATAGAAAAAAGTGCGAAATATACCTGCCAGTAATTTCCGTAAATCGTAATTTCGTCTCTGTTCAAAAACCCTGCACAGCTGACTGTGTGTTAAGACACTGAGAATTTGGTGGTAGACGTAATTCAGTTGAACGAGAAGCTACAAGAATAGAAATAATTACACGCTTAATGTAACGATAACCTGCCGATCTAAACAACAAACCAATCTTAGAATACCTTAATTGACATACCCATTTGCTGTAGCTTTACGAAAACCATGACGTCATACGATTTGCAATTTTGCAAGCAGAGGCTGGCGACTGGACTGAGTCTCGATTGAAATTCTGATACTTCACAGGAATTAAAACATAATCATCTTCGTTTACCAATTGTAATATTTTATTGAGCCGTACTGTTTATGAAATTTTCAATCAACAACTTATTAAAAGCGGGAAAATTTTATAAAAAATGTTATTTCATAGCGATATAATATACTAAGCAGCTCGGGCAGTGTGGAAGGCCTTCTTCAGACAAATAATCGAATAGATTTTCGAAACCGCCACTCGACACTAGAAACGAGCAAAAAAACTTGCTGCAGGAGCAAAAAATTTAGGTTTAATGAACTTTTTTTTAAACAATCTAGGCCTATGTATCCCCACAAGGTGGTAAAAAGTTAAAAACACTTAAACTTTCGTATCATAACCATAAAACCATTAGATTTTTACAATTTTCTTGTATGTTACAGCAAAATGTGTAAAAGAGTTGTATGGCCAAAATTTCTAAAAAGTCTTTGAAAATTAATTGCAAAAAAAAATTGTTTAACGTTGCCCCAATACTTTTTGAACGGAAGTGTATAAATATATCGAATTGTACAATTTTCTTGGTTATTAAGCAGGGAGTTATCTAGCGCATACGACGTGAAGCACCATTACATTGTTTGATTTTAATCATATTTTTGAAAATTATAAATTCAAAATTAAAATCTCATTTGAATACGTAGAAGACTGGAATTTATTACCCCACGGTGACAGTAACAATACAAACCTGTGATGGCGAATCGTTGCCATAGCAAACAGCCACTAGTATTAGCGGGCCACGAACAACGAAAACGAACTTGTGCTTTCCAGCGCAAATAACCCTGGGAGATAAAACACTCTTTTCAGTCAATGCTACAAATGGCTCGATGCAAGATGAAAATGGTAAAATATAGTAGAACTGCGTAGTATTTACCAAGGGCAAACAAAGTACTCGGCAGAGATGAATAAATGATTAGTTCTTTGAAAGGTCTATATCATAGCACTTAGAAGATAGCATATATTCAGCCAAGTAAAACACAAAAAATATCATTAGGCCTAAAATAAAAATGGTCCAGTAATCTGTTCTCGTGGCATTTTCATACCTACAGATGCTTTACTTAGGATGTTTATATTCAATCATAAACGTAGTGAGTGTATCATACCGAATATTGTCATCATTATCCTGTACAAACGAAACAATGGCTTGCATCACCCCCATCATTGTTACGAGCTTCTCTTCATTTCCATACCTAGAAACGAACAATTTAACAGAGACTGTAATTTAACAGAAGGCAGTTTTCTCAGATAAACAGCAAAAACTCAACAAAAAATGTTTGTTTCCAACTACTTTGCTTCGATGCAAAACAAATGTAATCCATTTGAAGCAAAAATTTGCTTTACTATGAACGTTCTCATTTGCCACTAATTTTTGTGTTTACAATTAGCACAAAAAATCATTAAAATAACCCATCTTTCAAAAAAGCTAAATTCCTATACGTTCCCCTCAGCAATATACCAGAGATTTTTCAAGCAAATGCAGTGGCATTTAGCATTACCTTACATTACATTATATCACATTACATAGTACAAAGTGAGCTAGAGAAAAAGAGAAAGCAGGATACAGAGATATTGTAATAGGATATAGAAGTGCACAAATTGATTTTTGTGACATACACAAGTTAGTCATGGACTGAAGTGAAGAAAGAGACGATGAAAAGTATTTAAACACAATACATGGAACGTCATTACCAGGGATGACGTCAAAGGGGGGTATGGGGTACTGTACGCCCCCCCCCAACTGTAGCGTATTACCATTTCTGTAGCAGCTGCATTTTCAAAGTATGGCACTAAATTATGAATAGTGAAATAGAAACGCATTTAAGCAGCATATCAGATTATTTATCTAAGATGACTTATGACCACACTCTTAAAGTGTGAGAAACGCACAAAAATTTTTTTTGGCTTCACGCCTGGTCATTAGACTTAAATGTGCTTGAGATATGTCCCAACACTTGAAATACCTTGTGTAGATAGGTTTTCCTGCCTCACTCAGAATGAAAACATGTTTCTTATGGAGTACCCAGCCAGGTTCGCTTGCATCTAAAAAACAAGGGCTAACAACTTAAAAATATTTTAATGAATCACAGTCTTTTATGTTGTTGATGACTTTGTAATCTAAAACTTCACAAAGGGGGGAATCATTTTGATAATTTAAGTATTATCAAATGGTTCAGAAAATGTAAAAATACTATCCAAATACAAATATAACTAATTTAATACTCAAATGCTACTTCTCATCTGTCTTCAGCATGTTAGAATTTGAACAAAGAACCATGCTACAGACTTATGTGTAAAGGATTGAATGTAATGAAGGCAAATTTTCACCAGAATATGAATGGTGTATAAACATGAAAGTTCAACATAGAAGAGTTTTATGAACAACTTTTAACAGTATTACTATGGTGTGCTAATCTAAAAGTAAACTCACACCTTCTGAGGTTGAATCTCTTTCAGCTTCCAAAACTGTTTCTGCCCTTTGCTTTCTCACTTCTAAAAATTAAACAAATTCAATTTAACATGCAATGCAAGTTCTATTACTGTCAGCTATGAGATTCCTAGCGACAAAATGACAGTCAACACTATAGCAAAAATCTAAAATTCTGGCTAAAACAGCACATTCAGACTTAATCTAATCCTACTTCTACATGTTATGAACAAATGTTTATGAAAATTAAATATTAATGAAAGAAAATTTCAAAAGATTACACATTCTTACACTGCACATTTTCATAAGAAAAACCCAGATCTGAGAACAGGACTGATGATATGTTTACAAAACCCTTTGAGTAGCATTTAACAATGGAACACAAAGCAATTGACCCACTTATAATAATAAAACAGCACTGAATACTCTCTTTCCATTTCTGGACAATGGATAGTGGTTGAAGATATTCAAATTCTCACCATCTATGTCTACTTCTGTGGAGCCTGTTCGATGGTCTTTTGTTGGACTGCTGCTAACAGGAAGCTCAAACACATCTTCTCTTTCTTCTGGTTCATTTGCAGACACTGGATGAAAAAATCATATAATTATTCAATAAGTATCCAATTAACAATTTCTTGCAATAATAAGAGTAAAAATGTGATAATGGTAGTCTTAAACATGAGATAGAGGCATTTTAATTTTGAGAAAATTATAACAGACTGACAATATATAATAAGATAACATTGGTTCATTAGAAATTTTGAGGAAACACAAGTCAACTAAAAGACAACAACATCTTCAAACATAGCTGTCAAGTTTATGTTCCCAGACTTGTGAGATTGATTGTTTCAAATAACTTTATTTGTTTCTATTGTATTTTATATTGTTTCCACCTTCTAGAATGCATGAGATTCACAAATTGTGCAAATATGTGAAGTGTACCTCAGAAAAGTTAGAAATTGACACATACCTGATTACAATGGTATTGGCGGCATTTAGTCAAACATTATTTTATCAATGTGCCAATGTAAAGCTGGCAAAGAATGGCATAATGTCTAAATGTTAGTGCCAAAAATGCAACGACAGTCATTTAAGCCATTAATAGGCCTTTGCCTGATGATCATGGAAACATGTTGTTTTATCCTATTGAGTTAGAGCTGCCTAGTGTATCCTAATAACTGTTACATTTGCACTTTAATAAAAGTTACAAGATTTCACTAAATGTCACAATTACCACTGTATTCAGGTGTTAAGTTTCCATCTCAAAAAAATTAATGGGAAACACATTAGGAACATTGGTTTTCCATTTGAGAATGATTAGCTGAAGTAAGAAAAACATATCAATTAATATGTTAATTACCATCATTGTCATAAGAATCCGAGGTGGATTTCCTTCTAACTAAAAATTCTTCATCAATATTTTTCAAACTGATGTCATTGCTGAGGTCTTCAAAAGACTCCGCTGCAAAAAGGGTAGTGTCCAGTTTCCTAAAATCAAAATACATATAAACATAATATAATGATTGAAAGACCATAAATGAAATGCTTTTGAGAGAATATAAAAAATGATAAATAATCTACTGAGTGAGCATATGCATTTTGTAACTTTTGTAAATACTACTGAGTGAGCTTAGGGTAAAATGTCCATTTGATAGACTTGCACTAGCTGTGAAAGTGCCTCTATATAACTAGGCTCTCAGCAAAAACATGTCCTAAATTCCAGTTAGGTTAAAGCCAAATTGGAAACTGTGGGATCTTCAATATGTATAGACCAAGCTTCATCTATTGGGTCATGACTAAAATCAACAAAACTTTTTTGAAATGTAAGTGTTGATGATTACAATTGTGGATTTCAATTATTAGTCTTGCATGTAACTTTGAGTGAGTGTGCAAGTTTCCAAACTTTCCCAAATACCAGACTGGAAATTTGGCACACCTGGACTGCTTTCCCATATTTAACAAGCACACTTTATGTTTGAGGCTAATATCAGTTTGAATAGTTGAGCATGAGCTGCTTACATAGTTGCTAATGATCAATTTTTTAATCAAAAATAAAACTAAAAACTTTCAGTAAAAGATGTTTGTGGCCAAGACTTTTGTCAAGAAATTATCAAACAAAACAATTTGCAGGATGTTTGGGACTCATATGTTAGACCTTATCGAGCAATCGACATAACTTGATGCTTCCCGCCTGCAATATTTTACACAATTACCCTGCTCCTGGCTCCTCTCCTTGTTCCACATCTTCAACTTCCTCGCTTACATCAATCTCCCTCTTTGCTGCTTCTTCTGCCATCGTCCGCCATTTGTACACAGTCCAAAATGAATCTCGTTCTCATATCTGGGAAGGAGGTTTTCACTGCATAGCACCCCGGCGCTCCGGCATAAAGTTCAGCTTTCCCTCCCAGTTTTTCAATTTTTCTGGGCATTGATGCATTTCACTTTGATTGCGACCAAATGCATTGAAAACACAGACGTTGAAACCGTGGAGCATAGGGGACCCCGACTTTTCAGAAACAGAGTAAATGTATCTTTTCAAGCTTACGGAGATACCCCTTTTTTGCTTGTATATACTAGCCTGCGTCACAGTGATGGTCTGTAACGCAGGCTAGTATATACCCCCATTTCAAAATGCTCCCTACGAATGAAAAACAATGGAAAGATAGTTCGAATAAAGTTTATGGGGGTGGGGGGGCTACTGTGATATGTAGCTAGCTGAAATTTATGCCCAACATTTTTGGTTATCAATGTTCCCCCAAGGTTGCCGTGTCTCACGGTTTGGCCGTGAGACTCACAGATATTCACCTCTTCTCACAGTCTCGAGACGGGAGTTACTTTTTTCGCGGATTTCTTCCTGGGCCTCATTCTTCTTTCAATTCAAATCAAAGGCCTCAGTGGTTGCTGAACCCATTCCATTCCACTGCATTGTTTATGACAATCACTTGCCCAGACCTGCTGCGCGAATGATTGTCAAACGCGTTAATGTATCAGTATTATACATTATTATTGTTCATTGCTTCGATTGCATATTCTTACGTTTAAAAGCCTCTGTGTTTTTCTGGAATGTTTTAAACGTTAAATAAACAAATGTTTAGGCATTCTGAATGGTCTAGTTTTAAGCCATTTGAGCACTCCAGATTTACTGAAATTCAGAATTCTTCTGCCTCCAACCCTGGACCCCAGTTCCATATTGTTCACTAGCTGCGCTCATCAAATCTCACATGTATTATTTTCCACAACTTGGCAACTTTGTTCCCCTACCAACCACTGTGTCTAGACGAAGAGCACTAGTCGAGGGCGATAAAGCTGTACCCAGACTAATAAAGCCATTCATCTTAAAAGTAAAATCGATGTTCAATTAACAGGGTTCCCTATATCAACAAGTCGGAAAACTCGAATTAATTTCTCCTGTCCATGTTGTAAATATTCTGCTTATTTGTTCGTGCAATCGAATCACAGTTAACATTCTTTTCAAACTATCAGAAAATAAAGGAATTAAGATAGAGAATGAAAATTACTTTTTGCCGGTCGGTCATAAAGTGCTCGATACCGTATAGGCAGAACTGTACACGCTTGGTGTATAGAACAGAACAGTTCTTAGTTGCTACCCAGATTTTAAAATTTATCCAAGTTGCGAAAAAAAAGATAGTTGATTTAGCTAAACTTCTGAAACTAGAAAAATATCCCATATTTTAGCGGTAAAGTTCATAGAAATGCTATCGTCCATCATTGACAAATTACATGAACATAAATTTCCTAAGTGAAAAATAGACCGCCCTCGTCAATTAAACTGCAGCAAAAAAAATTCCCTGGCAGAGCAAGACGTAAACAGGAGACGTTTATTTCAGTGACAATTCATATAACAATTCAACAATCTTTAAGATATTTACAACAATATCAAAAAATATAAATTCTAGGCCTACGTAAATTTAGTACGACCATAAAACGATGCCCATTACAAGCTCATGTAATTTGTACATTTTGATCAAAATTTAAACACAGAACGTTACTGAGAATTAATTTTTACAGCTAATCCAAAATATAAAACGGAAACGTTGCTAAGAATATTATGATTAAATAATTATTGGGCTTTTGTCTGCAAAATGAAAAAGCAACCCCTGAACCAATTTTAGACAACTACACCCAAACTCAGTGGGCATCTGACTCTAATATGGGCTCAAAACGGTGTATGCTGAAGTATGGTTTTGCGAAATGTATACCCAAATGGATAAGACTACCAATACAAAATCTTGGAATATTATTCAAAGCTATGTACAAATGCATAAATGTTTGTAAAAGTTCTTTGATCCAACGACTTTCTCTATAATTCTTCATTGCTTGTTTCTTGAGCAGCGTCCTACGCTTGCCAAAGCGTGGTATCTTCGCCATCAAAGGTATTTCCAACTCCTTTAAAGGTATTTCCAAGTAATGAACCTACTCCAGTTGTAGGGTTCACCGTCTAAGAGTTCTATAAACACGGCTAGCGGGCAGTGGACACTTTTGCCATGATAATACTACATGAGACATTCAAATTTTTCGACGACTATTAACAACGAAATATAACAGGCTATATCATGTATCACTAAAACCATTACAATAGTCGAACATGTTATTTTATACACGGACAGATTGACCGTTGGCAATTTTCCTTTCAGATAGAATAATGTAAACCTGATTCAAACAAGTTTGTTTTTCTCCTTTAACAAATGGATTGGCTTTGACAAAGCAGAGTGGTGGGAGACTGGTTATGACATGTCGGACTATAGTCGTTAGAAAGAAAACCTTAAAGATAGAACAAAATATCCATGAGAAAGAGCTAAAGTCAAAGAATGAAGTAGAAGGCCTGTAAATGGAGAGTTAGGCAGAATTTAATCATGCGATAGCATGTATTTATGTAAGGCATCCAGTTCCATTCATTGATTGTGTGATTTACTTAGGCCTGGGGCCTGCATGCATTTCTACTTATAATCTGCAATCAAAGAGCGGACAGCTCCTGCTATCTGAGTAATGATCTGACGTAATCCATGACCAAAATCCCAGAAGGCGTTGCGGTTGTAGCAATCTCCAGTATCCTCGTCTGTATTTGCCTAGCGTCCCGGCCATGTGCGATTTCAAAAAGAACAAACTAAAAAAGAAAACATACTGCCTAAGAGGAACATTCCAACAGCCATGCATAGTGTTTACATCAGTTCAACGGAAAAGAAACGATGAAAAGAACGAATAACAAAGAGGAAGGCGTTCCAAAAGAAGCTTTTTAACTGAGTCATAAAAGGAGTGGATTCAATATACGTATTAACATAAATACTGAAATGAAAGGAGTGTCGTGTATAAACCAGTAAAACCACATGGATAAGATCATTTGAACCTGGTAAACTGGCAACGAAATTCCCTTACAATTTGACAAGCAAACTTTAAAACATCTTTTACGACTTATGTTTACAATTCAAGTATTGATACGCATTTTGCCAATAGAGATATAAATTCAAACACAATAAAAATATCAAAATGTCAAATAGAATGAATAGTAAAAAAATAAGCATCAAAATAGCGATTTAGCCGGGGTGAAAATGATTTGCTATTTTCGATTTCTACATTTTGCTTGCAGTCTTCAGTGTGAAGAAACGTTCAAATCTTATCTGATAAAACTGACATCTTTCCAAAGGGTTGCAGAGAAAGGCAGCATTTTAGTTGCTTCTTCATATAACCAACGGGCCTAAAAACAATTTTAACTATTTTACAGGGCGTACCAACACGAAATGCGAATAATACAGAAATTTAACGAATATAGACATCAATGTGAGGCAAATTTAAAAAGGAATCTACATATCCATAAAACATACCACCTTGATCTGATCCAAGAGCGTATTGAAAAGGGCACGTTAGGACCATTCTGCTTCGACATGTTTACTACTCGTTCCCATGGCAATTCACAGAGTTTTAATAGAGCATGGAGACACACAAGAAATCATAGTTTTAACTGCATTCAAACACAAAATATTGTATGTAGGTTCAAGATCATAAATCAAGATCAGAACTCGAATTTAAAAAACTGTAATTGCAATCAACTTACTACGACGTATTTCGAATTAAAAGCAGGGGCGGCGTGGGGTGGTATTAAAGGTATTAGTCTAATACCATTTTATTTTCAAAGGAAGGCGACTTTGGGTCTCTGAGATTGCAGGAAATTTATTTTGCTTTTTGTACGCTGCCACTTTTTCACAACAATTTTATCGATGCGACCAGCTCTATTCATATAGCCAAGCAATATTCGCTTTTCTGTTCGTTGAATGAAAGCTTTCCTAATCCTCATTGAAATCTTTGAAAAGTGTAATCCATGCCGTAATCAGCAGCCGTGGCCATGGTATTAGCCTCCAAAAACTAATACACTGCCCCGAAATTTCTTTTGTCTGTTGTGGTCTGCATGACGTGAATTTCTCTTGTTGAGCCATGGTCGAAGAATGGGTGAACAGCAGTAAGGTATTAGTTTTTCATTTCTAATACTACGAGGGCCACTGTCAGTGGAAGGGACGGTGGAAAGAGCCCCAGCTCTATTCTAAGGCCTCAGCTTATAGAAAAAATATTTCTGGAAATTAACTTTATGAATTTACAAAATGTAGCTGTACTTTGCTAGCAATGCCTTTGGATGGATAATTTGATTGACAAAATTTAGACACTGAATATAAAGAGCAACAGTCATGAAATAATTTGTTTAAGCTAAAGGCAGTTGTAAAAGTTGTTTTGTATGAACTGTATGTTTTGTAAAACTTCGATTCTATATGATTGTAGAGTCATAGGCAACATTCTCACATTATTTCTCTCGGTTTCTCAAATCAAATGATACATCTTACGTTTTTTTGCTGCATTACTCTAAAGTAAATCGCTCGCTTTATCGTAATAGAATCTCATTCGCGGGCCAAAAGCCTCATGGTATTAGAATTAATGGGCTAATACCTTGGGGCTCCATTACTGGGCAGCAAACCGCTGTATCAAAACACGATTTCGCTCGAGAAACTTGCCGCAGCCATAATTCATTTGTATTTCGTAGGACCGATCCTTCACCCAAAACTAGTAGGATGAGCTACATTACCACAGGTTCATCAGTGTCTGGGGGGAGACAACGGGGGCCAGTGCCTTCAAATAATTTTGTAAGATATGGTATTGCCAAAAGCTATTTTAAACCATCATATCGAAAAGGTCATTTTGCCCACCTTCTTAAATAAGAACATATAAGCTCCACCCCTGTTAAATAGTTTCAGGACCTTGCAGGGGGACCTTCTTATGTCTTAATTTCGGAGGCTAATACCAATACTTTTCTACTCCCAGCCGCCCCTGATTAAAAGGCAAATAAAATTAAGGTATTTTACCCCCTTTAGCAGGGACAGAGAAGGAATTGATGGATATGGAATCGTACAGCTCACTTTTCTCGACCAAAGCATATATTATTCTTCACACCAAATTGTTTGAGAAAATAAAGATCATTGAAGAAAATACTGATTGACAAGAACAGCATCTCAAAAGATGCAAATGAAAAATAAAGTATTTCAAAGAAAGGACGGGATACATGTTCTCTCTGCAACCTCACCTCTTTAATCTTCTTGCTCTTTAATTCAACTGATAATGCCCTTATGAGGAATAAAAACTCAAGTCTAACAAAAAAATTAGGGCAAGCTTTCTCAATTCTTTCATATCACCAACATTAAATTTACGAATGAAATCCGTTGGTTGGAGTTGTCTTAACAAAATTGCAAGGTAATGTCTTGTTAGCAAGTTTGAGTTAACTTAAAAAACATTTTTTGTGATGACCATGATAACTGATAAAAATGACGATAATGATAAGGGAATATGACGTTGATGGTTGGTGATTGATGATTGGCGATGACGTTGACGATTGATGATTGGCGATGACGTTGACGATTGGTGATTGATGATTGGCGATGACGTTGACAATTGGTGATTGATGATTGGCGATGACGTTGACGATTGGTGATTGATGATGATGTCGATGGTTGGTGATTGATGATTGGCGATGACGTTGATGATTGGTGATTGATGATTGGCGATGACGTTGATGATTGGTGATTGATGATTGGCGATGACGTTGACGATTGGTGATTGATGATGATGTCGATGGTTGGTGATTGATGATTGCTATGACGTTGACAGTTGGTGATTGATGATTGGCGATGACCCCAACGGTTGGTTATTGATGATTGGCGGTGATGTCGGCGGTTGGTGATTGGTGATGATGATTATGATGACTTGTAAAGGCTTGCAAGATGCAAGGAAAGGTAGAAAATAATGGCCTGTCGATTGAAAGCCGAACTGTGAAAATGCCAAGCTGATACCATCAGATACATTCTGGATGGCAATGACAACAGTAGGAGTTAACATGTAGAAAACTTACATCTTCCACATTGAATATGAATGAGGACAGGATTTGAGAATGAATCCATACACAGTTCGCGCCAATTCGCTGCTCCCACTTGCAAGGGCACATTGACACGTCCTGGTGATGACATAATTGGCAAAAGATAATTCTCAACAAGTAGAGCTATTTTTTGTTAGAATGTATGGGACAAAAATACGAAAGTCAATAAAAAACGAAATAAGGGGCTAGCAGATACATTGAAGGCACTATATCCAGACGCATTTTGCTGGCTATTTGAATTTCCCATTGGTTGGACTACACAATAGACCTATTATAACGTATCCAATCAGCACGTAAGGCTAATTCTCAGTGTTTTCTTGATCATAATTGCGCTGCGAAGCCTATCGTTAACTCTGAACGGTTAACGGACGGGACACAGCGCCTTTACAAAAATTGCATACAAAACGTCAAAGAACAACAAATTAAATCTCAAATTCACCGCAAAGCCAATTTCGCATTTGTTGGCATCATCTTCAAATCTTCCTTTAAGTATTTAATTTCATCTGGTTCCCGAATGTACTGCAGGCAAATTGCAATAACCTGAAAATTGAAAACAATTGGAAAAGAACGCGAATAGTATCGGGTAAGTATATTTTAATTCAGACCTCTACTTTGTGGAAACAGACTGTCAAAGATGTACCTTTAGCTGCAAGTCCATCTGAAGACGTGAAGAATAGAAACAAACGATTTCTCCTTAGGTAGTTCAGTTTTTTTACAGCACCTAAGATATCATCCTTCTAAATCATTTCTACTTGAGAAATCTTTGTTTTTCTCTAAAAAAAACCTACCAAGATACAATATATCTTCCAATTATTATTATAGCGTCTAAAAAAGTTGCTGCCTGACAAAACAAAAGCAGAAACCGAACTCACCTTGTTATGAAAAGTATAATCATTCCAAAACAGGTTGTGATGGTATGGGATACTCTTAGATGATGGGATGCAAGCGAGGCACTGTCTGCCCGAATCTAAGAGCGACTTGATTGCAACGTCGTTCAGGGAAGATCCAGTAAATGCTCTTTGCTTGAAATGAAGATATTCCAGCCACAAGATTTCACGATTTTCTCTTGTTGTATAAGAATTGACAGCAATCTCAAAAGCTTCCTCTGCTCCAGAGGTGTACAACGGGGAATCGGCTCCAGTTTTGGTCAATTCCAATAGCAAACTTAAGAAAATGGAAACCAATTATTACTTTCATTTACGTTGTACCCTTATATCTGTAAAGACATATGAAAGCACAAACTGTTATTTTCTAACTGCTTAAAAAAGAGCGAGACGGACGAGTAGATAAAAATATCATAAATGGTCTCGGGATGACTTTCCAATAACAGAGACTACATACCAGAAGTTCAACCAAAGATAGGCATATTCCCTGCTTTCTTTAGCTATCTTTTTATCCTTTATAACCGCCTTTGAGTTGGTCACAAGTTCGTTCGAAATTCCTAGCAGTCGACGGTACAAGCGGATTGATTCTGAAACAGAAATGCTCTCGATCTTCTGTTCTTTGCCTCGAGAATCAAGTTCAAATTTCTGTTCTATCGCATCTGTTAAAAGTTGAACAGCTATTTGCTCTGTTCCCTGTTAAAGATAGAAAACAGCATCAGAACAAATTAAAGAACCAAGCACGAGTTAAATTGCGGCTTCATTGGCCACAACAGAACACAAAATCATGAAACAACGCAGGATCTGAAGCGCGTAGATTTGAGAAACGATGAGACTAAAAGCTCATATAAGATTCAAAATTGTCCAAGCTAATCCTATATTCAAATCAACACTATCGTCTAGGCTAGGGTTGATCAAAATATACATTACTGATGATACCTTTGCAAGTGATATAGGGAATGTGACGTAAGTGTGGCTAATGTCAATGGGAATAATGCAAGGGAAAACCAAATGAAGATAGATACAAATCCAATGAATGGAGAAGTGATAAAAAACTTGCTAGATTAAAAAAACAGACCAAAGCTGATATCACGTGATAACAAAACTAGTGGAACCTTAGCCAATAGAAATGTGGCATAATTGTGAATGCACTCTTCGCTGCGAAGGAGCACAAGGTTGGTTATCTCGGCAACAACGCCTTGCTGTAGGACTGCCGAGTTCCTCCTCAGTGTTTCCAGCAACATCAATGAAAATGAAGGCCGGTGTGCGAAGCGTTTGGAAAGCTGGTTAGCAATGTCGACAGCATTTTGCTGTTGCCCCGAGGTGATTTCCAGCTGGATGCTGTTCGCATACAATTGCATAATGTTTTGATCCTGGCACTCCTTGAATTCAGGATGCTCTTCCAATGCTTTTGATGCATCTAAAACACAAAGCAAAGCCTGAACAATTAGTATTTTCTTAGTTACATCAAATCAATACAAAAACAGCAAAGGCTTATTTAACACTGGCACCAGAGGCTTATTTGTTTAAATCTACATTTGTTTAAAGCCTTTGATCTCATACAGCCTGGTTAAAAGTTGAATTTTCGTAACACACATGTTTCAATTTTAAACAACACATTTTACTGAAAAACTGCAAACGAAACGAAAGACAACTTATTTTCAAAAAAATATTTTCTTAAAGACAGTTGACATATCATCAGGGGTAAAGCTTACAAACAATCAAATTGCTTTCTTTATCTTTGACGACATAAATGTCCACTTCTTTAATCCCCCTCCCCTCACGTTGCCACTAGTAAAATTAAGCCAGAAATCTACTTCGCGCACCTTTGAACAGACTTCGAAGAAGTGTATCATTTCTAACATTGCCTGGCTTCCAGTCGAAAAGTCCCACAGCCTTGCTCACTATCCTTGACGGTCCGCAGTCAGAAGGGTCAAACAGTGCTTGCGGAAGCTTGCTGAAAGCTACCAGAGAAATATGACAAAGCCACAAAAGGACGAGGTCGGATGGGGAGAGATCTCTAGATATCTTGGGTACATTGATTGGTAGATCCTGTGAGCCATTTGCCAAGCCCAAGGCTGATTGTATCACAGTGAGGGCTGATTGCTTTTCATGCCTCTCTGTTTCTAATTTAAGGATGTATAATACTGTCTCCAACAGATGATGGGATCGCACTTCAAACGCATCTCCATTGTCAGCGATTTCCAACAAGAAACCAAGGATATCAAGACAAATCTCGATTTTATCATCATAGCTCTTCTCCAGCTGTAAACACTTCCACCATACTGCATACGAGCGGCAATAGTCCACTGCTTGAACGAACATCTCCCTTAGCTCAACAACGTTATTTCGCTTGGAGAATATATCCAGGTATATCATCCATAGATCCTGGAAAAAACCAAGCAATTAAAAATCAAATAATTCTGAAACAAGTAACTGGAAAACGTTTATGGCAGCCGAAGACGTTTAATAGGTTCTTTCACTGGGTGACTGCCTAATTAAAAATCATAGCTTTTTATAAATCAATGTTTTTACCAAAAAACGTATGGTAAAGAAGCAAACATCAAAGGGAATTATGAAAAGCTGTTAAAGGCAACAAAGGCAGAATTGCTGAAAGGCCGTCCCAGAAATGGCCAACTTTCAACCAGAGTGAGGAGAGACACCAGCTCTCTGTAATTCCAGGCATAGGAATCACGAGGTGTGGTCACATTGAAAGGAAGTTCCAGGACAGGCCTGGCTAAGCATACCTTCTCAGTGTCCTAAAACTACCTTTTGATGCTAGGTAGCAACAAATACAAAAACTATTACAGACCACGCAACAGACTACTAAATTTTTTAGAAAAGTTTCCCTGTAGAAATTGTAATTCTTCACAATATCAGAAAGCAATATCAGAAACAAGCACACATAAATACTATAAATCACAGGTCATATAAACAAAACGCTCACGGAAATGAACGAAAAGCCGTGCCTACCTCACAGTAAGGATTTGCTTCCAAGGCCTTTGATAAAATATTCAATGCGTGGTTTTCATTCTCTACTGTCTGTCCTTGCTCAGATAAGGTCATGTACTTTTTAGATGTTCTGTGCTTTGCAAGTAAAATCCATGACTTAACATCAGACGGATTCGAATTTACTAAAGCCTCCAGCGTTCGCCGAATATCGTAATCTTCTTCGAAATATCGCAACTCTTGGCTAAACGAGAGACGATCGTGATTTACTAGCAAGATAAAATAATTGCTTGCACACCTTTAAGGCAATCTGTCACGACGTTGATTGGTTATAAGAAAATAGGGATTTTTATTGTTTCCAGTCCCCCTTTAATTTATCGTATTGTAAAAAAAAGGCGGAGCGCTGGAATCGTGTTTAGGCTGTTGTTCCAGCTATTGTTCCGTTAACCAATCCACAACGAGACAGATTGCCTTTAAACCTTTTAAGATAAAGTACAATTTTCAAATCTTTTAAATTTCGGATTTTCAAATCAGATTTAATTCACATTAGAAAATTAAGACTTGGGATTGAGCCAGTTGCCTCTGTACAATAAATAGATCTTCGTCCTCTTATTAAATCAGATTTTTTGTTTATAGTTGGTTTAAATTAGTTTTTTAAGAACTATGTAAGTACGAACGGTAAATAAATTGATTATGAAAATTGAATTGCTCGACTTCGCTTCGCCTTGTTCCTGTTTATCGTTTACTGACCAGGATTCTTAGAAAATTTATCTCAAATCAATTCGACACATTTTCTCAATGGAAAATCTTGAGATCTAAGTTAATGACCGACGATGTGGAAAATCAGCCTGCATTTCAACGTTTTAATCAAACTCAGTACAAAAGGACAATATACCTTTCTCCCCTATCTCCACTTAGCTCTTTTTTCCATGACCTCTCCTCCAGTGTTAATGTTTCGCTTGAATACTTCACTTCATTTTCATTGTCATCTTCTGACTGCACTGGCCGCTTTAATGATCTTTTCACTAGGTTTACATTATAAGGTAGCGATCCTTTTATATTCTGCGCCTGTTTTCTAAGTTCTTTGATGTCATGAATCAGCAGTACAATTAAATGGTCTATTGTCATTTTAGATCCGTATTTTTCCCTAAGTCTCTTCACAAACGTAGTTATTTTTTCTCGCTTAAGTTTCAAAGAATCTTTCGCACTTATGTCTGCTATTCTCGGCTCATAGAGAATCAAATCCTGCAAGAGTTCGTCATCAGTTAGGCTAAAAGCTTCGCTTGCGTGTTGTTTATTGCATGTTTTATCCAAACACTTGCCACTCCAGTCGTACGGACAAACAGTTCTCAACGGCTCAATCTTGTGTGAGTATGTTTTTGAGCCTACGCCTTTTTTCTCCTTCATTCTGAACCAGGGGCTTAGCCTGCAAGAGAAGAGTTTGCATTGGCCAATCATTATCACGTGATGCAGAGAAAAAATCGAGTATGCAAATAGATTATAAAATTTAAAAATGGCTTTGAAAAAAGAAAACATTTTAAAACATAGGACAAAAACTTTTCGTTAGTCATGTGCTCGCGTTTCTGATTGGCCTTTTCCCATTCGCAAATGGGTATACATAGTTCATAGCGTTGAGCTTTCGATCTATATTCTAACGTTTTACACACTGAAGAGTGTCAAAATCTTAAGCATACTCAAATATTTGCTTTTTTCAAAGCCATTTTCAAATTTTATAACAAGATAGTGTAAACGGTAAAGACGACGTCGCTAAAAGATGGAACAATACAACCAAAAAAATTGTCAAAGAGCTTTTTCTACCGTCCAGAAAAAAGGTGTATTTCAATAAAAACAAAATATAGTAGATGAAGACGATCTTAGATGAAGCAGTAAGAAAAATAATTCTAACAAACATTTGAAACACAATGACCTGGGTTCAAACAGGCACGTGACACTAATAGCACCTAAGACGGCAGGAAAGAGTTCTTACCTGTAAGATCTGAAATTCAGCAATGGACTAGTATAAGGAATATAACACAAAGCAGGCCTAGCATCTTCTGATTCGGAAGTGTCTACACTTTGTTCATTTGAATGCCCCACTCTGCCGGACAACTCCACGCCTGTGCAATGATCTGACATCTTTTGTGTTGTGCTCAAGGCTTTGGGTTTCTTCGGAATCGACTCGAAATTCGGAAGAATAAACTCCCGTTGAAGCTAAAATACAATAAAGAAAATTCTATGTTTACATGAAATGAATTAGGAGGTTATTATTGAAGAGCATGTCTTTCCTGCATTGTAATTCTCTGTTATCTGATAAATACAAATGAGAAATAATGCAGAAACTCAATCGACTCCGTGAAGCAAATAAAATCCGGCAAATGCGGACAACAAAGAGATATGTCACACCTTAACGTTCCGTGGTGACCTTAAATGCCGATCACGCTGCTGAAATATGAATGTGAGCAGTGGTAAGATTAACAATAAGCAGAAAACTAACCAGTTCCTGTTGGATCCTTTTCAACTGTTCTCCATCTTGAAACAATACGCTTAATCTAACATTGGACTTTTCTATAAGATCGTTCCCAGTCTCTCCCCGTTCTCCGACATCACTCAAAGTAGAAGCATTTTGCAGAGCTCTTTCACTTTTCATCTCAGCGTTGTTGTTGTTGAGTCCAGAGCCAACGCCAAGTTTCCCAGTTACTGGAGAGTTACCAGGGTGCTGTACAGTTTTCGGGACATCAGACGAACTACCTGATAGAGCATGATTCAAAGAACTACCTGGCAGATCAATTAACGGTTTTGGACTGCTTTTAATTCCATCAATTCTATCCCTTGTTGGGCTTGAAACTATAGCAACCTTCTCTGACTTTCCTTTAGACATCCTAATGGCACTCAGTTTTTTTATACTTTCAAGTTTCTTCTGCAACTCTTTTTCCAGCCTCTGAAGCCTTTCTTTTTCGGTTTTCAGAGAACTTCTACCTCCAGAAAATGTCTCTAAATTCGTATTAGCAGCTACTGGTATATTGGCCTTCCTGGCTTTCCAATTTTTTTCGGGACTGACCTGTTGAAATGGGCAACCAGCATTATTCTAAAGACAGCAAGTAATCAAAATGAAAAAAGTACATCAAAAAATTAAAGGTTTTATTGTGGTCGATAATGGCCGACTGTCAGAGTGTAGTTTAAATGTATGTTGAGAAATCCGTACCTCTGATGACTCCTCCGTTGACTCCTTGCTTCTCCTTCTCGTGACGTGAACCAGCTTTGCACTACTTTTGGGAAGAGACTCTGTTTTTCTTGCCATAATAACCTTCATTTTAGCAATGGTCTTAGAAATTTGATCAACCAATGCTGAATTTGAGTCTTGATGGCTCCTTAATATCATTGAGTCTCTTTTTGAAGGGGAGGCAGCGGGAGAGCCGAGCCTCTTCGGAGTATTCACAAGCTGCTCCTTCGCAGTGATTTTACTTACCAGATTTCTTGCTCTCTGTACCTCTTCATCCAACTCCAGGTTGTTTTCACTCCGAACTTTGATTCGTTGCCTCAACGACTTAACCTAGAAAGGAAAAGGTGAAAAGAAACTATTAATATGCGCATTTTGGAAGCTGCTCACAATCTTTTCACACAATATTAAGACGAAAAACTCTCTTTTTTAAAATAAACATCAGTTGCTAGTTGATATTCAATGGTGAACTTATAGCGACTTTCAATTTCAAAACAAATTAAAAATTCGAATGCAAAACCGCAGCCTTAATTCTGATTCTAATTAAACCCAATATAATCTGAAAAAACCTGGCGTAAGCTACCATACACTGAACCATCCTAAACAGATCGCCCTCCTTACCCTGCCCAACCCAACCCAATCTAGGCTAAGCTCTAACTGAGCCCTCTCATAACCTAGCTTGATCTCAAACAAAAAATTTGAAAACAAGAAGAACTTACCTGATCCTGGAATTCAAGACACTGAGTTGCAAGCGTTTTCTTCGTTTTCTCGCCCGTCGCAAGTAACTGTCTGAGTCTTTTTAATTTCAATTCCTGTTGCTCAATTCTTGATTTTTGCGTAGATATTTTCTTTGCAAGGAATTTGATCATATTATTGTCCCTGGCAGCAGCAACTCTGCAGATTACAAAGGTGGTGTTAGGTGTCAGTTTGATGTGATATGTCAGCTTTCCATAATCAAATTAACTCTCGCTAATTGCAAAGGTCCTTGAATCATTTAATGTAACTGATCCCCTTATGGATTACTCGTAACGTTAGAGTGGGTCTAACAGCTATATGTAATATATCACATAGGGCTTATCATTCCAATTTAAAAAGATGAATTAAAATACATCACCCAAAGGTAGAAGTTAAGGAATTTATCCATTAGAAATTAATCATATTTCATTTTTGCGACCATATCAAGCAATTATTTTGGTCGGTCAATTCTTTAATACCCATGTACCCAAGTGATTAACTGGCACAAGCAACTTGAGACATTTTTAAATGGATTGATCCATATAAAAATGTGACAAATTCGTTTGGCTACAAGCAGGGTACTGGTTGCCAAGGAAATGCTAAGCTTTCAATATGAAAAGAATTACTTAAGAAGAGGCATGGCAAAACTAAAAAACAAAGTACGACTTGCTCGCAATCTCCCGTTTTAATATTCAGCGATTGATTTTAATAACAGCTTGGAAGCTTTACAAGCAAAAAGGATTTTCTTTCTTGGGCACGCCAAATCCAGAAACAGAAGGCAATACATCGTAAATAAATACATCACATTAAAATAATGATCACCTGTTTTTCTTGATCCCTGTAACTGCTTCTGAAATGCATTTTCCCAGTTTTTCTACCACTCCTGCATTTAGATTAGACGGAGTCTCTTTGATACCTAGGAAAGACAATCACATCTGAGCCGGCATACATACATATGGAAACATTAATTCATAGTCTACCATTAAACACAGTATACATAAGAAAATTCTTGCTGTCCTCTAAAAATCTACAAATAATTATACTCTACGCGTTTCCAAAAAGGGGTATTGATTGTTTAAATTTAAGAAAATTCGTTGTCTCCGTCCTTACATCTCTATCATGGCATATGTGATTTATGTTGGAGCCTGGTTAAGCAAAAATAACAGTAGACAAGGAAAGGAGAATTTTGAACAATGGCTTTGAAAAAAGCAAACAGTTTGAAACATGTTACTAAAACCTTTCATCTGACTCTTCAGAGTATAAAACGTCAGAACATAGATCGAAAACTCTAAGTCAGGAAATATATTTACCCAGTTGTGGATCAAAATAGGCTAATCAGAATACATTAAAGTTATATTTTGTACCACAAAAAGATTGGTTGAAAATTGTTAAGCCTTAGAAAATTGCTAGTAATCCATTATATACCTTTGCTTGCGGCAGGCCGAGTATCATCCGATGGCAAGGGACTTGAATTTGAACACTGCGAAAAAATGACAAATCAGCTTAATATCTAGAACCCCTACAATAATCCTTAAACATAATCTAACGGCATGATATTTATTCTAACAGCCTGAAACTAAATCTAACAGCCTGAAACGTAATCTAACAGCCTGAAACTTAATCTAACAGCCTGAAACTAAATCTAACAGCCTGAAACTAAATCTAACAAAACCTCAAACTAACAGCCTCTAACTAACAGCCTGAAACTAACATCTAACTAACAGCCTGAAACTAAATCTAACAGCCTGAAACTAAATCTAACAGCCTGAAACTTAATCTAACAGCCTGAAACTTAATCTAACAGCCTGAAATTAAATCTAACAGCCTGAAACTAAATCTAACAACATCAAACTAAATCTAACAGCCTGAAACTAAATCTAACAGCCTGAAACTAAATCTAACAGCCTGAAACTAAATCTAACAACCTGAAACTAAATCTAACAGCCTGAAACTAAATCTAACAGCCTGAAACTAAATCTAACAGCCTGAAACTAAATCTAACAACCTGAAACTAAATCTAACAGCCTGAAACTAAATCTAACAGCCTGAAACTAAATCTAACAGTCTGAAACTAAATCTAACAGCCTGAAACTAAATCTAACAGCCTGAAACTTAATCTAACAGCCTGAAACTTAATCTAACAGCCTCAAACTAAATCTAACAGCCTGAAACTTAATCTAACAGCCTGAAACTTAATCTAACAGCCTGAAACTAAATCTAACAGCCTGAAACTTAATCTAACAGCCTGAAACTAAATCTAACAGCCTGAAACTAAATCTAACAGCCTGAAACTTAATCTAACAGCCTGAAACTAAATCTAACAGCCTGAAACTAAATCTAACAGCCTGAAACTTAATCTAACAGCCTGAACAGATAACGGCTTAAAACATTGCATATCAAATTCAACAGTCATATGAGAACTGCAATGAATATCGACGATAACTTACTGAAACTTTAAATGATTACTTGGAACCTAACAACCAGAGCAATTTGAAAACTTACAGCCTTTCCAGTTAGGCCATGCCTTGCCTCTTTAAGAAAATCACTGATAGCTCCCCCAAAGAGGTTTTCCTTTGGCGCATCAGAATTTTGATGATGAACAGCTGTCGTACTGTCATCGTCCTCCTCGTCTGACTCAGAATCAAGGCCAATTTGGATGACAATGCTTTCTTGAATCTAGCAAGATCAAAATGACATTCTAATAAAAGTAACACAGACAGAATAACAGCAGTGGCACAAATGCAAACACCAGTACATAAAAAATAAAATTTTAATATAGTATAACACAGAAAATAATGGTTATTGTAACTACAGATATTTTCGAGCGACAAAAAATTGTCTAAACATTTTTTCCAACAGATAAAATCCTAAAAAATCAAATACTTCACTTTAAACAAAATAAAAAAGACTGGAATTTCCAACCCTTTGTTGCTCGAATGATGAGTTATTTCACAAAAGATAAGAAAGGCTTTAGAGTAAATTTTCTTGTGTATTTTGACAAAAGATTTGCTTTAGCCTTAGCTTTACTTGTCACTGCTGCCCGTCACAGGCAGTTAATCCAAGGTTAGATAGTGGTCACATGGTTAACCACTGTAAGCAAGGCCAATGAAACAAAAAATTGACTCAAATTCCACATCCAGCCCCAGCTGCCTTGTTTTCATTTTTTTCTAAAGTAGGTTTTCAGGGGTTAAGAGCAATGGCAAGAGGGAGTAAGGGTATATACTGACTATGATAAATGCACAAACAAAACAGCCTTCTTGGCCCGTTACCGTGGGTGCAATAAAACTCTCTCGTAGTGGGCCGTCATTTCTTGGTCTTTTATCAGCAACTGAAAGCGGCTTCGGTTTTGTGCTTGCATGCAATGAAACTCTACTTTGGCTCTTTTCTTGTTCTTTTTCTTGCGATGGAGACATTGAATCGTCAATCGGCGAATCAGCAGCTTGTTGTTCCTGCGATAGACAGAATTTTTATAAAGAGAGGTTGTTGCGAGCTTTTTTCAATAGAAAGTCAGATTTGCAACGAACCTGTTCTTGCTCCCAGACAGAGTTTTTGAGGGCATCTAGCAGCAACGATAGAGAACTTCAATTAAAACGTAAATCAGTTTGTTCTTCAAGTCTATCGCATATTGTGCAATGTAATTCAGAGCATCATTGAAAATTTATTCAAAGATGCATACCAGCTACAATATGTAAACATCATATGAACAGAAGACACAAAAATAGAGGCTAAGTGAAATGAAACCCACAAGCAATGCACAAGACCTGCTCGTGGCATCCTGATCAAAATGGTTCTTGTGCAAAAATACTCACAGAGATGACAGCTCTTGCCTTTTGTGCCCTTTTTGTTACAAGTGATTGAAGAAGCTGCTGCCTCAATGCAACAACATCTTCCAATTCCTCTAATTCATCATTGCACGAATCATCTGCATCATGAGAATCATGCTTCGTTAAGTCCACCTCCCTAGCAGGCGATATCGAGAGTGCACTTGATGTAAGATTGGCTTCCTCATTAGCGGAACTGACATCAATTCCAAGCGTTGGCGGTTCTTAAAGGAAATAAAATCAAAAAGCTTCAATCACAGACAATATCATTGCAAATAAATGCTGACAAGCTTTGGTGCAATCTCACGCAGAAGCTTGATATGTGAATTATATCCAAACCAAATTATGTTTTGGAAGAGTTCCCAAGTGTGACCTCATTAAATATAGGCTACCTTTAGAAATTTTTTTCTGACCAAATAACCTAAAAGAACACCACGAAAAGTGCAAAATCAACCATGGTATTTTGAGTAGCTCATAATGCTTTTCCAAGTTATGTGATCCAAATCCAGGAATTCTAAAGATAAATTTTATGATGTCCAAACTCTCTTTAAAACTCTATTAACAATGAAACTTCTGTGTGTGTGTGTGTGTCAGGTATGCAGTTGGCATCATACCTAGAATCTTTGTAAAAACTGTTGCAACACATACACATAGTCTTCACAGTTTCACAAAATTTTTCTCCATTCCTTCATAACAATGTTGCTTAGTTTGATACAGGTAAAACTAAAGACAAGACTATAACTGGTATTATAAACACCTTTAACAAAATAAACCAACATTGTAAAGGGGATGAAGAGAAAGTTTTGGCTGCATGATTGGTAACTTGGAGTAGCCAATTTTGTAACCAAATTCAATCCATCCAGGTAATTGACCTGATATTCATGAACTTATCTTAAGAAGGATATATGATGGCTGCACGTAAGTTCCAATAGTATAATTTTTATCTTTTCTATAGCTGTTGATAAGAAACTTTTATTGACTGTCAAACTGCAGTCTTGCAGTTGTTTATGGCTTTCTGAAATTGGATCAAAAATTTGAGCTAATGATACTTGAAAGTATAGTTTCTTTAGTAGTTTAGTAGTTTTTCTTGTGATAAATACAGAACAACCAGTAGGGTTTGCAGGCTCATAGAAAAATATGACGAGCCACAATTTCAACAAACCTGTAAGAATGTATTTTTCAAAACAGATTCACTGCTTGCATCTGGACAATGTTCAAGACTTAAGGTTTATAATTATATATATCACTGAAGTATGAAAATGGAAGTAGAAAGTATGAAGTATGAAGTATGAAGTAAAAATGGAAGTATGAAGCATAAAAAGTAGAAAATGGAAGAAACTTGTTTTACCTTCAGCAATTTGTGGTTCACTTGCCTTAAAAAAATAAAATTTAGTTTTAGTTTTCGTAGATTTATTTGGAAGTGTTTGGCAATATAAGATAAAAAATTTTTGTTCAATGATGAAAAATGATTTTAAAAGCAGATTTCTTTTAAATGTTGAGAATGACTTAAAATCTGATACAAAGCAAAAATGTTAAAATATATTATAAAGCGGATGAACTTAAAGTAAATTGCATCGTCTTACACAAATGGAAACTGAGATATATAAAGCATGCATAGGCAGAGATGCTGCAAGAGCATCAGGGCAGAGGAGTTGAGAGGCAAAGCAATCTAAGAAATAGGGCAAAACAAAGGGAAATAAAGAATAATGATAAATTTTGCAAGGACAAGGGGGCAATAATTGATGAAACCCTGTGTATGGAAATAATTTTGATAAAAAACTATAATAAACAGAACTATTCTAGTATCTAAAAAAGTTTTGAAGAAAAGGCAAGACTTGAAGCCTTCAGTGGTTGAAAGTGAACAATCTTTTATTCATAAAATCGGCAAATAAAATTAAAACCTCTACTAGAGCTATTGATTTGAACTCATCGGCATCTTCCAGCCAACTGTCAACAATCTCTGCAATAAGAAAATAAATGCTGATAAATTGTTGAACCGAAGGTTTTTTTTTCACAAAATTTTGCATTTTTATAATGAGCATGTCTGCAACCTACCAGTAAACACCCTTAGATGTTGGTAGATTTAAAATTTTTCATGTCAACTTAAACTTGTTAATCATACACTGCTACACTTTAAATTTGTGCTTGAGCAACTGTATACTCACAATGTTTTAAATTTTGCCAAAAGGTATATTTACAACCATCAAATTTTGCCCCAAGATTAACTAATTTGAAAGACAATTCACATGACCAGTCACAAAGAGGGTCTATTATGTAACTCTCAAGCCAACAAATTCAACAGTGCCAAGCAGGTGTTTTATATCCTGAAAGTAAAGTGTGCGATTCCTCTCAACAGGATCATCCTTTACTTACATAACTGAGGTAAAATAGCCTTATCTAATACTAAATACCCATTTCATAAATTACCAGCATCCAAAGTTTCAAAAATCATTCACTTTGTTGTTAATTTGTAATTTTTCAAATTAATAAATTTGTTTAGCTGTTGGTAAAATAAAATAGGAAAGTAAGAAAAAATTCACATCTAAAAAATTTAAACTTTAAATAATCTAGAAATGCTCAAATTCTATTGAACTAGAAAGTATGGAGAACTGATCAAAAAGGGACAACTTAGCAAATGGGTTTACCATATTCATCCTCCAAAGTCATGGGCACTACTTGGTAATTATCTTCATTTTCTTCCAATTTTCTCTTCTTTCTTGTTGACCCATTGTCTTGTTCAATACTGAAAAGAAAATTTTGGAATGAAAGTCTTAAAGAAAAATCAATAAAAATGGATTTTCGATGGAATGGAGATATGATAGCTATTATTTTGACGATATTTCTAATATGCAAGGAAGCTAGGTCCTAGTTACCTGATCTCGAAAATATAGAAAAAGAATTAAATCAATTGCATGAGCTCAAAAAAAGTATTGCATTAATACTTAAAGTCAACATGCCAAAATATTAAAAAAGATTCTAAGCTAGGAAACACAACCCATTTGATGATTAGAATAGACCAATTAGAAACCTAAGCATCAAGGTTGCCCAATAAGCACTGCTTGCCAATAGAAAATATAACAAAAGGAGTGGGAGAGTGAACATGAATTCCATCTGTCTTCTAAATAATGTTCATTTCGATTTACATTGATTCGGAAACTGCTAGGTGGAATGACTAGAAAATTAGAACAAATTAAGACCAGTTCTAGACTAGCTTATAAGTCAGAACCAAAACATAGCAACACCACAAGTTGTATAGGTCGCATATACTCACTTGTCTTGTAATTTGCTGTGATCTACTTTGTTTTTTGTTGCTTCAACCTGTTTGCTTTCTTTTGCAACTACTTGAAGGTTTGGATTTTTGCTTTTAAATTTTTTTCTTCTTTGTCGCCTTTGACGGTTTCGCTTCTTCTTTTGTGGCTGTGGGTCACTCACCTTGTCTACTCCTAACTCTTTATCTACAAATACTATATTTTCTGTTTGTTCTTTGTTTCCTACAACATTATTGTTGTCAGTATTTTTTGGCTGATTCAAAAATGCAACATCTCCTTTTGATTCAATAGAGGGATTTTCAGTGATTGCAGAATCATTTATCACTTCTTTCTCTTGGGCTTCAGGGGTGTTTTGAATATTTTCAGGTGACATCTGGATTGCACCTTCTGTAAAGCAAGAATCTGGATTTTCAACATTTTCATTATTCATCTCAGAAGATTCATCAATACAGTTTGGGTCAGGTACAATCACAAAGTCTGCATCATCTTCAAAATTTGCAGACCCAAAAGCTTGTGCTTCTAAGTACTCTTCTTGTTGTCCAATCACTGAAAGCTGTTGCTGAATAAGACGATGTCGCTCTAACAGCAACTGATAGTCATCTAAATCATATTCATCAGCTTCAGCTGAGTGTGACACTTCATTTGTAATTTTCTCATCACTTAATTGCCTCTTCCTCAAATGAGTTTTGGAATTAGTTCTACCGACAGTTTTTCCACTTGCTTGTGAAGATGGGTTTTCTAGGAAACCTCTTGCATATTCAGTAGATTTTTCATTTTGCTCTGTTAAATGGCCTTTTCTTGGTGATCTATGTTGATAAGGAATGTCTCTTCTATTAGTAAACTGTGGGACTGGTGCATGATATCTTCTTTGTGGTAAACTCCTAGTTGAAGCAAACTCCTGTCTCATTCTATGGAATCCAACATCGTTTCTTGGGCCAGATGAGTATCGTCTAGGCCTTACCCTGTCCCTGGCTTCAAAATAATGATGTGGTGGGAATCTCTCGTCTTGGGAATTGAAACGAGACCCTGTGGAGAAACTTTTGTCTCTTGGGTTTTCTTTTGGATCTCTGTCTCTTGAATCTCGAGGGTCTCTAGAATTATGTCTTGAGTCTCTTGAGTTGTCTCTCGAATCTCTGGTGTTGTAGCCAAATTGAGTCCAGTCAATATCGTCAAATCGTTATCATACTGAACAGGAGAAGCAGTCTTTTGACCGCCAGTCCCAATTCCATGATTATATTCAAACGCAAGAAACGACCTTTTGTTAGGCCAAGCCCGGTTGTTCTCTTCGTCTTGTCTGTTGGTGGAGACGCGAGGGGCCACAGACTGCCAAAAAACGGCAGAAATGTCATCGACCTCTTTTTCCAAGATCTCACCTTCCTCAAGATCACCCATTTTTGTTCGCTTAAAATCTAACAAGGCAGAGGAGCGTGAGAATCAACGTAAAACTTTTTCCGGATGGGTAATGGGGATGCCATTAATCAACTCGCAACTCCACGTTACTCTCGTTAGAAAACATGGTGCATGGTGTCAGCGAGTAGTTGAGGTTGCATGTCTTCTGAGCTCATTATAAGATGTGTTTGACATTGTATTGCATAGTTGATATCTACACAATACTTATAAAGTCATTTCCCTTCTGCAGCAATCACTTCTCTCGATAACGACCAGGCCAACATTTAATTTTGAGGGGCATGGGAACTAAGTAAAATCCTGTCGTCATCATAATCATCACTTCTATCTTCCCAGCCTGTCATGCGTCTTGAGGTTTCTGTGAGTTTAGTGGGGTAGACTGAGGGGGGACTGCCCTTTCACCATACTTCAAACAAATGTTGTAAGAAAACTCATGAAGACACGACAAAGCGTTTGTCGAAATATTTTGCAAAAAGATTCTAAGCTAGGAAACATAACCCATTTGATGATTAGAATAGGCCAATCAGAAACTGAAGCATCAAGGTTTTACCTTTACACTCTCTTTTCATTCGAACAATTTTATAAGAACACGAACTTCAAAATTAGTCAAAAGTTGAGAACAAATTAAAAATTAGCTGAGGCTGAGCTACCGTAAAATGTAACTTTGAAAAATATTTCATCTCAAAACGAGGAGTTTTTTGCCATCTTGGGCAAATGCAGATTTCCTCATGCACTTTGTTGGCAAATAAGGCCTGGACACCTCCCTAGAGTAAAAAGCAATCGCACTGTTTATACCCTATAAATTTATGAACAAACTGAGAACAATTCAGCCTCAGATTTTCGAAAGATTAAGAACAACCAGCCTGAATTTCAATGTACTGTCTCTCGTAAAGAAGACTGTAATGGTAAATTTTATAAACCTCCCTTAAGGCACTGCAATAGGAAAAACCTTTGCTCCAAATTATGCCAACATATTCATGACAACAATGGAACAACATATCTTGAGCAATGCCCCGATGGGGTGTAGTCAAATATTTTGGAAAAGATTTATCGATGACATAATCTTCATCTGGCAAACACAAGCTTGAAAACCTACAGGAATTTATAAAATACACCCTATATCATCCGCAGAAAATAGATATAAAAACCGTAAAAAAGTCACCTCTCTTCTTAAAGTCACGCTTCTGGTTATAGTCAGTGAAAAGGTTATAGTTCAAGCTAGGTTGAACCACCCCCCATGCCCCCCTCAAGTGACGCCCCTGGGTACACTAACGTCAGTTTTCAAGAGCAAAGTAAGCCATTCCACTTTCCCCTTTAAACAATGTTGGTTTATTACGAAACGACGTAGGGGTTTAGGAAGAACGCTTTTTTCTGTGACTTCTATGTTATCTTTATAAATTATCAACATTGTTTAGGGGGGAAGAGGCTGCAAAAATAGGAGTATCCGGGAAAAAAATTGAAAAATATAAAAGCACAAGCAAATTCCTGGATGTTCCAAGAACTTTTGGCAATGATTGTAGTTAGATTCCGGGTAATTGATGTGCATTAAATCAGGGATGCAGTTGCCATAATTAAAACATGCAAGAGCTTCGGGGTTGACAGTATCTCCTGCCATTTCCTAATATTGTTCTTGCTCCTAATCAAATGCATTCATGGCCTTTATGTCCAAATTTCACTTGAAACTGGCATGCTTCTGGATTCGTGAAAACGGGCCAGAGTGAAGGAATCAAGCCTTTGCCATCCCATCAATTCTGTGATATCAATCAGCTGAAATAGATCACCAACAGTGACATTACAGAAGTTGTAAAGTAGCTCAAAAGCAACATACTAGGCAACTAGGGGCAGTTGCCCCTCTCTCACCAAGTTGAAGCAAGTCTGGTGCCCCTTTTTTAAATTTTGCACCCCTTTTCAAGAATGAGAATCAAGTGAAAAAGTTTCTGAGACTTATAGGTTAATTTACTTCAAGGAGTACCTCAAAGTATACAACAATTATTGTGAAAATTCCCTTTAAAAGTGAATGGAGAGCCTTCTGTCAATAGTTAGGGACTGAAATTGTTGTATACAGCGTATACTCGTCACCAATTTCCTAAAATTTTACAGCGCCCCCACTACCAACTGCTCCTCCTTCAAATTTGCTCTGGGTCCGCCCTTGATAGTAATATGATGAATGCACATGCCATGTTCATTTTCATAAAGCTTGAGCAAAAAACTCGAAAAAATGTGAATCTTTTAGGCTGAAAAATTTAGAATTATGAGTTGGGTGTTGCACAAAAGGCCAACTTTGTATTAAGATCGACAGAACATTTTATATTGGAAAAAGAACAATATAACATTTTCTTTTGATTTTCAGGGAATTGGCTTTTTACATACAATTTACACAAGTATTGTGGACACACTGTTGCTATTGCTGTTCTGTTTAGGGCTGTTGTCGCTTGGCTGATTTCAGCCAGTTGCAAAAACAACAAAATATTGTAACTAACTTTAGAATCTAATCAACTGAAGGGCCATCAAGGATCTAATCACTCACGAATCAAATGCCATGGTCTTATGGACTGGCCACACAATACGTGTGAGTTCTTTTCACGAAAACTTCTCACCTTGAGAATACATCAACTAATTTAATTCTACAAGAGACAACTCTGAAAATAGACAGAAATACTTTAATTTTAAAGGCTCTAATTCTCGGAAAGACCTCTCCTCTGAATGTAAATAACCACCCTCCATAAACAGTTTGAATCAATGTCTTATTTAACTGTAAATAGCTGCTTGCATTCGATCTTTTTTATTTTGAATTATAGAGGGGCTTCGAACGTATGAATTTATTGTATCGTAGGTTACAGGGCCGTAAATCCCGGGGGGACGGGGGGGACTGGACCCCCCCCCAAAAAAATCTGGAGCAAAACGATTTTTTTGGAGAAATTACCATCATTTTCCTTGAAAGAAAGAAATCCCTGGTAGCCGGGTTAGAACCAAACTACGTTTTTCTGTGTTATTGCAACAAACCTCAGCCAATAAGGTTATTTTTGAAAGCAGGGTTTTTATAATTTTTACAAGATAAAAACTTACAGTTTTCTACCGTTTTTTACCGTTTTATTTTTGAAAACGAAGTACAAAATAGAAAGAGAGCAATCTGTCATTTTATTTTACCTATTTACTAACTTATTTACGTACATTTCTATTATTTGTCTATTATTTGCTTTTATTCAGTAAATCACTTTTTGTATCATTAAAATGTATTCATTTTTAATGTGTAAACATGGCCTACTGAAAGCACGAAAAATAAGGAAGACGCACATTTCTGTTCAGAAAGTAAATTTCTACCATTCAATACAACAGCGTCCCATATTTCCCCAAAGTCTGTCACTAAGGTTTAAGCATGATTCTTCCCCTCGAAAATTTCACCCAATAAACAATAATCTGTGTTCTTCTGAAAAGCGCCGAACTTTTTTAAAGGTTCAATTTCTTGGGGCCATCTCTGAAAAATGTTATCCATCCAATTATCAACACAAGTCAATGTACTACGGAATATCTGTAAATACCTTCTATAGAGCAGAAAGTCTTGAGAAATCCAAAAATATTGACTTTCGTTTTTAAAGTAATTTGCCCCTCAACTGTTTCCATAAAACATAACACATACCCTTGTGGTGCCATGACCCACTGCATACTTTATATTCATTCGCTCTGCTGACCCCCCCAATTCACATGACAGATTTACGGCCCTGGTAGGTTAACTCTATTTTCTATGATATTATAAACTTTTTATGTTATTATAGAGGAGGGTTTCTTGAAAATCAGCATTATTGAAGTGCTAACATCATTAACACTGAAAAATGAAAATAAAATGAAATGAATTAATTCTTAGTCTAACTTCCTAAAACTTTGTGACTATTATGGGTTCCTTAGACGATCAAAAGTAGTCATGCTGAAATTAATTTACACCTTTGTTAAAGGCGCAAGAAGGGATACATGACAAGAGCAAGGGACAGGATTAAGAACAAGAAGTTTAGAAAATGAATCGGAGCCTCTATCAATTGATTTGTAACTTAACTCTTTAAACATAAAAAGTGAACTGCTTTGGATACAGTCGTAAGCACTATCTAGAAATATTGATTGAAAGTGTCGTTACAACAAAAGACTCTTGCTCAAAACTCGATGCTAGAGATGGTTTATTTGAAAAGGGGCCTATTCAAAACTTGAACTTTTAAGGGTAGCATTTCCAATACGCAGCCAGAAAACGTTTAAAATGATTATAATAAACAACAAGATTTGTGACCTAAAAGCAGGATATTTAACGAGCTAGATAAAAAGTTATCCATTTGATTATGTGAAACTAAATAAATTTCAGTCAGTTGGCTGCTTTTTCAAAGCTTGACATCAAAACGGAAGGATTTTTCGAGAGGGGCATATTCCCTGGACGGTATATTGAACAGAGCCAAATGGCCATCAAGTACTCAGTACATGAAGTACTTCGCGCACCATAGAAACCGCGGTCACAGATTTTTAGAAATTATGGCAACAGTGATGCTCACTTGACGAGAATGCATCCGCGCAAAGTAACAAGCAGTACTGGAAATGTTTTCGGAATTAGTGCAAGGAAGCTGTAGCTGGGATGGATCGCTTGAAGTCGAAAAAGGCTTGTGCTCTTATCCATCGGTGAAAAGAGCAGTCAGCTCAGGAAGGATTCGTCAGGTAGGCGTCCTACCTGATAGATCTTTGACTTGTTACTGTTGAAACCTCTTTTGTCATCTAGCCTAGATCTATCAAGTTTGAATTGAAATAGAGAGAAAAACGAGAAACCTTCCATATTGTTCCACTAAAGCAAAATACTTCAGTTTTGGAAGTGATATTAGGGGTATATAGCCTGTGGGTTGGGTTGCCTTGTCATGATCTCGGGCATACAGGGCGGTTCTCCAATATATTTCGTTAAAATCACGGATTGTGTGAATCAGATTCCTGTGTGTAAGTCTGCAAGTCCTGTACGTGGCAGTGCAGAGAATTATGTACGCACAAGGTCAGAGTGTTGCACACTACAATTTGAGATACATACCAAATTAGCAATTAGCATTACATGATAAAAACTTTTGTTTGCATGCTATATGGCAGGTAAAAGGAGGTTTACGTGCAGAAAATGTGCCTGAAATGAGAGTTCATGCACAAAATCTTGTCAAAGAACTGTCATTTTCTGCCGGCCTGCCCACACAATATACAGGCAGCAAGTTTTTGTGATTTTTTCAAACAAAGCTCTGTTTTGTTTTCACATTGTAGCAAATGAGGTATTTACTGAAAGTTGTGAAGCTACTGAACCTTACTCACAACTTTCTATATTTTCTTTTCTTTAGGTCAGATCTGTCAGCTCATCATCAACATTTACAAGACCAAGGAATGCTTCATTATCCACTACCTTTTCACAATCAGAGTCTAGGCTCAGTGAGCTGGTGCTTCCAAAAACATATGTCACAAAAACTGGCCTGTTACTTCTTTTTGCTGTGATTGATGATGAATTGTTTGCTCTTGTTGATTCTTCAAATAAAGGAAAGAAGTGTCCTTCAAGAAAAGGAATATTTGGTGACAATGCAGAGCTTCTTTCAGAATTTAAATCTCTAGAGCAATTTGTTTTGTCTGTGCTTGAGTATCAACATCGGAAGGTAAAGTCTTAAAGCTAAGCCTGTTTAATTGTTGAAGCATACAAGGGAAATCTTTGGGAAATAATAATAAACTTTCCCATTTCTTGCTTTTGTTTTTACCTCCATGTTGATGTACCATAATTGTTAGAAAGAAATAGAAAGTAATCCTAAGGCTTGCTTACATCTCTAAACTATGGCCTCATTAAGTTGCAAAGCCGGGTTTAAGGTAGACAAAGGTTTGTTTCTATAATGCTTAGAGCTAGAATGATAATATTCAGTTGCCAACAACAAGATGATTATCTCCTTTGTAATCAAATTTTCTGTATGCATGTTCAATCAATCTGGGCCTTAAGCTCAAAAAGCTGTTTCATGAGCCTAATCAACTTTTGATTAAGAAATTTATCATACTACTAAACATTTTTATCAATCTTTATTATATTTCAATAATGAAAAGAAGAACTGTAATATATTTCCTTGTAGCTCTCATCCCTGCACTGATGACTGTATTTTAATTGCAGGAAAAGAACTTGTATGCATCAGCCAATAAAAGGCTGTTCCGGTTTGGATATCAGGCAAAGTATCATTACAAATCATTTGGTTATAAACAACGTGTGGAAGATGTTGCCAAGAGATGGGATAAAGAGAAAACTCAGGCGAAGACCACTGTGCCAAAAGAAGATGAAACTGACCAATCTGTTATGCAAGCATCAATGGTACCAAGTGTGATTGGAACTGCTGGAGGGTATGTTCCTATCATTTTTGTTGTTGTTGTTTGATTCAATCCAGTTTAATAAAACTTTTATTCAACTACAAGAAACCACAGATCTAATTTTAATTATTTGAATGGCATTTGATATAATAATGATAACTTTCTCAATCAAATACAATTACTAGTTGCTAAGGACCTCATAGATAACAACTCTGATATAAATAGCATTCCATTCTCTTAAGGCCCCAACTTCATTTAATATTGCTAACTTGATCTGAAATAATGTTAAAAGCAGCAATAGCTACAAAAAAGGCGAATGCAAAGAAGAGAAAGATTTAATAATTTGATGAAGGGAAGAGGAAAGAAAGCAAAAACCGGGATGTGCACAATCTGATATGCCCTGGACGTGCAAATTATTAATAATTTTATTGGGCAAAACAGAAAGTTGCAAATCTTGTAATTTCACCCTTGCAAGTGAGCTTCAAAATCTTCAAAGTCATTTTTCTGGAGAACTGCCTTAATTAGCAACCAACAATATTTGTCACTCTATTGCATCCAAGCAAAATTTTTTATGCAATTGTTGTTCTCATTTTGTGTTTGACCAGCTTGCTAGATAAGCCTTTAGGAAGCATACAGCATTGTTTGCAACCACTTGGTTTTACTGGGACAATCACAATATCAAGACTTTGCCCCACCATCCAAATTGAGTGACTTAATCCGGCTCTGAAGAAAATCCATTCAACAATGATTGGATCTACCTATGTGGTCCATTTCCGTCACTTAGTGACGTTTTATTGGTTGTTTTAAGTAGGGGGGCTGAGGGGGATTTAGGCCTCCCCACTTTTTGCAAAAATGCCAAATATTGAGTAATAAACTACCAGGAAAGCCTCTTTTTATACGGTTTTAGCCCCCTCCACCTTTTTAGGCCCCTGACTTTTCTCAACAGTCCGCGGTGCCTGTCACAGCAATGCAGTTAAATTGAGATTATTTTCGTTTATCAAGAAAATAAAACGGAATTCCGTTCCTCTCTATTTGCTTTCTGTTCCTTATCTTTCAACGTTGGATGACACTGTAGCCCTCCACGTTTCTTTGTCCATTCATATTGCTTGTTCCTGTTGCATCAAAGTCCACTCCTTGATGTTGTCATACCAACTCATCCTGGGGCTACCTCTGCCTCCCTGTCTATCAATGTGTTCTTCTAACAATGTTTTGTATATGTTATTTAGCCTTATCAAATGCCCAAAATATCTTAATTTTCTTGCCCTCGAGATACTGATCAATGTTCGTTTTATTTTACTGTTCAATGTTCATTTATTTTTTTAGCATTTCCTCATTTGTTACATTCTCTGTCCATGACAATTTCGACATTTCTCGAACGCTTCAAGACGTTTCTCAAGTTATGTTGTAACAGTTCATGTCTCTACTCCAAAATATAGGATGCTCCATACACAGCATTTCAGAATTCTTTTTCTTGTTTCAAGATTGATTTTCTTATTTGTTTATGTTGACTTTGTTTTATTAAAGGCACCTCGGGCTATAGATATACAACATAAGACTTCTTTTTCACATTAAACATTCTCTGTTAATAATTGGCCTACATATACAAATGAATCTACTAGTTTAATTGCGCCGTTGTCAACAGTTATATAAAATTTGGCGCTCAGCGTTACTTTTGATACTAACAAAGTCAGGTCAGAAAGAGCAGGAGACAGAACGCAGCCATGTCTCACTCTTTGTTTCATCATCCCTTCATCAGACAGTTCATTTTCTAGTCTCACAAAAGATTTTTGGGTCCATTACACAATTCTTATGAACTTGATATCCCTTCTTTGGTATTCCAACCTTTTTATGGTTTTCAATCATCATCTGGTTGTTCACTCTATCAAATGCTTTCTCATAGTCTAAAAATGCATGCTTATATTTTTGTTCATTGCGAGTTATCTCGCACATAGCTAGCATATTGAATATCCCTTCACAGGTTCCTTTTCCCTTCATACAATCGCTCTGCACATCGCTTACTTCTCTCTCTATTTGTGGTTTTTTCTCTCTTCAGTATAACTCGTAATTTAAGTTTCAAAATGTGGCTCATAAGGCTGATAGTTTTAAACTTTTTGCATGTGATGGCCTTTAACTTTTTGTGCATCATTCATATCTCCAGGTATTGTTGTGACTTTACATACCTAGTTGTAGAAGCTAGCAAGTAATTTAGTGTTCGTCCTTAAGTTCGTGATCGTATCTAAGACTTTAAGCACCCCTGTGTTGACTTTATCAGCACAAGAGGATTTTCCCGTTTTCATGTATTTATGGCATCTGATATCTCCGCCTCTAAATTGTCAGCTCTCCGTTGATTATGATGTTATATGTTTTATCCCTGTCATCATCAAATAGTTCCGCTACATATTCCTGCTGTCTTTCTTGATGTCATTTTCATTAAAGATCATCTTCCTTTCTTTATTCTTAATACATACACTACCTCTTGCTTTCGTTTCAGCACCTCTTATTTCTTTGATATTGCCATGCATTTCTTGGTGCCTTTTTTGTCTTTCTATATTATCAAATTTTTTTAACAATCAATTCTCTTTACCTTTATTTACACTTTTTAGATATCTCACGATCCTCTCATTAATTGAAGAAATTTATAACTTCAATATTAAAAACCAAAATATTTGTTCGTAACCCTTTTTACTATATCTCTGCTTGAAGCCAAGCAAACAGCCACTCAAGGAATGCAAATCAGCTTGTAAGGCATGCAATGATGAAGATCCTTCAATCTGGTTTTGCTGCATATTTGATTTTGCTTTCAGAAGTGAAGAAAGGCACAAATTTAGCGGTCAAATTTCTCCAATATCTTTGGATATCCGTTTTCACAGTTAAAAAAACGCTTCAACCTTCTTCGGGATGAAATTTTGTCCTTCCTCAAAATTTCTTAATAATGAAATTTAAGTGTTATTTTTATTTGATTTCAACGATTTGTTAGGAAGAAAACTTCAAGCACAACGGTAAATTCCTCTCGTTTTACCTACTTTGTCAAGTTATGCATTGGCCTTCCTACTGAATCGTTTGATGACCGCCTTTGGCTTCTAGCCGTGAAACTGTAATTTTTTCTGGACACTGTCTAAGAGTAAAGTTTTCTTATCAAAAACTGCTTGCAAAAGAGCATTTTTCGGCGATCTGAGAGAATCAGAATTCTAAGATATTCCCCCTGAACGTGATATAGGCATGGTTTTACATGTATAATTGTTGCTATTTTGAGTTGATCTTATTGTATTAGAATTCAAATATGTGTTTATCTTATTCCACTACTAGCAGATCATCAGCAGATGACAATAGAACTCATTCAGAAGAAAAGGAACCAAAGTGTGCCGGAAAAGAAGACTTTGAGCGCCTAGCTTTGCCTGCAAATGACGTCATGCGTGTGAGAGGAAAGCTACGCTCGCCAAGGCTAGAAAGAAAGATTACAACCAGGCATGACAGCGAGGAGACGCCAACGAAAGAGTATTTCATGATTAGCAGCAAGTTTGATGGCGGCAAAAATGAGCAGGATTGTTTAGACAATTCACCTAGAGGAGCCCACAGTGCTATGACAACTGTACCGCATCTGAAACACTTTAAAAGAGAGTTTCTTTACAGTATCCGCGGCTACTCCAACAACAGCAACGACAACAACGACAACAACGACAACAACAATAATCAAGCGATACCATCTTCTGTAAAGCGTTTGATACAAAACTTTAATGAAAACCAACTTAAGGCTTTTTCTAACTATGAAAGTGCTGCTTATTACAAAGATGAGAGATGGGAAGTAACAAGCCCACCAGGCAATGGAACCAGTAATATTCTTCCGTTTATGTTCGATCAGGAATCCAGCGCTATTAGGGGCCATTCGGCATTGCCTCGATCCCGTCAGAGCAGCGCATTTTCGAGAACGGATTACGTCAGATCGCCTCGTGTCGGTGATTTAAAGAATGCAAAGTTACACCCGACAAGTCCAAAGCAAGTTAGAGAAACGCGAGGTATGATTTCATTTGTAATGCTTAATTTTTAATTAATATCCAAGAAATCAAGGCTGAATGTTAAAAATATGTTGCTTGATGCAGTCAGGCTACACGAAAAATTGGGCTTACAGTTAATTATGCAGATTGTCAAATAGCTTTTGCTTGTTTTTGAAGAATATTTGGCAGCAGATGTTGTGTTTTGCAGCGTGGAATCTACTTACAGTAAAAAACATTTTGTATGACCGAGGCAAAGTGATATTTATATACTGAACTAATTCAATGGATGAAGAATGGTGTCTATATTATGTTTCAGCCAATAACAATGATCAGCTGATACCGAAAGACATTGCAAATAATGAAATCGATTTCAACCGAAGATCGTCTTTTTGGCCTTTCCTATTTAGGTTTATATTTTAAGCATCTATATAAATGGAAAATCTGCGAAGTTCCTAGAAAACGGCTGCTATTTGGAGCAACCGGGTACCTAATTTTTTCACTGCTGTGTTGGACTTAATATGCTTATTGCAAAAGAATTAGGCTTGAGGTGTTAAATTTTTGCTTTTTCTTTCCAACAGTCGTCAAAATTGATATGACTCTGTAATACATATAGAACCAAATATATATCTTCGCACACTTATCACAACTATGTGTTACTTTCGCATACGATCGATTTTTTTTGTATTTTTGTTCCTGGACCATGAACAACATTTTCTTAAAATGGTATCTCAAAAAGTATCTCAATTTGTCACTCTATATTGAATCAGAATTAACGTTTTTGTCACAGTTTAAAGAGATGATGAATTTACTGATTGTAAATAAGAATCACAAGATTTTTATGCATTTGTCCTCCTTGAGTCTGATAAAAAATTTTTCAAGTTTCTTGTTGATCATTGCAATAAAAAGCACAATAATTTATTCTGAGCAGCTGAAAAGATTTCCTCGTTACAACGTTATTATATTTTGCCTCATCGCATGCTGTTTGCAAACAATTGGTTTTTGATGATATAATCAGAACGTTTGCCAATACCAAATCCTCAGCTATTATTCTTTTTAACTGCAAACGCATGGATATTATCAAGATATTGAACATATCGAGTGTTTTCACACTGGTATAGAGTTGATTTTGAAAACGAAGCTTCTTTTTTCCCACTGTGCGATTCAGATTGAAAGCTGATAAGATTTCCAACTAACATTGAGAGATACATACATATTTGTCATATTTTGTATATCTACGTTTTGAGATGCTGAAAAGGTTGAGACGTAAAAGCACTTAAACGTGGGTTTTGTGGATTTACTCTTGCTGAATTGCTCCTGAATCTATCGTCAAGGAGCCCAGTGGTATTCGAGTAGTTTCAAAAGCACGTACACGGCATTTAGGTTTTGTTACACTTCTAGCACTTTCAAGGATTTTCCGTTTTTTCTTCAAACAAAGTAAAACGGTTTCCACATTTCATAGACCATACTTAGAGCGAAAGTTAAACATAAATCATCATTTGGAACTTTCCAGAAAAGATCAAAACTTGGCTTTTACAAGATGAAATAAAAGAACCTTGCTGTTATATCGAAATGTAGTTTGTTTTGTGTTTCGTCTAGATCCGGGCCCAATAAAAGAGCGAGCCCTTTCAGCCATGTCTTCACTGATACATTTGCGAAAGGTTGCTTTTTAACCTTGATGAAATTAAATGAAAAGCTTTGTGTCCAAATGGATGCGATGCATTTTCAAATCTTTTCCCATTTCCAAATGTTCCACTCTGGAAAAAGTTTTTAAATTTTTACGTTTTCGATCTCAGATTTACCGTTTTATTGTAAACGCTAAGTAGAAACATAAAAATGCTTTTATTTGAAAACGTTTTCGAGTATATGCGACCTTGACCGTTTAAAGCCTTTGAAGTAAGATAAAAAATATGTACATAATTGACAAAGAAACAGTGTGTCTTATTTTCATCCGTATGTCAAGCAATTTGTAATGAGATTAAATTTCTTGCAGTCCTTGGAGTCACACCATCGGCAATATCTCTGACCTCTGAGGAATTCGCACGACTGATTGAGGTCAAATCAGCAGACAAATTTAGCCTAAACTTGCCTGTCAACTATGGGATGGATGATTTTCAATTCTTAAACTCTAAAACCATGGCAGGTGATAAGGTGAGGACCTTCTGTTCCTTTAGTTTCATCTCCTTGCACAAATTCTATTTTGAGTAGCTAGCTTTGCTACAATCTTGGCAAAAAAGATTGAGACACTTGCAAGAAAGAAGCTACTTACAAATCATCTGCCCCCTTCCCCTCAAATCAATGTTATGATTGGCTTGGTAACCAATGCAGTAATCCCTACTGTTTCTTTAACCATCTTAACCAATAACCCCGGGGGGAAAGGTGGTTTAGGTCACCAGCACGTATAATATAATGATATAGCTTGCGAATTCCTTTTTTGTTTAAATGTCTCAGCTATTTTTCGCGAAGACTGTAGGTGGATCTTTTCTCAATTCTTTGTAGTCTTGCAATATGATCTTATAAAGAATTTTGGCTTATCATCTACCAAGACTGAGAAAAGCTGTTTTGGGGATGTTTAATATTTTATTTGTAATCGATGAGTTTGGCAGAATGCAGCTTTTGAGCAGAACTGATGGCGGGTTACTTTTTGTTTGTGTTCTTTTGCGCATTGTAGTTGTTGCTTGTGGAAGATAATGCCAACTTGCTGATAACAATGTGAGAACAGCAGGGCTACAAGAAACGGGAAAATTGCAATGAGGGAATAAAAAGAGGTTCAGTTACGAATTTGATGTCCCTGGATCACAGCAATGAAACAGCCATCGTAATTCCCCAAGTCTTCACCTATTTCCCTGTGCTGAACTAGGATATCCCCACTTCGCGTGTTTGCTTTTCATGTAGCTATATTTAGAATCAGTCAATGAAGTGTTTTCCAAGAAAACATTTTTACTTTAAGAAATCACGTAATCAGTGATAAGCCACTGCATGTTATCGACATTAAATCTAATTATATTGCTAGAAAATATGATGTGAGGAACAGGGAGCGAAAGGAATTCACACGAAAAATAAACAACCCTCTCACTTTTCCGACAATCGTCCTCTTCTAACGTTTCATTGTATCGAAAAAATCACCTAGGTCACATCAAGATATTTTCAATAAGTCATCCGATACTTCTTGATACTCTTTCTATCTGTCTGATCCAATTTGTAAAACTAGGCCTACTTAAGTTCAGTCATATCTCTTGGAAAAGAAGTCTTTTGGCATTTCAGAAATTAATATATGGAATTATTGAAAAGTATTTGTAAATACGCCATGGTTTTGCGAAACCATTCTCCTCATAAAAATTCTGAACATTTAGAAGCATTTCAAAGAAGCATGACCGTAATTTGGTATCATCTTTCTTTTGTTTTTTTCTTTTGTAATTTGGTTTCGTGTTTGTTTGTTTCTTGTTTCAGTAATTCTTCCATGAAGCCTGTCCTTTTGACAATATATTTTGAAGAATCTTTAGAAATTGTCTTTTGAGTGGTTTTACAAGGCTGCTATCTTTTTTAATTTTGAATTTATGTGCTTGAGCTTCAATTTTGTATTTAGAATGTGCTAGAAAGTGGAATGTTATTACAATGTAATGTGGTGGGACAATGTAAGAGAAAGGAAACAGTCAATTTGAAACTGAAACCCTGTATACTGCTCACTGAAAGCAAATGTGTTTTCAAACTTTTTGCAGATACGAAAAGTTGTTATTGTACAAATGGTTTTCATTGTTTTAGGTTGAGGCTGAGAAGACAACGATGCAAAATGTGGATAATCAGACGCCTGAAACATCGCTTCATGCCGATGGTATGAAAGAACGGTCTTCACAAACAGAGGCCGGGCAAACCACAGATCTAGATTCGGATTCAAATGAAAGTGTTTCAGAAAAGAGGCTTGCTGGCAGTTTCATTGGTTCTCTTGGCTCCTTCATTGAGGAAGACAATGATGACGACAGAATTCTTTTCAGCTACATCAGCCCAAGTTTACGCAAAGGATCATGGAACCCAATGATCTCATTTTCGTTGGAAGGGTCTAGTGATTTGCTGATGGAAGGGTCATTTTCAGGAACAGAGCAGTCAGAAGTAAAGACACCAGAGTATGAGATGGAGAGAGATTTATCAGCTGAAAGTAAAAGCACAGGCGATGTAACTAAGAGAAAGGGACTTGGTAACTTGGATGGTTCTTCAGCAGTCATAAATAGTAATCTTGTCGGAGGAGATATTCACCACTCTGGCCTAACTAACAGTGTAGGCGCTAGTTCTTCTAGAAAAAATGCATCTGCTTCGCCCGAAGAAATTTTGCCAAATCAATTTTTGAGTTCATTAGACAGTTCCAAAAACATTTGTGATCTGAGCGAAATGTCAAATGTAAGATCGTCGTCAGGAAAGCCTTTGAGTTGCGATAGTGAGCCGAATAATCATACCAACAAAAAAGATACTTACATAGAAAATTCTTACAATGCTCAGAGTGCAGGAAAATCTGAGCAGAAATTTTCGAGTTCATCGGCTGGGATGGAGAATCTACTTCCATTTCATAATGAAGCTATGTCACCACAAGGAAACAAGTCGTCTACTTTGGTTGGCGAGACAGAGAAGCAGAATTATTCTGAAATTCTGATGGCAGTAAAGGAAGATGTTTGTACAAATGGAGATGGTAATCAGATAGGAAAATCTACACATAATGCAGTAGATGCCCAACGACAGGGAATTCATCGTAGGCAGTCATCGTTTATTTCAAATAGTGGAACGGTTGTTTCTGTAAGGGACAGTATCCCCGATCTAAAGCAGATCAATGATAACGACCCATTTACCCATAGAGTTCTATCAACTTATTCTGGCAGTAGCTTTGAGTCGCTAACACAAGAGAATTCGTTACCATCAGTTTGGATATGTCAGTCTGCAAAAGAAGGTTCGTTGCTCATTGATATTTCTTTTCGTTTTTTATTAACCAATCATCTTTTGTACTCTTGTTCTCTCTCTCCTTTACTTTTTCACCCACGAAAATCACCGACACACGCTGCCAAAAAGCTCCTCTGTGTTTTTCATTTACTTAAAATTACAATCTACTGTCTGTTTACTCCGTTGCTAATGATATTTAGATCAATACGCTACTTTTGATGATTAATAATTTAGTTTTGTACATTGTAAAACATTAATGCGTTTTTGTTAGTTCGTTACAACATGTCTCTTTGTTCCAGGGCTAAACAAAGAAAGTAAAGATCTGATTGATAGTCAAACAGAAAGCGAAGATAACGAAAGCAAAACTGTAATTGGCAACCTGACCAAGACCGACCCCCTTGCACTTGCGGATAGTGCTTTGCCAGAAGATGTGGTCGATAAAAGCTTTAAAAAGAAACCAAACTCGCAGAAATTGACTGATCCGATTAGCAAAGAGCTAACAAAAACTCAAGGTTTTGCATTCGTAGAAAATAGCGTTTTCGGTGCAAGGCAGATGGTGAAGAGCAGTTTAGCTGACAAAAGCGAGATTGATTTTCACAGTCCTTTCAACAAGAAAGTGTTGAAGGATAATACCAATGTAAAGGAGATTGCCAGCTTAGAACCGACGTACGAAGAGGGATTAATCGGAAAACAGCGATCTTTGCAATGCAGTGCAAAGGACACTGCTGATAGCAAAGAGAGTCTTCAGAAAGTTGATAAAAGCGTTGTTGACCTGAATGTCATGAAAAAGCAGAATCCTCATGAAGTAAAGGAGATGCAACCCTCACAGAAACCAGCAAAAGAGAGAAAAGATGAAGGCTATAAGAGGGAATCAAAGCCTGAAAGGCAAACAACTGAAAAACGAGATAAACAAACTGTCGAACTTAAAATTGATCTCAAGGTAACAGGGGACAGTAGTCCAGAAAACGGGACCATCGATTTGGATACGGCGGCGGTGAAACCTGCAAATAATGTCAACAAGACGGAACTGCCTTCAAAGGAGACCTTGAGGCTAGATGGTGTTAGTGAAGGTGAAATCAAAAGGGAAAGCCAGAATCTGGAAGATTTGAAGTTGCTGCTGCAGCAAAACAAACCTCCCGAGGACACCACAAAACTTAAGGTGTGTAACAAAAATGTGCTGGCGAATAAGGCGCCGAAAAATGCGATGTTTGGAAGGATTAAGAGTATAAAACGCTAAAAGATGCATCTGTTATATTTTATTGATCTTGCGTAAACCCTTAAAAGGCACTGTCCAAAGATTCTTGCTTTTCCATAAATATCTAGTGCAAGCAATACATCTTGTCCGAAAATGCAACAACCCCTAATTTACCCCTTTCACGCCGCTTTGTTGGACCTTGAAAAGGTAGTAGCCACCGAAAATTCAGGCAGTTACTCATTCCCCTTAAGTCGCAAATCGTATTAGCCCTGGTTGTTTTGGTAATAATGTTCATTTTTGTAATGAAAAACAGATCTCATCTTGTCTGCGAATCGGCGGAAAAGGTCTCACGTTTGGTCTGTTCCTGACTACCTGTTACATTTTTAACATCGCTATTTCCATATGTAGTTTTTGCCTTTTTAAAAGTAAATTTGAGGCTTAAAGTTGCTCTATTGACGTAGAATTTGTAAAGCTTAGAATGCTCTTACCTTTTAGAAAAAGTTAGGGGAAACGGCACCATTGAAAAGGAATGCTGGAAAAGCGAAGAAAAAGCGTGGCATGGCATCACGCCAAGGAAGTATCTCCAAAAAGGGGACAGATTCAAAGAACCTCTCTCCTGTATTAGATTTGCCCAAAAAGATGGAAACAGTTGAAACGATGATAGGCCGACCCAATCCATCAGACAACCCAATGAAACCAAGTCCAGACACCGAATCCGAGGTCATCATTGAGAGGGAGATTACTTTCGAGAACCAGTTAGAGCAGAAAGAAACTGCTGCCTCTAAAAATGTTCGCATTCAAAACGTCGAGGTTAAGAAGGTTTCGGAAGTTGACCCTGAAAAGAAAGGGGCTTATCCACCGTCTAGAACAAAACGTGGCAAGAAGGCCTCCAAAAAAGCCACCGTGATAAAGGAACAGCCCGAAGATAAACTAAGGTATGAGGAGCAAATGAAACTGTTGCATGAAAAGGAGGTTGAACAACAGAAGGCAAGAGAGGCTGCAGTAGCCAAACAGAAGCTTCTTGAAGAGGAAAGGGAGAGATATAGACAGGAAGAAGAACTGGCGAAGATAAAGGAAGAAGAGGCAAGAAAGAATCTCGCAGAGGCGAAAATCAAGGCGAAAGAAGAGAGGGAAGCGAAGAGACTTGCGGACGCTGAGAAGAAACGACAACTGGTATGTAGATGTCTTGGAAGATATCGTCGTAGTAGTTAGTATGAATTTTCATGCAATATCACAATATAGTACGTGTTATATTAATCTTCGTATTACGGTTTTACGAGCAAGGCATTTGAAATTAGCACAAAGCGGCAGAGAACATAGTAATACGTTAGTGACTAAAGAGACAACAGTACCATTCATTATATTTTGGATATTTGGACCAGAACTCTAATGCTGGAGGCATAATGCCAAACAACCACTAAAGCTAACAGTAATGATGTTTAAGTATACTCAAGGGCCCTGAATATCTCAAAATACTTAGTTATGCTGACATGACGCAATGACGTAATCACTGTGGAAGATGTTCTATTGTTTTTAGCTCCAAATTCCCAGGATGAACTTATTTAAGTTGATTACATAATCATGAAATTTCACCCATGAAAATGGTATGGTATGTTATCATATGCCAAGAGAAACGCAGAAAGCAGGAGATGGGACAGGAATGAAATTTAGATCCTTGTTAGTTGTCGTACCACATCCCCGGTATTATGTTATCATCAAAAGCAAGAACATTATATAAAAAATCTCAAGCAATTGATCCATGTAATCAAGAGAATTTTCCAAAAAAACTGACCAAATGTAAAGCCTTTGGTCTACTTGCTTGCTGCAAGTAATTAGTTTGTGTATAAACCAGGATAATTTTGATAGGGTTTACCTGAAGCCTTCCATTAAAGGACGTTTAATACCAAAGCAGCCAGATATAACCTCACTTCCTTAAATCTACTTTAAATAGATGTATTAAGCGTTTGAAATAAAAAAGAAATGTGTTGAAGCACAGTATCACTTTATGAATGCCATAATTTTCAGTTTTTGTCTTGAATCAATTCAATTTTCTTCTTCCAAAGGTGGAGCAACGGCGAGAAGAGCGACGGCAAAAGGAGACTGAGATAGCTGAAAAGGAAAAAGAGGCTGAACGACTGAAGCATGAAAAGGAAAGAAGAGCAATAGAATTAAAGGAACAGCGGGAAAGACTGAAGGAGCAAGAACGAATGGAGGAGGAACAGCTGCTTGAAAAAGAGCGATGGGAAGAAATGAAAAGGGAAGAAGAGGAGAGAAGACGGGAAGAGGAAAGGATCAGAAAAGCACAGGTACGTGCAGAATAGCATGAGTGCTGGTTTTGAATTCATTTTTTCCTTTTTGATAAGTTTCTAGGTAGAGATGGTACCTCCCAAATCCCCGCTTACAAATTAGTAATTCCACAAATAGAGAATAAAGTCATAACGGTCATTAAGCGGTTTAAATCATTTAGCAAAGACAACACTTTTAGCAAGCATTGTCAATAAAAAGTTACAATGATCTACTGATAAGTCGGTTCAATATTATGAGACAAGGCCGCGTTTCCACTAAACCGTTTGCAAACCTTTTTTATTTCTATCCGTTTTTCTTCAACCGTACTTGAACAAAAACCTTTCCCTTGTGCCACTTTAACAAAAGTGATTTAAAACGGAGGATTACTCCTCAGTGATTTACTTTCTACTTCTTTACAACATTACAAATTGTTAGACATAACTTTTTCTTTCCTTCCGCGATTGATTTTTGTTACTATGACGATGCTTCTAAAAGCCTCCGCTTTTGGTCTGTTTTTGTTGTTTCCATAGCAATATGAACGTTTTTAAGTGAAGTGTTTTTCAAATCCTCTATTTCAATCAGCTTTGCAAAAAATATTTGTCTCTGATGGCTGTTTTTCAAATTTTTATTTGGTCAGACTTTCGACATAGGTTATTTTCTATTTGTTTTGCAGCAGAAAATTTCAAGTTTATCTCGGGCCTAAGAAATATAATGAGAAGCAAGTACTTTCGAGTTAAAGATTCGTCATTTTATATTGTTAATTTATTTTTATAGGAAGAGTTAGAACGTCTCATTGAGGAGCGCGAGTATCGAGAGCAATTGCGACGAGTTGCAGAAGTACAAGAGGCGAAAATGCGAGAAGTTGAAGATCAAAGACGGTTACAAGAAGAGGAAGAGCAGAAAAGAATAGCAGATGAGCGGGAGCGACTGAAGCGCGCGGAATATCTGAAGCTTCAAGCTGAGCTCGAAAGGCAGAAGGAGGCTGAGATAATTGCCAATGAACGGAGACAAATGATGCTTGTCAAGGCGGCTAAGAGGAAAGCTGAGTTGCTGAAGCGAAGGGAAGAAAATCTGCAACGAATGTTTGACCTGAAATGCAAGCGTAGCTCGCAGGGCATTTCAAGGTCATTCACTTTCACTTATTTTGTGCATATACCAAGAAGTGTGTGGGAGGTACCTATTGGATGGTCGAACAAAAAAAGTAAGAGTGGAGCGAGAGGGAAAAGTAGGCCCATATCAGTTTCTGCTAGCATGAAGAGCACCAAGTGATGCATCAGATTAAAGCTGTGATTTAATTATGGCTACGACTGGTTGCATGTACTCGAAAATTCAGTCATTCTCCATTTCACGACATCAGAAGGGGTGGTTTTGTAAAATCATCTTTGAAATACTTTTTCTTTCATTTGGCGAAGTAAAGCTCGTAAAGTTTCCCGTGTAGTTTTACATAAAACTTGCTGATTTCAACAGCCTTTTTTGCTTAAATGCAAGAACAAACTTATCGCCCAACGACCAACTTTGAAAAATTCACATCAACAAAACAAATCGTTGTCCATATTTTTAGTTTTCTAGATCACCCTTTCGCAATATCTGAAAAATACAGTTAAAACATATTTCATTGCAGTCACAGAACAGCAAAATTTGATAATCAGTATAGAAATTGCTTGATGCCGATGGCAAATGGCGATGAAAATGTGGATACTTTTTTAACTGTGCCAAACTTCGATGGTGAATGAGCAATAGTGAGCGACTGTATAGTTGAACTTCGGTTTTCAGACTCCGCTCGATAATGTGAGTTGAAGACGAGGTGTTCAAAAGCTAAGATTTTTATTTGTGCAATTTTTGAAAATAACAGAATGCTATTCACCGGAGCAAAGAACTATCTTTTAGTAGTGGTGTCAGGGTTAAATGCACTAGCAGTCGTGGATGATTGCATATACCGCACCGATTTGGACGGTTTTGGGAAACGGCTGCCATCTTCAAGATGATTGAACTTTTAACAGGGGGGTCCAGTCAGAGTCAAAGAGAGCCAACGCTAAAATTTTAAAAAGTTACCCTCAAATGGTAGTATTTTTTCACAATAACCCTCAAATGGTAGCAAAAGAACCGAAATCTATAATCAATTAAAGCTAAACAAAGCAGTTGAGTTATTTATCGAAACTAGACCATTTGGTAAGACCCTCAAACCGACTGGACCCCCATGTTAGGCCTTAACGAGAGTGTATCCCCCCGGGGGGGGGGGGGGGGTGGAGTCGCTTGCGGTCCATAGCTGTTTTTGCACCTGAAACAATTCGAAATGAAGTATCGATGAGATTTTAACTTAATTGTAAATTTTTTGTATAAAGTATTTTTAGCCTCTATTAGAAATTATTATTATTTATTAGAGTGTTTCAAATTGCTATTTATGAGAACGATTACCTTTTTTTGTTTCTTTGCCAATCTTCTGATTTTCGTCAGCGGCCAAAATGGCATGAGAAAATTTCAAGTTGGTTTGTTTTGGGGATTTTGAATATTTCTATTTATTGCACAGGAACGATCGTAACACAACAATGACGAGAATCTTTTTTATGAGAATACTATAAGTTTTTCCAGCTTCGATATTGTTCAGAATTTTTTTTGTTTTTTGATCCTGAATGTATTTTTACATAAGGAATTATACAGAAGGGCCTTCACATTTTTTAGACATTCCCGATAAAATAGATGCGTAAATGCTGAAATGCTCGATTCCTTAAAAAACTAGATACTGAAATGCTTGTCCGAGGACATTCCAGTTGAATACTGTTTATTATTTTTAGATATTTGTATACCAATTAGGGAAATCAGTTTTTACACGTAGATTTTCCTCTTCTGACACGATTCAGAATATTGTAAAATAACGTATTTTACAGGACAGGTAAAGCTCATAAATCAGACTCCAGTTCGCAATAACGTTATTAAAAAAACCAAGATTCTTCAACAGAGATAGTCATGGCCGGCGAAAGCGGGGGGGGGGGGGCCGGGGGGCCGGGGGGGCATGGCCCCCCCACTTTTCTGTAAAGCTAAAGGATAATTGTAGTATAGCAAAAGTGGAAATAAATGTAGTATAGCATTCTGTAAGTAACTGTGTTTAGTAATCTCTTACATATGCCTTTAGATTTAGCTTGGTTGCTATGTCTATACCATAGTAGACATATATAAATTTGAATATGGGAAATAAGATCAAAGAAATCGGTCATTGTCTAAGTTTTACAACGAGAAACAGCTTGGCTTAGGAAATAGATCGAGAAACCTGATCCAGAATAACTTGGTGCCAGCACAAATTGACGGAGTTTTGTTTTTTCTATTGCCTAAACGTGGCTCACAAGGTCTATTTGTTAACAACAAATTTCTCAGGAACATTGCAAAATGAAAGAGAAATTGCTAGCGATGCGAAAAATTTTGAGCACATGAAAAAAATGGGCAGATTTGTTCTAAAAAAGTAAAATCAAGAAAACTTCAACACTTGATTGTATCGATAATCCATTCCTACTAAAAAAGAAAATCTAGACGCAATTGTAAATTCTATTAAAACTATTTTTGATTTTTGTTAAAAGCACCTTTTTTCCGAAAAATTTAAGATCAGATGTTACAAAACAATATCCCAAGTGTACAAATTGCTTAATTTGCTTTTATTTCAGTTGATAGTTCTCCTGTTTTTGTTGAACTTGTACATATTGATTAAACAAATATTGCCTCGGAATTTCCTTCAGTAAAAATCCATTTTAGATACAGTCTCTGGCCATCCCTAAAATACAATAATCCTAAAATTTTCTTGCCGCCAACCATGGTGGTGGCCTAACCTAAGCCCTTTCAAGACCTTCATATTTGCCCCCCCCCCCCACTTTCAAATACGTTTCGCCGGCCCTGATAGTGCAATGTAGTGACAACCAACAAATGCAAAGCAACAACTTCGTTGAACGACAACTTCGACTCGACTGGACTTGCACTGAAAGAAAATACGCTTTTAGCAATATGAGTGACGCACACAAAACCCTAATGACACAAATTAACGGCAAATAGACTAGAAAAAAATAAAATAGAGATGGCGCGATGAAAAACAAAATGGACTGACGCAAACATCGAAAGACATTCTCATTAACAATAGCGAACCACAAACACGATGCACGACAGACAAAACTAAATGTATAACAATATAGACGTTGGAAGAATTGTGAAGGAAATAGACAGTTGTAGAATGAGGCCAGCCACAAAGAGCTACATATGACTGTTATTGTGTTTGATTAGCCAACCAATATAAAAAACCATAGCTTTTATCAACTGCATTTACAAAATGGGGTGCTTTCCCAAATTCTTGAGGGTGTGGTCAACAACAATTTCTCGGAACCCCCTATCGCTACACTCTTCTTTGCCCCTCCAATCTTCCCACCCTGGCTATGCCACTGTATGGAGGGAGACCTTTACATACCGTAAATCCTCGAATTGCCCCCCCCCTTCGAAACCCCCCCTCGAATAAGCCCCCACCCTAAAACTACAAATTGTCAATAAGCCCCCCTCGAATACGCCCCCACTGCTACCGTAAATTCTCAAATTGGACCCCTCATTTTGATGATTTTTGCCATCTGTGGACGCCTATGGCGTTTTATTGAATTACCACAACAAATTCATACTTTTGGTAGTAATTAATTAACTGCTCATAAAGAAATTTCTACAAAAATAAACGAGGTCTTTTAATAATGTCTTCTTAATGTCAACAATGATTCTTTAAGCCCCCCCTCGAATAAGCCCCCATTCAAAAATATCAAAAATAAATAAGCCCCCAGGGCTAACTCGAGGATTACGGTATAACGCAATCAAAGAAGGGGGAGGGGGAACAGAAACATTTACCGCCATTGTTATGACCTATTGTTGCACTTATTAACTGATAAATAAGGAGAAGGGTTTTTTTAAAATGTGCGTATTCCCTATGTTTTCCCTGTTGGATGATAGTGCCTTTTATTTTGGCCGTCGAATACCCCTTAATAGTGAAATCTCCTCTACGTATGTTAGAGAATAAAGCCGCATTTCGTGTAGAAAGATAAAAAATCCCTTTGACAATATCTATTTGCGTTATGGCAAGCGGAGGTTAGCTTCGTTTTCTGACGGGGCTCGCTTTTTGCTCCAAATTATCTTGCAAAAATGGCTCCTTTAACAAAGAAGAAACTTCGTGTGTGGGATAGCTGAAGCACTACTAATGTACTATGAATCTAAGAAAAAAAGACAGCGAAATTGGTGGGTTAAGCCTTGGGCGAGCAATCGTCGCAGGCAGATCAGCAGAAGAATAAGCAGGTCGCTTGATTGGAGAACTGTGACTCGCAGACCCAAGCAGTTTCCAGAATTTGTTTCAGTAAGTGCAACGGTTAAAATTTTGCGTTTGGAGTTTGCAAACCTCCTGTGACTGACTCAGGGACGTAAATTGGCAGATATTTTTTTGGGGGGGTGAAAGGCCCAAAATTTCCGACTGACAAAGGTCAATTCTTATTTTGTATGAGAGCCTAAACTTTAATAGTCTTTTACCAACAAAACCTTATATATTGTCTCGTAAATAATTATTTAGCTTTATGATAAAGTTTCTAGATTTCGTAAATTTGGAAGATCGAGCATAAAGACTGTTAGTTTAATTAGTGCATCAAAACATACGTAGTCCAAAAATTAGGTGTTAATTTTCTCCTTCTACGAATTGCCCATTACTCCACTATCTTATCTAAATTTACGTTGTCCAAAATGTCTTTCTCGCAAGTTAGAATCATGAGGTTGTTTTATGCTTCACGCTATTTTATGCCTATTATTTTATGTGGCACTCATTATGCTAGCGGTATGTTTGAAGGGGCCAGCGGGAGGTTGGCGGAGGCCTCAAGGATTTTCGAAAGAAATGGCTTTCCTGCGAGCGAAGCGAGCAGAAAATTTTCACGACCACGCTTTTTAGATTAGCTTAAAATACATTTCAGAATACTTCTTGCAGGTATTTTCTTGCAATCGTTTAAAGCATATTGTTATTTTCTTGAATTCATTACTTTCTGAGACCCCATAGACCTCGGCGTATTCCTTGGAAATTTAGCAACTAAAGGATTTGTTTTTTCTTTACTCTTTTTATTTGCTTAACAATACATTTTTGCAAAAAATGTGTGGGGGGGGGGCTGAAGCTCTCCACCTGGCGCCGCCTATATTTCATTGGTCGATCTCGAACGGAGAAAGTTTTTGACAAGTCATGGGAAATGTACTGCGATTTTTTAAGCATTACTGATAAATATTATTTAAAAACTTCTATTTCTTATCCCGTTTTTAGAAGCAATTTGATGGAATGATTATCACACTATCCCCATTACGACGAATGTAGTTGAAAATACTTGCATTTTCATACAAAACTTCGTTTTTTTCTACATTGCGTCGCCTCTCATTCTTTTTAGGACTGCCTTTTACCAAATAACTATTTTCTTTTGAACTTATACCTTTCTTATGCTTCTCTTTGAGCTACAGTTCACAAGGTCATTTGAGTCAAAACTTCAATTTTCACAAATGATTCAATTTTTTTTCAGATTAACCTAGCTTTCTACCAACAGCTTTAAATTTTCCGACTGTCCTCAAATTTTCCGACTGGATGAAAGCTTGGAGGGGGGCGGGTTTCACACCCCCCCACACCCCATAGTATTTACGTGCCTGGACAGACTATCTTATGTTGCGATTCAATAGAGAACTCATAAAAACCTCGTTTCTGGTACAAAAAACTATGAACATTGTCAAGACTAGGAGTTTTGTTCTAAAAAGAAATTTTGACTAACTGAAACCAAAAACTGACGGGGCCCTTTCTCGCCTGACTAATCACTAGCAGTATCCCCCTTTCTACACACCCTCATTTTGGGTGTGAATCCTAGTTCAATAACAGGGAGTATGAAACGCAAAATATCACGTTCTGGTGTCCCATGTGCCTTTCAGGTTCGAGAAGGACATGAGGCAAGGTAGGTATGACCAAAGTCATGGTATGACTGGAAAGCTAAACGAGTGTCGTGAACCAACTGCGGTTTGATTGTTCGGTGCTGATATGCTGGGATGTCAGCTCGTGGAGCACCGAATATGGTTTTACAAAAATAACTTTTTGCAAAGTCTTGTGCAATGCTTTCGGAATATAACCGGGTTGGAATTATGCTCCAGTTCCGGGTACAAATTACTAGGGTTTCTATGTTCTATTATTTCAGAAATCTTCGGCACAAGTGCTGGTTTTTTGGAAAATCTTCGGCACTCAGTGGAAAAAAATTACCAGACCAAAATGTCGTTAACTTTTACTCTCAGATTGTACTATTTGTCCTTAGCATAACTTGAAAAGTATTATTGAATTTAAATGAGGAAAGAGTTTAACATGCTTTCATTGTATTAGCATTATTTATTGTGTCAACTATCATTTTTTGTGTTAGCTAAAATCGGGGATATTTTTGCTTCAGCAAAGAAACTCCCTGTCGATATGCATATGCGCTGACACGGCATTCGCAGTCGTTATTTCCGAACGGTATTTCTGACAAGCCCATTGAATTAGATCGCTTTTGTGTGGATGAATCACCTAAACGCAAGGGGGAAATCACGATTAACGCCCAGCTCTTGACGTCATTCACGTGACTCACTGTAAATAATAAAGATGGCTGCACGGTAGCAGCGAGTAGAGTTTCAGTTACTTCGGATGAAAAATGGCTCACCAGTATTCAAGTTCTGATCTTATGTATAATGAACTTCTAGAATGTTTTAATGAGACAAGAAGACGCAACATTAAATTGTTGGAAGAAAAAAGGGAGTTGCTTTTAAGGCTACAAGAAGAAACGCGACGGTCGAGCAAAGGGCAACTCGAGTCGATCTATTCTGGCGAAGATGATTATTTTTTGGACATAGAGTCGAATTCAAGCAATGGCAAGGTATGCCGAATCAGTCGTTGATATCTCACTTTTATCAGTAAAATGCATTTAAGAAATAAATGCCATTTATTGTTCTAGACATAAAATTTTGTAGTATTTGAAAACATGCATATCCACTTGCCTGAAATCTGATCCTTACCCAAACCCTACCCTAAGAGGTGCGAAATTGCAATAGCCCCCAAAATATGCCGGGAGTAAAATTGTTTAGCTTTGGTCTATAAACTGTGATACCGATAATTTAAAATTGTGCGTTTGATGAGATTGAAGCAGTGGTCTAGACGATATTGCGTGGAGCTGCGAGTGCAAGTCTCCAACCCTGACATAAGGCGCTCTCGAACATGCTGGTGGTTCGATACATAAATAACATGCCCTTGAATAGAAACCACACTTTTTGAAAGACGAAATATGTCATTTATGCGATTCCCTGTCATGAACGTGGCAAAGCAGGTAACTGCTGTAAATTGATGAGATGCAAGCTAAGGCTGAACAAAATTCTTAATTAAAGTATTCTCATAAATTGGATGATTCTGAGCCTGAATATTCTCATATTTATAAACAGAATTCTTAGAAAAAGAGTGCATGCAAAGATAAAGCATCCCCAAAGTCTTGTGCAAAGGTGAAGCTCAAAAGTCTTTGTCGACTTTTCAGGTGTTTTGGGGAAGTTTATAGGAGAAGGGCATTAAATAGAGAGGGGTGTTTTATAGAAAGAAATATTCATAGCTTACATTCACAACATCAAGGGCAATGTCTCAAACTAAAACAAATTTACAGTAAATATGTAGTCAGCATCTACAAAATCATCTTCATTATAACTAGCATCAGCAAATTTGCTTTACTCTTCACTGGCTTCATCAGACAGGAAAGTGGCGTTAACCTCATCATTATTTGAAAGCAATAATAGAACAAAACTCTCAAGTCTTCAAAACATAATATGAATCAGAGTATGTCAATTCCTCCTTTCATGCAAAATAGGTTGCTACAACTACCTTTTACAATGAACCCCATCCCACAAAGAGGGTGCTAGCTAGATAATGGGCATGCATCAAGGAGGGGGTGTTCACAAAATTATGATTATCAAATTAAGGCCTCTTATCAAGTGTTTAGTAAAACTCTGGATGTAGGATTGAATGAACTCATGGTAAAGCTTATTCTAAATGATTGGAAAAATTTTCAGTGTATGTTAAAGCATAGATAGTATAATGATGTGCCTTTTTAAAAATATCATTTTCTTATGCAATCAAAGTATAAAAAATAATATAAATAAAAAAGATTGATGCTGTCTATAAAAATTGTAGCTAATAATGTCAGTGCTGTTTTTTAGAGAACATTTGAAGAGTTCGGCACTTGCAAATGTAAATCAACAGAGGGACTACACGAAATAAGTGTGTTTCTAACATTCTTGAAGTCACAAGTCAGAGTAATTAAAGTTTTCAATGGTATTCATTGCAAAAATTTTCTTTGTACTTCAATATGGCTTGATTTCCTCATAGGAAATCGTTGTGAAAGTATAAGTCTAGAGTCAAAGCTTTAACAAATAAAACATTTCCCATAGTGAATTGATTTTATATCATTTCCATAGCTACTTAAAGGAAATCATGAATGGAAGAGGAAATATGAGGCTGTATCATTGGAGTATGCACATCTAAAAACAATCTGTGAACATATGAAGAAAGAAATTGTGGAGGACAAAGAGGAAAATGACAAGTTGAAACAGCTTGTTTGCAACCTTAGTGCAGATCTTAAAAAGCTTGGTCTTTCATCAAAAATACAAACATCTAAAGCCAATGATGTATGCAAGTCTGATGAGATGGAAGCTTTGAAACAACAGGTAAGACAAACTCTAGTTAATTTAGGGCCTGGCAAGCATGTTTCTATTTGAGTACCAATTACATTTTTGGTTCAGAGAATCTCCAAATTTGATGTCCAGATTGTTCAGATGATTTGGACCTTGTATTGTTGTTTTATAATTTTCAGAATGGTTAGCCGTATCCCAGCCAGGTTTGGCTGAATTTTTAATGAGCTGATAGCATTTTGATTATATACTACAAGAATTTAATTTTTCTGCCTTAAAACCTAGCTAATGATATCTAAAACATTTTATCATTAAAAAACCCTGCAGTTATAGTTTAGCTACATGCTTATGGTATCCAAATTAATTCAATTAGATTGAACTGTATCAAGAAGACTTCAACAATGAGCGAAAAGACAAAGAGAAATTGCTGAATGAGAAAAATTTTTTAGAAGGACAGTTACAACAAGCAAGTGAAAGCTTAGAAATGGTATCTGCCGAGAATCAGAGGTTCAGGCAATGCCTGAACAAAGTCACTCACCAGAAAGAGCATATAATTTCAGAAATCAGACGACTGTCTGCCAGTTCACTGCCTTTCTCTCCAGTCTACGAGCAGCGAATTCCACCAGACACTCGATTTCTGTTTGAAAGCAGTGAAGGAGAGGTGTGTAAAATTAGTGTTATTTTGCTATTTCTACAAAGTAGCACAGTGATGATGTGTTAAGAATCTATATTTAGAATCTTTTAATTTTGATCAAATGAGCAGAAAGAGCAATATAATTGATATGATGTTTTGACTTTTGGTCAGAAGGCTTTATTAAGGATCTGAGGTGCTGTGGAATTATGTGCCAATGACAGGCAAATATGTGCTTCTAAGAAATCACCCAGAATTCTCAGAACAATATGAAAAGTACCCAAAGGGCTCATGCTGCAAACTGTGCTTTATGGTTGATTGTTGGTTTTAACCTAATATCTCCTGCTCTTTTTGTTTCCTAGGATGTTGTTGCAAAATCTTTGGCTTCTTCATCATCAAGACCAGATATTTCGAAACCATCACGATCAGCCTTTATGGGAGGACCAGCAGTTGAAGACTCCAAGTGTTGCTAAAATTTTAAGTGTTGCTAAAAAGCCAATTTCTACAATGTTTTATAAAAAGTATTTATGAGAAATGCTTGGTTAAATTGCCAAACTGTAAAGTATTTATTTATTTATATGTTTTTATGCAGTAATTTATTAATAAGAAAAATAATTAGATGAAGTTTGAGGAATAAATGCAAGATATTTGTCTTTTTTCACATATTTCCTCTGTATATCCTATCTCACTTGATACTAAACCATAACCATACTTGGTTTAGTGAGTATTCTTAATTCTTGATTTGCTAATAAACTTTTAAAAAGTTCCTTAGAAATTGCAAAAGAGTGATAAACATGTGATGTATTCGTCAGCACAGATGTAGGAAGCATTTCAAAAGGGAGGGGTTGCACATAGAGACAAACAGGGGGTAATCCATGAGCTGCAAATAAGCACTTTTCCTCTGTTTCTGAAGAGTGAGGCAGATGGCAACTTCCCAGCTATCTTTGTCAGTATTTCAGAAAATATACATATATTGCCTATAGTCCTGCAGTTCTCAGAAAGCTAAATCTGAGATTTCAAAAGTGGATTCGGATAGTTCGTAACAAGCCTAAGCCACTTTTTAAAACTGACATGAAACTTTTCTTAAGTTTTCAATTTTCATGAAAAAACACCCACACCCGGCGTACTAGCACTCAAAAAGTTGTTCGCAATCCAACGCGGAATGCAATCCAATGCTGAATCAACAATTTCCTTGTGAATGCTTGAGACCTAACTACAGAGTAGGAATAACCAGAAGCTGTCTTGTCCCAGCGTTTTGTCTGAAGCCTGAATTTATGCGTTATTTTTTCCTAACTGAAATGCGTGGCACAGCAAGTATAGGATCCAAGCTACAGAAACTTTGCTAGAAGCAGCAACAAACATTTTGTTCTTAAAGCTTTGTCGCAAGAAAAAGAAGAGAAAGAAAGGTGTGTCTTTTGATCCTTTACCCATACCGAAGCAGAATCATCATCCAGCCCAGAACACTCTTTTCTATAAAAACCAGTAAATTTTAGTTCATGCTGGCTGTTCTTAAATTTTAAGAAAATATTAGACTGGATTGTTCTTAATTTGTTCCTAAATTATAAGGGTCTAGTCTAAGCAATGGAATTGCTAGCTATTGCGCTCTAGGAAGATGTTCAGGTCTTGTTTGCTAAAAAGGTGAGTAAGACATCTTTTATTTGCCAACAGGTTTGAAAATTCACCAAAAAGCCCCGCTAAATGGCAAAAAATTCCACGTTATTAAGATGAAACATTGTTCAAATTACATTTCACTCTAGCTCAGCCTCAGTTTTTTCTTAATATGTTCGTAACCTTTTGACCAATTTTGAGGCTCGTGTTCTTATAAAATTGTTCTTATAAAGAAAGCATGCTTATCGTCCAAGTCGTTTACAGTTTTGTAGTAAATACTGAATGTAGAGGAGACATCAAAATTGAGAGGTATCAGTTAGTGGAATCATCATAGTATTCTGTGTTACCATCCTTGTGCTATCATGCTGACGTCATAGGGGAAGTATACATTGAGAGCCACCGCAGCTTACAAAGCGTGACCCAGCGTTGTTATGGCACTTGCAAACCAACCCCGGGGTCGAATGCAAAGATACCTTACTGACAATTTGGCTTTGTTCTGTAATATAGACACGGCCGCAGCCCTTCTTTTTCTGATGTATTAACAAACTATTATCATTGAATATGATATATATATATACCCAGCGTTCGCTATTGTTTAAATTAGTGTTTTTTCAACCACTGTTCCGCAGCACACTAGTGTGTCATGAGAGATTCTCTGGTGTGCCGTGGAAAATTCTCCAATTTCACCTAATTGGTCTAAAAGATTGAAAAACATCTCGTCTTTGTTTAATTCCTGCCAGTCAACCATGTGTTCATCAACACAGGCCCAGTCCAGGTTTCACACTGAGTGAATAAAAATATTTATTTCATTACAATATACTTTTATCTTTGTGCTTATTTGATTCCTATTCAAGACAATTGGACGAGAACGACTTTATATTGTGAATAAAGGCTACAAAATTTCATTTTCATTATTTTCTGTTGATGTTTTTCCTCGTCGTTTTTTCAACGGAAAATTGTTCCGTAGATCAAAAAGGTTGAAAAACACTGGTTTAAACTATACACTATATACAAGATAGATGCCATCTTAAAAAGATAAATGGTTAAAGCTCGTGTCGGTGTATCAAGTACCTCAATTTAAAACCGAGGAAAATAAGAAAATGCCAAAAACTCTATTTGTAACTCAAGATCTTACTGCAATCAAGGGAACCATTGCAGATGAATAAAAATCAATTAAAAGCCTCGCACCGGCAAATGCCGATTCTCTACACGAGGGTGGCCAATTAGACAGAAGACAGTGAAAACAATCACAAAATTAGAAAATCATACTTTGCTTATAAAATATAACAAAACATAACACACTAATGCTAAGTATTATCTATCGAATCTGTAAATGAATGGGAATTTCGGGAAAGACAGCATACGAATGGGGAAAAACGTCACTTCAACCGAAAAAATATCCGGCTGTGGGTGGCATGTCGCTAAGCACACGAGGAATGTTTACGCAACAGAAACAGGATAGAGTTTGTTAAAGATAAAAGAAACTAGGGTTGATTCGACCACTGTCGATGTAACCAAGTTACGGTAGATGGGTTCAGAAAAACCCGTGCTAGCTACATCGACAGGCATTGTAAACGCTAGATGGAGCATAGGCAGGCAAGGTGTGACTCGTTCATGCGCAGTAATATTTACAAACGTTAAAACAAAAATTTCAAACCTGGTTAAATTTTGTAAAAGGGTTAAATGGGTTGCAGAAGTGAACAAATGTGACTGTAGTAGCCTCATGTTTACAAATTACACACCCTTGTGGTTCAAATGTCCGTGGCATGTAACATGGTCCAAAATGATAAAGGACTAGTGATTAGCTTTTAACAGAATAATCTTTTGCTATATCGGTTTAAATATGGAAAGCTGTGGAGTCATTCGACTATCAAAAAATACAGTGGCTTACAATCTTTGGAATGAGTGGCAGTGTGGGAGGACAATCTTGTCCCGTAGTGAATAAAAATGACGTTTGCTCGGTCGTTTAGTTAAAATACTTTTTCATATGAATTTAAAGAATTCTGCAATATGACGTCAAACTGGGATGAGCATTAGTTTCTTTACGCACGTACAATGCCTCGAAACGTACAATGCCTCTTTTACTCATCAGTATCTGTGTCGATAAAATTTGTGTCGATAAAATCTCAACGAATTTCATCTTCACAAATGACCTTTGAAACTGCTAACCCGCGTGGTGGATTTGTGAAGGTCCGTTGCGATGGAGACTTTTCTCTGCGATGGTGATTCCGTGTCAACATTGTCTTATAAGCCATACTCCAGGCAGTCTTTTGATCAAAGCCATAAATAAATTCATATATGATAACTAATGCTTCCTGGACAATATAGCAATAATAGACTACGCTGTCATCCCAACGATAACATTTTTTCAAAACTGTTCATAACCGACTTGTCTGGTTGCATATCCGAAGCAGAGAAAGAAAGCTAAAATGGTAAATAGAGAAACGTTTTAGTGGCTAAAATATGTTAAGGCTGGGCAGATTATTGTTGTAAATGATCGGAACAGAAGAAAGAGCTGCATAAGTCACCAATTATTTCATTCAGTCGTTTGACTCAATGAAATGAGCGTTGATTTTCGATACATGACACTGGATTTCGATTTCAGGCAAGACCTGTACAATACAACTGGACACACTCTCGTTGAAAAAAAAATCCCTTTGTCAGTCTATGAAAGCTTACTTATAGATTGGAATAATCACTTGATCAAAAGTAGCATATTTAAAATAAAACATAACTAGCAAGATGTGTTTGAATTTGCCTTCGACCTAACGAAATTACGAAAATACAATGTCAATCTGAATAGCTTCTAGATCTAAACACTTAATTATCAAAACAAATACAAAATTTCATTCATGCAATACCAGCTGTCTGCTGAACATTTTCAATAAGTAAATCTAAAGTAGAAATTTTTAATTTTTACAATAAATGCAGCTCTTTAAAAAACGCCCTATTCTTACAAATGTAGCGTCAAATTCCCAAGAAATATATATGAGCCAGGGGGCGTTTAATAGATAAAATACAGTACCGCATTCAAAGAGCGTCGGATAATTTATTCCAATTATAATAATTTACTTGCGAGGAAATAATTTTAGATGGGAGAGAATGGTCTGTCGCAATCCAAAAGTAATACTTTGATAAATGAAGCGAACTTTAGCGAATTGTGGTGTTCATAGAATTATAACAGGAGAAATTCACTGGAAACCAAACGTAAAACGTCAATTTATGGGAAGAAGTTTCAACTATATTAACAGAGCAAAACAATACGACTCTAGTTTTTCTTTCCTGAAATTCCTAGTGGCATTGCTATGTACGCCCGCTCTGTTCGAAATTAGTCAAGACCCTGGGCAGATCTAACAGGAGGCGAGCAACCAATGAAGCTTGGAGTAATCCCCCGCAAACTTTCATCATACTTCATACGCAGTTGGATGTGGGTAGATTTTGTTATGAAACCGCGATAACAACATACCTTGGAAACGGCAATTACTGATACAGCCTACAGAATTCCCTGAATGTTCTCCATACTTCATTTATTGCAGTAGCACTGAAAAACAAATTAAAAAAGTCAAAATAGCTAGATATCAATGCTGAAACATTGAAATTACTTCCAGTGGCGTACCCAAGGGAGGGAATGGGGGGGGGGGGGGGTCCGGAAATATGGTCCTCAAGAGATTTGTCAAAAAACGATGTAAAAACCATTGGCGGGGGGGAATTGGTAGTATACTGTATGCTTGTGTCAATAAAAATTGTAAAATGCTTTGTTATTTACCGTAGCTAGCATAAATAAAAAAATGGGGAAAAATTTTGCAAAAAGGGCGTTTCCCCGCATTTGCGAGTGTTTGATGGGCGTGGTTAAAACAAATTCCTAGGGGCTACGCCCCAGATCCCCCAACTACTACAGCCCTGGGTACGCCACTGATTACTTCAATGAATAACAATGCAAAGGTAGTATCAATGCTGACACATGGAGCACCCAAAAGACAGGGGGGCTAGCAAGAAGAAGGCAGGGGAGGGGGCATGGGCCCCTCAATGTTATAGAGGGTCCCAAAACTAAAACATTTGCAGATCTTACTGAGTTAAAAATGAGCACATGTTGTCTCGTAACCCTGTCTCCCATGAATGTGTTGGTTTGTTTATGTTTGAGCATTACCTCTGTACGTTATTATTAATATACTGTAGTTATTTCTTTATGTTGGTAAAATAATTTTGGACTCCCTAATGTCTAACAATCCCCATGCAAAGAAGTAACTGCTTTGAACAACCTGTTTCCGATACTGAATGGCCATATTAAGAATTCAAGACATTGGAAACTCATCTCAAAGAATACAAGCAGGTTTAGCCAGAATGCTGAAATAAAGACTTCTGTGGAACTGCTTACAATAAAAGCAGTGAAAGAATGCATAATAAAAATAAAAGCGATAAGGAAAGAGTAAGTTCAAGGGAAGGGTGGCGCAAGAGAGCAAGTTGACTCCAAGAGAGATCGAAAGACAGTTTCTGAACAAGCAGAATGACTCTGCATAACAAAACGTGAAAAAAAACAAAGTAATGAGAATATATAATAATATAATAGAATATATAATAGAATAAGGCAATTTATAATATTTACCTAGTAACTGACTGGTAAAAATTTGCAATCTGCTCGGGCGTTGCATAAATAGCCCCAGTTGGACTATGGGAAGGCAAGCTGTTTAAAGCATCTTTCAGCCATTGACAAGTAGGCTGAAACAAAAACAAAGTTTATACAAAACTGCTGGGCTAAATATTGGTTATCAAAACTTTTGATTCCTACGGAAAGATGTAGCGATGGCCAAGTGGAAACAACATTGGCCCATGTCAATAAGCAAAGCAACGCTACTGTTTGAATGCAGATACAACTGATATATAAACGGCCATTCAGCGCTAGGGTGGGCAGTGATTTTGAAGTTTCGCAAGACTCCTTTCTTCCCTAAAACCCATGATAATTTTCGTTCTCTCTCCCTGCAACAGTAACATGACAACATTCTTTTACCGTCAACAATCGTATGTCTCTGTATATAACTAAATTAAGAAATGATAAACAAGATTTGCTATTCTTGCAGCGGAGAAGAAATCGAGAGACGGTGTCGACTATTTAAATCGTGGCCTGTCAGACTCAATCACACTAAAAGCCAAAATGACCGAGTCACAGACCTAAAAGAATGGACCGTTTCAATTGACAAAATGTGAATGTGCATCAAACAGAAAATTTTGTTTAGATAAAAAGGCTACTGAAAAAATTGTCAGCAAAAACCAAAATTGAATGGTAACGTATAAAGTTAAGTAATAAAGCGAAATTGAAACAGCAATATTGAGAGTGACAGCACAGAAAGATGAAGACAAGTTTCATCTTAAAGGTAACACTAGTTTCAAATCTTTTGCCTATTCGAGATACACTATCTTGTCTCCAAGAACAGATCCCGTTATACATTCTTAGAAGAACAATTTTATGAGAACAAGAGCCTTGAAATTGGTCACAAATTAAGAACAGATTAGGAACAAATTAAGAACAGGCTAAGGCTGAAGTACTAGAAAATGTAAGAATACAAGAACATTGATTTTAAGGATGTATAGTCCATGAGAGGGTATGTCTTTTGCCAATGTTATTAAAGAAAAAAATGCACTTTACCGGTCCAACGCTAATCTACAGTTAAATTTTGCCTTTTTTCATAATTTCTTAAACTTATACCCTCATAATCAAATAAACCAAGTTAGAACAATCCAGTCTCAAAGTTTTTGAAAAATTGAGGATAGCCAGCCTGAACTTCGATTTTCTAATACGTATTTAAGAAATCGTTACAAATAGCAAAAAGCATTTATTTGCGTACAGATGTAAAAAGAGAACCAATGCAAAAAAGTTTTTAGCTGCTATTTTATAAAAGAGTTCTATGTCTCTGCTACCAACCTCACGGTATTGACTCAGCAATTCCCAAATGACATCTGCTACGTCTGGGACCATGTAAGTTTGGACCTCTCCTGCTGTGGCCTTTATCAGTCCTACAAACGATGGTCAGTATAAAAGACGTGGCGATATGCAGGCAGTCAGAGGACGAAATGACCTTGTACAGCAGTTACTAGTTACTTCGGAAAAAGCAGAGTACAAAATGGCAAAGTTTATAGAAAATGCAGCATTTACCCCTCACAATATTAGCGCCATGTTGATTGATAAGACCAGTTACCAATGTGTTGCGTCTATGCTGTTCTGATCGTGACTGCAAAAAAGGCATGAACAATTAGTATGATTATCATTTGGTAATTTATCAGTGAAAACGAAGGAAAATTAATTTTACCCACAATCAACATCAATAAAAATCCTCATTTGAGCAAAAAGCTCCGAAAGGCGAAGGTTTGAGTGTTCTTGAGGGCTTTTTTACGATTTGGGTATCACGTTTCCTAAAAACTTACGGATTTAAATCACGGTCGTCGACGAAAAATAACTTCTAATTCCATTAAATTTGGGTAGGAAACAAGCAGTTTCAATGGACGTGATTGCCAGGAACATCTCGGAGCACAAAGGAGTTTCATCTTGATATTATTGGTTGACGCTTCGTAAAGATGGGGATTGCTAATTAATATCTATTGATTATATTCAAGCGAGATTTTTGACTGGGAAAGATTTGTCTGGAACGTGGGCGAGGACGAAAAGGAATCTAAGGGGAAAAAGATTCAAAACTGCAAAGGCGATAGGGGATACAAGGTCACGTTGAAATGACCCATTGAGAACTAATCTAAAAAGTTGCCATCTGTTTGACAGGAAGATCTGGTTTCGAAGACAACTGATGACGTACTTTGCTCGACCTTCCAAGGGAATTTTCTAACCTAAAAAGATATTGACTTAGTGCCGGAGTTCACATTTCAAGAGATCGTGTCTTTTGAATCAGTCTTCTCCAACAAATATGAAACCAAATACGTGCAAAATTGGGCACAGTTCAGGATTTTATTGCAGCATAGTTAGAGAGGATTGAAAGTCTCCAGAGCAAGATACTCCCCTCAATCGTACTTTCAGTAGCCCTCGTGGGTTTCTGTATGCTCAGGATTAAATAGGTACACCAATGAGGAAGAAATGAGCTGCAGAACGTGCTTCCGCGTTTAGACATCACAGTACAAAAAGTTTTAAACTAAACAGAGATGCACTTGCAAAGTTTTGTTTTAAGGAAGATAAGCTATCATTCCTTATCATTCAAAGGCGGAGGAATGGTATAATGAAAAGGCAATAATGAAAAAACCTGAATGAATCGAAAATGTTTTGATAACATGGACTCCTAGTTTCTTAGGATACAAATAAAAAGCAATGTGATAGAAACATCATGAATAAAAAAAGAGAGTCATTTTTAAGGATTGTGAAGGATTGTGAATCCTTCAGTGGAGCATCGTGCAGAAATTTGATAGATTTGATTCAACCTGACTTTTGACAAGCTAATATTGAAAAAGCCTTATCTAATTCTGGAGATTAACTTTGTTTTTGGCAAAGTTTAACTTTGTCATTAAAAGATTTTAAAGTTTGCTTGAGATTCTTAAAATACCTATGTCGTCATGAGGCTTAAAACAGCAGCAGAGAAAACTAACCATAGTTCAACAAAGGGTTTGGAAAATATGACACTTCTTCCTGCACAATGTTTTAGTCGTTTGGTTGCTATGCAGCCATATTGGTTAACACACTTAAGGCATAATCTATTTCGAGCTATCTCCTCAAATACAAGTTTCAGATATCAACGAGTGCTCTTCCATGGCAACAAGAAAACAAGAGATCGAAAGTTCTTAGGGAAATAATTTACCGGATCATTGCCTGTGCAGCGTACTAAATCAACAAGGAATCGCAGCGTCGATGCATGTGCTTCCCTGTGGTTCAGTGTTGATGCTGCTGTGGCTAGTTGTAGCACAGCCTCCATTGACTCATTCTCGAGGAAGGGTATTGGACATTTTTGAAGAAGTCTGGAAAAACAGAAATACGAAAATGAAAAATAAAGAGCAGTAAACTTCTATGAATCTTGTGCATAGAAATGAAAAAATAACAAAATTTTGAATATCAAGAAAAGTTCCATGAATGTGTCCCATGAATTGAAGTTTCTGTTGTTCTATCTCATTTACAAGTCCTTTAGTTTCCCCGATCTCGTCGAGCACACTTCTGTTTGATCTCTTTTTCGTCCAGCTGATTCTTAACAGTCTCCTTGCTATTTCAAGTTAAATTAGTGCCTGGCCTGATTCAAAACAATAAAACAGACGCAAAGTTTCTTCCTGCGATGGATGTACGATGTTGTAGCGACATTGTTAAATGTGACAGACTAATTCATGATAGCATAGTTCAAGTGAAAGGAACTGTGCTTTATACATGAAGACAAAAGCTGAATAACTGAGCTGAGGCAAAGGAGAAAGGACGGCATAAACAGTGCGTAGTACTACGATTGAGATTAAATGAAAAGCAAACTCACCTTATTGAGAGCCTAAAAAAGTCATCAACCGTATCCGGGTGATTCATGAGACCATTTTCAGCTGACAGCAACGTGAACGTTGGTCCAGAAAAGGCCTAGTTGAAAACAAGTGTCTTTAGATTGTTCAGATCTGGGAAAATATCAACTTTGTAGACGGCTTAAACAGCTAGTTTTGTGAATTCTTGCATTTAATTGAAACACCAATTACAAATACAACAACGTAAAATATAAAAAGTACCCATTGAGAAAGCTAAACTCTCATATTTTCTCATATTTCATGAATAAATCAAACGAAAAAATCTTGAGCTATGAATGACAATTATTCTGATACACATGGTGCCGAAAATGGAGATTGACTTAAGCAATTGAAGAAATGATTGCTACCTTGAGCATTTCAATGAGTCCTTGTGCACAGTTAGGTTCTTGGCCGTATTCATCGACTAAAACACTTCCAAGGTAAAGGAAGCACGAATGTTGGTGTTGGTAGTAGATTGTTATCATCTGCATGAAAACACAAGTTAAAGCGAAAGAGCATTACGTCATCGAGAATACTTTATTGGTTAGAGAAAACGCTTCTACTGCATACCGACAATAGAACTTAGTCAACCATCTTAAATGCAAAATTATTGTAAAATTAGTTTGAAATAAACGAATAATAGTCTAAACGAAGTTCAATAAAATTTAGTACACTTAAAACTAGTCTGCTTGGGCATTGCAGAGTTTTAGGAAATTACACAAAATACAAAAAGGCGTTTAAATGCTAAGAAAACATACTTGTTCAACAAATGGCTGTAGCAGGTTTCTGAAGCCCTTTCCAACACATCTTATGGCGTATCGGAGGCACCTAAGTGTAAGGATAAGAAAGCTTGTGTAAGCACATACTCAATGTACCAAAAAAGACGTCAGAGAGCTTAAAGATTTTACAATTAAAAAATTCAAGACCTTAGTTTATTTTTATAATGATAATACACAGAATGTACGTCATTTTTGACGCGAAACAGAACTGGTAATGCCATTTAGTAAAAGGTAATGCCTGTGCAACAGAGTCCAAGTATAAAGGGAAGGGCAACGAGGAAAAGGAACAATAAAAAATACTTCAAAATATTGTCATCTGTTGAAAGTTAGTCTTTAATCCAGACCCCTATCTTGAAAGAAGACTTTCATTTTCAAGCTAGGGTCTGGAGCACACTCCAAGTATATCTTTTACTGGAAAAATTGGAAAAAACGAAATTGAAAATGCCATCATGGGTGTCACTAACCTACAAATCCTTTCCATGATCCTTTCGTCGTGTTTGAATTTATCTGCCACGTGCGATAGAACTGGCCAGAGCTATGACGTAAAACAATAAATGTCACATACTGCAATAGTTGGAAGACCTTTTTGCCTAAAGCCTTCAAACACCTACCTAAGTGATAGTTGATTACCCTAGTTAGATCTTACAGAAAAATAGTAACTTAAAACTTAGCACAGAAATATTTTGCCAAGGCAAAGTATACATTTTTTACAAGGAACCTTAATTTTTGTTGAGTCTTAATGCACTGTGCCTCAAGCCCAACTATCTTTTTTTAAATAATTCTTAAATTCAACTGATTCCGAGCCTGAATATACTCATAAAATGTATTCTTATAAAAAAGTGTCTGGAAAGATGTTGAAAGAAATATAGCTATGAAAATCCAGATGTGCTTTGAAATAGTTACCCTGCCCCTAAGATGACTTTGTCATATACTAGTATGACATTAACCTACGTATACCTTCTCGATAACAGACTGACAAGGATGTTCCTTTCCTTCAGGAGCATCAGGTGCAGTGTTCCTTGAATAATAAAGAAGACATCACTTTCTAACGAAACGTGTACATGAAACTCGGTACAGAAAATCATGGACCCGAGTTCACGTCAAAAGGAGATCCAACAGCAACATAGCAACAACAAATAAGAAACGGATATATTTTGACATTGTCGACGCTAGGGTACATTGACAGGAACACGTTCAGAGTATGAGGGAGAAGAAATGAAAACATTATTAAGGGAAACAATATACAAAAGATTCGACCTGGGATAATATTCAGGAAAAATAGAATGAACAAGGAGCAATGCAAGATTTGAGGGATTGAAGAATAAGAAAAATGGCAGGAAACTGCATTAAAACCTGAACCAATATCGCAGGACACAGCAAGGAATGGACAAACAGCGTGAATATCTGCTACTTGTTACTAAAGGTTTTATAAATTCGGTGTACTAGCATGATTTTCATTCATGATATTCAAAAGATTTTCAACTAACATAGCACTCTGTTTACATTAGAATGAAACAACTAGTGTCACATGACATTGCTACAAAGTTTAAAAAACGTTTAATGCTCTTACTTGAAAATTGTAGATAATCGATCAATAGGAACGACTGGGTCACTTGCATCTCGGGGTCTTTTGACACCTTGGGCTTCTTTTATGATCTGTCAAAATATTCAAAGAAATACTTCCAAAATAGCTCTGCATCTCAGCAATAAGCAAGAACATATTCTCTACAACGAAACAACTAAATAAACTACAGAAAAGACAATAAAATCATGAAGCACACTGTAGGAATTCCTTGCTAAAATTGTGACCAAATAATGACTTGTTTATGATTTGTTTATGACATGATTTGTTTATGATTTAGGCCTATTAAAGATATTAATAAGCCCCTTTTCGTACATTGCTATAATTACAAAATTTATCAATGTTGGTTAACAATGTTGGTTATCGTTTGAAAGCTAAATATTCAAAAACTTGTTGCAGCTCTCTAGAACAGCAGACATTACCTGGTCCAATTTTGATACATGGGGGATACACAAATGTGTGAGGGCGTCTTCTATTTCACCATATGGCAGCGATGATAAAGCGTAAGCCGCGCCTACAAGAAGAAAGAGTATGCTTTAAAAATATTTGTAATTTAATCATAAAAGACGATGGAAATCAATAATTAGTTAGGCAGGACTTTGACAGCACGTGACTCAAGAGCTACTCTCCGTAAATGTAAAAGAGCGTTCTATTAAATAGAGCGTTAAAAATTTACCTCGCAAAATACTGTCGGCTTTGGCGACTGGAAGCCCAAGGGAGTCGATGGCATTGACGACCTGCAAAACCAATCGCACACGCATGAAATGCAATCGGGTAATTATAATCTTGGTGTATGATGTCATTGATGTAGATTGTCAGATTGTGCACGACGTAAAACATAAAAAAGGGCAATCCTTATACTGGCATCTGAATACATTGTTATTGTAAAGGCTGCTGTTCACTAATCTGAGTTTTTGCATGGCTGAATAAATAAATTTGGTACACAACGATCTATGAAGCAGTCAAAACAAGCTGACAAAATATTAGCGAGCGAGATCGCTTCTTTTCTTCGCATCTTGCCGTTTGTAATATAATTGCATTTACAAGTATAAAAATGATTGACCTTTTGGCGCCAAATGCGAGTGTCGACTGTCAAATTTATATGTCACAGAGAGAAAAGTGGAGTTAAACTGACGGAAGATGATCTACACTACGAAAACAACTCATAGATAAACATACAAAGAATAAAGACGAAAGAAGAAATCATTCAGTCCTTAAATCATGACCGAATAATTATTAATTTAAGAAAAAGCCTGTAAGATTGTTGGCAATTTGGAGGCAGATAGATTACCTGGACAATGATTTGGAAGTTAGAAGTCAACTTTCTGCTGCAGTCAACCAAAAGATGCTCAAATGCAGTGGCTGATGCTGAAACTAATTCTTTGCTTTGTAGGCCATTCAAAATGAACTGGAATACAGAATCTAGAAAACAAAAACCTCGCTTACTTATGGGATTCGTTATCTTTGATAATTCACAATGCTTGCCACAGCTGGAATACCCTAAAACATCTAACAGCGTGAATATCTTTTCTGTATTTATGTCTACTCCTGAATATGGCAACATTCGCTCTGTATTATCCATGCATAATGCTTAGCATGTAGAACAGGATGGTCTTAAGTTGTAACGCCTAGTTTCAAGTTTGACGCAATCACCAGGCAACTGTTCTGTTCAGTTCTACCCAAACTGCATCGTGCAAAATTTTCATGTGTTTAGGTCTATAACAAACTCGCCATATGAACAGGCATGCTTTTTCATCGCATGCCAGGTCACTAAACATGCAATTTTGTAACAGACTTTTGTGTAGGGGTTATAGTACACATGTTAGGATAGATCTGAGAGAAAATATCATAAAAAAATATCAATTCTTGTATGATCTGAGAGAAAATATCATAAACAAAAAGTTTCTCGAAGGCCGAGGATTGTTTCAGGAGGAAGGACATTTTAAGCATCAAAAACTAATTTAAAATATGTCAACGACAAGGGCTGGAAAATATCCAGCAGCGGCGCTGCCAGGAAATTTTTAGCACAAATTCATTGCAAGAAATTGTTGCTGTTTGCCAGAAATTTTTAGCGTGAAATCTACATTGCTTGATTTTAATATGAACATTAAACTTATGTTGCTCATACATACTGTATAATTTTTGTTCTGCACTACTGACAAAAATGAAGATTAACTTTCAAAATACAATCATCTGGTATCATCCGCGTCTGTTAAACCAAATTTCTGGCAAATCGGGCACGATTTTCAGCTACTAATTTAATTCAAGCAAGCTAAAACAAAGTTCATTTCTTTTTTTACATTAGCCATTCTAGATAAATGAAACACTTAAAGACAGCCAATCTTGTTACGTCAATTATATTGAAGGTGAACATGCTTCAAAACCTGTGTGGATGCGTTCACTGTTATTCATACTTTTCTACTGCCATTTGCATACATTTGTCATAGCTAACTTAATAGAATTTAAGCGATTTTGGCCTACATCTTTGTCTCTAGCACAACCCCTGACTCAAAACATTAATTTTAACCATTGAAAAAAATAGTATTCTTACATGTTGTGTGAATCACTAGCTTTGATGATAAAAATGAGCAGCAAACATGGAACCCAGAGAAAGATGTAGGATATATAAATACTTTAATAGTATCTAGTTTGCTAGTACGGATATGAAACTAAATTAAAGTTATTATAGATTTTCAGATCATATAACTTCAACCTTGAAAACAAACTATAAGTGTTGTGCACGATCACGTTCTCCTTAATCATCTAATACAGTATAACAAAATCATTGCTGTTTAAATAACTATGATCAAACGTCGAGGACCAAAAATTAGTTCCTTTTAGTATGACAGTTTATTTTTGGGACAAATGTTTGAACAAATCAAGCAACTTAAAATATCACTTTCAGTGACTGGGCCGGGTCGAAGCTTCACAAGAAATCTTGAATTTTTTATTTTGCTGCCAGAAAAAGAAAACTTTTTTCAAACCTTGTCAAGGACATAGTAAAGTACATACCTACAACCGCGGGATGTTCGTCTACCCAAGGAGTCAGTTCTGCTAGTAATTCCAAACTCGTCATCTTAAGGGCTATGTGTGAATTTTGTGGCAATTGTATAATCAATTTAACTGCATCACCAACGCTTTCTTCGCTTCTAAACATGAGAAAACATGTGGGCGTTAATTTCAATACACCCCGTAACAAGCTATGATAACAGGCATTTTAACAGGCTATAGTAAACAGCCGTAAACCGTAATAAGCGGTGATAACAAACAGTTATAATAAGCGATAATACCAAGCGGTAGTAACAGGAGGTAAGCAGTATAAAGCGTTAAATACAAGCAGTAACAACAAGCAGTAGCAATAAGCGATAATAACAAGCAGCAGTAAGATGCTGTAGCCATCAGAGGTAGGCCCTGGACGAAGCTACTAAATAAACCTTTTGGCATCTCTCTATTAAAACAAGGCAGATAAACTTAGCAGGCAAACGCTACTTCAAGTATCATTGAAGTCAAAAGGCTGGCAAGAATTTTTTTGCTAGCATTTTCAAAATTAGACAGTACGATAGTAGGAGAAGGAGAAAGGATTTACTGCTTCGCCACATAATCACATAGGATACCTGGCAAGGTTGGTCAAATCAAACATTTCAAGCAGCCAATCAGATACAGATCTAGATACCTGGTAGCTGTCACGTGTTACAAGATTGCTGCAAGCACACACAAACAGCGAATTCGACTGTCGTGCATCAAATATCAAATCATATACAGAAAAGAATGCCACTGCATTTAGATTTGCTGCATTGCAAGGAAAAGCTTTGACAATGCCTGTGAATTGTCATAAAATGCAGACTAGGCATACCTTTGGCTGACTTTGTTTGCTATCGATCGCATCACAAACATGCCAGCCTCGATTCGATTCCACGAAGTCCCTTGCGCGCAAATTTGCTTGAGAATCTGTTTAGGGTAATTAAAGTTTAAAGTCAAATGAACTGAATAGAAATCAAAATAAACTCGTTAAAAGCATTTTCAAACATGAAAAAATTAGCAGAACAAAAGAGCGTTTCTGGTTACGCAGAGGATTAAGCGGTGTATGGGTTCGAATTTGGAACAAACTGAAAAATATACGTAGCAAGACGAAACAGAAAATTGGGCAACATGAAGTTTGTAAAATTGTTTATTAGAGAGAACGGATACTGTACACTATCACAGAAAACAATGCCATAAATTCTGCAGGTGTTTTTATTTGCCGTAAAATGTTTTACTCATTTGCCATAAACTGAATTTAAGCTTGCGGCTTAACACCAAAAAATTTACCTCCAGGAAGCAGGTGGTGTAGCCAAATATGAAGACTGTATCTTGAACAACATCAATAGCCCGATACCTGAAGTCTTGAAAATCATCAGATAGATCGACAGGGCCTTCCTGGAAACAAAATGGCAAGTTGTTTGGAACAACTGTTTATATAAAGAACAATTAATTCTGAAATATGTAGGAGGGAAAACCAAAAGATGTGTGTTTGAAGAAAGCACGGATAAGCATAACATACTAAAGTACTACGCTGATTGGCCAAAAATAAGACCAATCAGACGCACAATTGTTCGTCTCACGCTACTTGAGTTTGTTTACTTCCGTTTTTCCAGATATGTGTTTTGCACCATTTTTGTGACAGAGATTCTCAAATAATAAAAACAGCCATATAGTTTTAAGTTTGAAGGCCGGGAATAAGCAATTTCACATAAATGTACTGCCGAATCCTAGAGCTATTTTTGAATGAACGAGACCTGCAACCAAGGTTTAAGCCAGTTGATCCATCAAGGTTGCTGTAGTTGTTTACAAACGAGTATTTAATAACTACATGATAGCCTTTATAAATGACGCAGATGAATTTAGCATTGCAGTGGGGAGACGTACATCCATCTGCAATGTTTGTAAAGAGTTTTTTTTTCGTAGGCAGATAATTCGCATTAACTCACCAAAAAGAGCAAAAATCCCTAAAACAAACTAAATGTCCATGCATTGAAGTGAAATTTAGAAAAATGAAACCATTAAGCTATATGAACTCACGTGGTCTGAATCTAATTGACATCGTATGAATACTTTCATAATTAGCGTTTGAACATGCGGCCTAAATTTGTCTAAAATGCTGTCTGGAAAATCTTTATACAAAGTTTCTGCAAAGCGGTACCAAAATCGAAAAGTTATCTCTGCAACCTATGAAAGCAAAGACTTCATTAAAATCAGTCTACAAAGAAACATGAGCAATTCATCACCAATGTGAACTTAAAAGTACTTTAGATTAAACCAAAATCATTGTGGAAAATAGTTGGGTAATATTTAGATTCAAAGGGTAGCGGCGGCAATCCAATTAGTAAAATCTTTGAAGTATTTTTTGGCAAAGATTCTGAATAGTCCTTTGTGTGGTCTTAAAAAATTCACCCGAATTAAGCCAACGATTTAATAAACTTAAAGATAGATACATTTAAACATTTGAACATTCTTTCAATTTTCATAAATTAATTTGATAAATTTTCTTTTCAAGGGAAAATGTAGCCACGAAAATAAACAATAACAAAATAAAAAAGTCAATTACCCAAGGCTCTTATTCGTGAAGCGTCTAGGGTAAAATCTTCAATGAATTATTACATTTGTATAGGAATCTAAAGCCTTCTGTAGGACTTTGACATTGACAAAAACTAGAGCATTGAATCAGTGTATCTACTGTGCATAGGTACATACCTCATATTCAGGGTGATCTAGAAATAACAGCAACATGTGTATTGTTTTTGAGCTTTCGGTGCCCTGGGAAAAGATGAAAAGAAGATACAGCATTAATAACGATTTTTAATTGCTCGTTTGTTTATAACAACCTTCATCTTCTTACTCCCCCCCCTTCTTCCACTGTAACAGGAATAGCCTCTTCTAATATGATTGGACAATTTAGTATCCGTAGTCTCGTTTTCGTGTAAATTATTATTTAAGTGAGTTATTTGACATGAAAAGCGTAAACAAACAAGATGGCAAAAGCGTAACAAGAGCGTCTTTTTATGCATCTCAATTCTTCGAGGGAAACCTTTCACACCACGTAAACGGTGGACGTTGCACCTAAAGTTGGTCTGCAATATTTCAATACAGATGGAGACTCGAGGCTAATAAACTTGATTACCTCAGTTTGACTTAAATGAAAGATTTATAAAAATGGTAGCATTTACTTACCGATCCTACCGAACTTAAAACATCATCAAGCAAGGAGCAAGCCATTTCTGTAAACAGTCGAGTGTAATTGATAGCCCTAAAACAGAAATACAGTGAATAGCAAACAAAAGGCGGACACTAATGCGAAGAAGGGGAACACTTCATCCGAGTAATGCAGTAGTAGCAATTGATCTGGCAACAACGATAAGCTTACAAGGTGCCATGAAGGACCCTTGAAGGGTTCTTAAGGACCAAGAATCCTGTTGGCAGAAATTCTAAACGTAGCCTTATTACAGACACCGTCGGAAATCATTTAATAATTCAATCATTTATGCAATCATTCGTTTACTTATACATTATTTCCTTCATCTTCTTCATTCATTCATTCATTCATTCATTCATTCATTCATTCATTTATTCATTCAATCATTTATTCATTCATTCATTCATTCATTCATTCATTCATTCATTCATTCATTTATTCACTTCATTCATTCAGCAATTTATTCATTTATTCAATTATTCATTCATTCATTCGTTCATTCATTCATTCATTCATTCATTCATTCATTCATTCATTCACTCATTCATTCATTCATTCATTCATTCATTCATTCATTCATTCATTCATTAATTAAGCATTTGCTTCCTTAACAGAATAGACTGGTCAAGTCACAAACCTGTCTAAATCGCCATCTTTCACAGATTTCTCGTACGCAGGGGCCAATGACATGACGAAGTTAAAACACAGCTCTGCCAGTTCGCGATGTCGATTTGTGTCCTAAAACAATATAACATAATTGCGGGATAAAAATAATAAACAGAGAAGGTAACTAGCTGTCATGTATGCCAGGGAGCTGCTTGAGTATATTTTGCTCACATAGGGTAATTTTTTTCTCTATTGAAAACATGATATCGAGCAAATCTTGGTCTTTATCAGGATTCACAATGTCAGCACTGAAAATGTACTAAGTGGAGACGTTGTAACTTGTCTTCTGTGGAAGATACAAGAGAGGAAACTATGCACGGAAACTTTAGCACAGGATAACAGTGTTTGTTGGTAACAGATGTGAATGAGAAGCGTAGAGACCTAAGCATAATATTGGTTGCGCTTACCTCTGATATGTACAAAGCACTGCATATGCAGTCTGTTACTGTGTCGTGAAGAGTCGTACTCGTGTTGGGAGCAAGCTGAAACAAAATGATAATTAGTGAACTTGGCTATACGATTGACCTTAAACAAGTTACCTAAAAGCACAAATATGGGGGACATCATCAATACAATAGCAATTGAAATGAATTTACATACTTCATTACAGGTAGGTATGATCTTAAGTACGCCAGCCACTTCGACCAAGATCAGTTATGTAATCATCAGAAATAAACATCACAGTCCCATCTAATCTTTATAGCATAGAAAAGCAAGTGGTGAAGGTTGTTATTCCATTGATTTATAGTAGAAAAGACTGATTTTCTTTCTGCTATTCCAAAATCGTTTGATATTAGCTGCACTCGATGAAATTTTCGTTTTAATCTCTGAATCTTCGCTCTAATCGTTGATTATTCTGGTGAGTAACCTGATTTAATCGATTTTGTACCAGTTGGTACCAATGGAACAAATTTTTAGTACAAACTATCCCCTGTCATTTCCCCGTTTTTTAGGAATAGTTTGAAGATGAAAAAAGGAGATAAACTGAAAATCTGCCACTAAAAAACAAAAACACAATTAGGACAAAAGAGATTCTTATTTAGGGGAGTCAAACATTGGAATCGATTGGGCTCCAAACGACAACAAATAGCTTCTCTACTTTCAAAAAATCTGTACGTGGGCCATAATGAAATAAAGACTTATTACTCTTTCAATTTTATATCATTTTAAATTTGAAATATCGATGCAGTTAGGAATTTATATTCTATTTGCTTTAGTTTCCAGGGCAAGCTGTAAAGCAGTATCTAATTTTGATGATTGTTCCATGTATAAATATTTAAAAATGAAATGAAACGTGGTAACCACAAATGTATTTTATTTCCAGTTATAAAGGGCTTCAGTTTTTGTGCTTCACGTACTTTCCATTGCATAATCGCATCAACATATTGACAAACATTATTCCTTGCTTCTAAAAGTTGCTTAGCAATTTGGCCAAGCCTCTGAGCATTTTGGGTGTCCATCCTTTACTAGTCCCGGTGCTTTTTGCATAATTGCTGCAAAATTGGGTCTTTTATCATAATAAAAATCTCCAAAACATCATGCTATCTTTCAAAGAGACAAGAACTTTAAAAATAAAATGATCCTTGCAGTGGTTTTTAGCAAGGCCAATAAACTGAAAGACTTACCAATGTTTCAAACACTGACCGCAGCAAATCACTGTTTGCAATTATACTAGGAGGAAATGACCCCAGCTCCAACCAACTTCCAAAGCAATAATATATCTACAAAGAAGATGAGCCGTGTTTGATTTGTCAATACAAATAAATTATATATTAGAAGATTACATGAAAAAAGTCATTATCATTTAAGTTACCTGCAAATCACTTAGATTAGCTAATAACAGTACTCACTTCACTCTTTAATTTCAAAAATTGCAAGTTCCAAAGAGAATTTTTTTGATAGTTTAATTGCCAGTGTTTTACAAGAATACTTACAAGCAATACAATATTGACATTTTTAAAAAATTTCAAGCAAAACCCCTTTGCCAAAATTTTGAAATTCATTAAGATTAAAGACATACCTTGCATTGAACTTTTTCATCAGCTGGACAATTTTTTTGACAATGAAGCTAAAATCATTAGATGTTAAATGATCATACATACACAGTATCATTAAATACCTAACAAGACAGTTAATGAAGCCAATTTTGTCATAGAAAAAAATTATATTTTACAAACCAAGATCAGAAAAGAAATTAAAAGACATCCCAACATGAGAAATATTGAATATATTGAGCATATTAAAATCTCTGAATCTCAGAAATATGGAAATAAAAAAGCAAAAAGAATGAGCCATAAAGCCAATCAACATAATATCCTTATAATCAGCTGCTGGGTGGCCCATTTCTGTCTTCCCTTTCTCAGTTTATTTACAGCTAGAACAAAGAAAAGAAACCAACAAGACAAATCTTAGCCTACCATAAGCACTAGAAAGTCAACAAGCTGTAACATCACTCACTAGTAGATGAAGAACTGTTTCAGATGATTTTCTGAGCAAGGTTGAGAATTCCTCACGTCTGTTTCTACCCACTTTCAAGTGAGGGCTCTCAACCTATAGAGTAAAAAAAAGAAAAATATTGATGCAGGATTCTCTAAAGTAAGTACAAGCATAATTTACAACATGACTCACCTTGTGCAAAATTTGCTTCTTTGTTAGTTCACAAAAAATACGGAAAATTGACCTAATTTACACCAGCTTAAGATTTCAGGCTATATGAAAAACTGAGAACAACTCCAGGTGAAATAATTAACACAACCATTACTTATATATGAAAAAACATTTCAGTTCTGGAAAGATTTTAGAGGAGCCTTGATTGGAGAGATCTGTTGTTATACAATATAGTCATTTGCCAAAGATAGAAAACTTGCTAAATGATATTTAACCTCTTCTGGTAGATATGCCAAAATTTCCAGCAAAATAGGAAGTTCCTCGACAGAAGTTGAAAACCTAAAAACAACGAAGAATAAATTGCATCAAATTTACATTATATAAAAATTGGATGTTATAATATATACAAATCAACATGTTTGTATCAGAAAATTTGTTTCTAAGGATTAAACAGTCTAAAAATTACCCTTGAATCAATTCATTGACTGGGCTATTCCACTGAGGAGACTGTGTTGCCAGATCAGCTAAAGCAAGACAGAGCTGTTGAAAAATATAAAGTTTGCTTAACATTGTGACTTCCAAAACTCATCAGTAAAACATCCGGGCGGCTTATTTAATCTTTAGTCTATTAGGAGGGACATGCATTTAGAAGAGGAGTTTATTCCAGTTCTGATGCTTATCACAATTTTGAGAATACCAAATTTTAATACTATTTTGTTTTAAAAAAGAAACAAAATACTCAATAATTTATACTTATATAGTGCATATTTGTACCTAGGCACTTATTAAGGCATGGACCACATTAAAAAAAAATTGGTCTAAGAGTAGGCATTTGTTCCAACTAGGCCTTTATTCAGACCTTGGTGGCTGCTTCATCAGTCATTTATATAATTTGAATAATCATAATACACTTTTTATGAGAAAGTCAGCTTATCAAATTTGAGAAAAAAAATCCCAAAATTACAAAGATACAGAAACAGAATACAAAATGAAAATGCTTGATAAAGCAACTTCTCAATACCATAAGGTGCTGTATTTCACACTTCTAAATATATCGACATTAAGAACATATTTGGGAGGAGTGCAAAAATAGGAGTAAAAGTGGAAATTGGCTCCTTTTTGGCATAGATAGTGGGGGTTGAGCTCCTATGGCACAACACCTCTGGGTCCTGGGTATGATATTGTGACATATTTATTTGTATACAGTATCATGTGAACAGGTTGCACACCATATCTACACCAGTCCTTTTCGTTTAGCGCGTGCGATCGCACCCGCACACGCCTGCACACGCGCAAGTTAAATTGCGCGTGCTTTTGACCACACGCGCAAACAGGTGTTTTTGCAGTTTTCTGTTAAAGGGCCTCTCCAGCCAAATTTTGCACTTGCATTTTATTGGCAATTTTAATAAAGAAGTTGAGCCTGCTGATCACGAATTCGTTATTTGTTTTTCGATATTTTTTTACAGTTTGTGAGATATAAGCTCTTGCATTTCGATAATTTAATTGAATTAACCGACAAAAATTTTTGGTTTGGTGACACTGTGACGCAATTTTGACGTCACAGTGTATTTCGGATAGTCTCGCCTCAAACCGAATCGAACGACGGCGATTCGCAAATTGAACACTGCAAGTGATGGTACTCTCAGTTCTGTTCCACCAGCTTTTAGTTTGAGCATTTCAGACACCAATTCTGAAGCCTTTAGTTGTTCATCGTTTCTGGAGAACAACTGAAGTGACAATTTCGATTTATTATACGCGACGCGAGGGAAGAGCTGGAACAGGAACTGGAACTGGATGCAGTTATCAACGCGTTACCATGAGTCCTTCACGCTCCGGTGGAAGATATACGAAATTCATGGCGAACGAGAGCCGCACATTGTGACGTCAGAATGTCACCAAACTGATTCGGCTTTTGTCGTTTTTTTTCTCGGAAAGGTGCAACTGTAAAGCCTTACAACTTCTAAACTAATTGGAATTTTTCAAAAACAATGACTTTGTCATAATACACGCACCAGATGCTAACTTTTAAGTCATTAAAAAAATTTTTTTTTTGCTGGAGAGGCCCTTTAACATCAATTTCCCATGGTCTCATGATTGTTTATCCTTTCCCTTGTTACTTGATTCGCACTTTTGACCACAATATGATTTTTCCAATTTTCGGAAGTGATGTTTGGCTTTTGACTGAGTGCTCGATTCAACTTAGCGTCTCGTCTTTCAGCTAAGTCGCCATTAACATGTTAAGTGTAATAACTGATTTCCTGTCAAAATGTAATTAGGCCCTGAAAGCAGTTGCTGTTGGAAACAATTTTTACTTGCTCT